CACCAGGCGGCACAAGAGCAACTCGCAAGTCGGTTGCATGCAATATTGTCACCACATTAACGTCTTGGCCTTTTGTGGCCAGTATTTATGACTTTGTGCGTGTCGCACAATCTGGAGACCTGGGCCATGGGATTTGGCCGGAGATCGCCGCTGGGTTGGCTGGTTTGGAAAGTGAAAAATAAGTAAAATTGTAATCGCCTTTTGCCGTAAAATAGTCAAACGAAATTGCTTTATTACATTCGGGAATGAATGCGGCCATGCGTGCCGGGCGTTTTCCATACATAAACCCCTTAGTGGCCCAGTGGGATATCGAATATAGGTATGTGGGCCCAAAGGGATTACAGGCCCGGTTAGCAGGGCAATAAAGTTTTAAATAAATCATGTTTGTCAGTTACAAATGGTGCACAGAAAGAATTTAAGATCTCTTTTAGCTGCACAATATTATATGGCAATGAATTTTTATTAAATTCTTGGCATGATAATACTATTCGAAAAATAACAATTAAAGTTGGTTACAGTTGGTTTAAAAATAATATTCCTATTATCTTCAAAGCATGTTCAATACAAATTATACTTTCAACATGCAAAATTCGCTTTTGTATAGTTGAACTAAAAACTATTACCATTTTTCTATGTGCAGAACTAGGTGCCAAGAAAAATGGAAGTTCCAATTGGTTTTCCCCCACCATTAACAGTCGGCTTTCATGTTTAATGTCTCACTTGGCGCACTCGCATTCCGATTGCCATTGCTCTGATCTTCGGGCCAGTTATCGCCGCTATAAGTTCTAACATGCTGCCATAAATCCAAATGCAAAACAGACAGTCAAGAGCAGAAATACTTAAAAGCCAGAGATAAGCCGGCAGCGATATGGTTGAGAAACCAAAGAGACACATCACCATCAACAACAGCCGAACATAGAGAACAAATTAGCCAACAAGAAATGAGACAGCCAAATGGCAAGAGCATATCATTTAAGAGGTACTTCAAATAAATTACCCAATACCAGAAATAGAAGCAGAATCCACAGAATCCCAGTCGAAAAGTATTAACACCGCCAAAGAGCTGAGGAAATGTAAAGTTATTCGAGACAAGCCGAATTCGAAATATTCTTTCGAATGCAATTAATACCTACTATAGTAATAAAATAAACATTTAATTCTTTGGAACTTTCGGTAAATATTTGTGGGTTATTTACAATGAAGTAAGGTTTTGTGGTCTTATGTTGTAAAATAATTTACAACTTATTTATGAACTACAACTAACTGCAAACATATGCGGCAGATTACGCTAATTATCTTTTTAAAACGGAACTTATGACCAAGAGGAAACTTAAATAGGAAACCATAAGTTCAAATGATAGCACCAACATGAAACTTCGAATCGAATTGATAACATATGTTAGCTATGATGAAGTTCCAAATCCCCGAAAAAATCCAATTGACCAACTGAAGGGTAAACCAAACGCCAATAGTTGTTGTTTTCGGTTGTCTATGATAGCAGCGGCAACAACTACAAGAACAACTGCAACATTGGCGACAACTTTGTAAAGTGTCAAAATAAATTCGATATTGTGGCTTAAAAAATGTTTATGGCCATGAGATAAATGCGCGACATTTGTGTAAATTACACGACAGCGGCAGGAGCAAGGAGCAGGGAGTTTTGGGGGCAGGGATCATGGATCAGGAGGCCGAAGGCAGGAGGAGGGAGTGGCCACCGCTGGAAGCCACGCATGCTCACAACTAGCCGCCGTTGTTGTTGTTGTTATTGTTGTAGTTGTATCTGTGGCTGCTGCTGCTGCTGTTGTTGTAGGTGTTGCATGTGTTTTATGGCGCATGCGATCAACTTGTTAAACTGTCACGTTAAATTTGCGTTTTATGTCAGGCGGCAGCGGCAGCAGAAACAGCTCCTAAGATCATCCCGTCGAGAACAGAGTGCAGTCAACTCGAATGCAGTGGCTTATCAGCGAAACGACTCCACATCCGCCATAGATGGACGCGTTCTTATCGCCGCAGAAGCCACTTCTGCCACCGAAGACGAAGTCGCAGGCGGATGGTTGACATTTGCCTATTTGCAAAAGGCCACTTAAAAAAAAACAAGAAATTAAATCGAACTACTTAAACTCATTACATTACAAATAATTTAAAAAATATGCCTTAAAACTTATAGAGTTACCCCTATCTATATTTTTTCAATATTAAGTTTGGCATTTTCGCTTCGAGAAATTAATCTTAAAAACTTATATTATGGCTTGAAATGTTTCATTGGACATAACATTTGGATAACAATATTAATTGTTTATCAAAAAGTAACTCTTTAAGAGCAATGTCTTCTATATTTTCTTTGATCCTGATTCTTTCTGTGTAAGCCAAGGCAAGACTCCACTCCGTCGATATTGGCGACATCGTCATCGGTTTTGTCGTGGGTGCCGAGGCTCCCTGTCTAACCCATTTTTTTCAGCTTTGTCCCTCGCCTTTTTGTTTATGTTTGCTAATTGTTTAGGTTTTATTGAATTTCATTGAGTGCCGCCTGCCAGAGACGAGGACGGAAAACCGAAATGAAATTGAAAATGCCTCATTATGTACCGAGTACTTGTGTATATAGAAGATCGGCGGCATGGGCGACGCGGAGCAGTTGCCTCGGCTTTTCCACATCCAGTCGCGATTCTGAGCTGTTTGTGGTATGTTGCTGAAGTTTCTGTCGCGTTTGGCAGACTTCGTTACCAACAATCGCGCCATGATTCCCGGGCCAAAATCGGAGGAGCCAAGCGCCGGCGAATTGGCAGCCGAAATAGCCAACTATGTGAGTCAGAAGCGACTTATCGGGCCACTCAGTCGGCGAAATGATATTGGAATCGAGGCAACTATTAATAGTTCACAGTTCAGTGATCAGCAGCCCACGTCTTATCGCCATCGGTTAGCAGTGAAAATCCCATTGGGGCCGAGTTTTACTAAATCAATTAATTAATTTATGGCCAGCCTGTGCGGGGCAATCGTTGAGAAACAATCTGCCGATCGTCCGCACAGAGCCAAAAAGGCCAAGCCCCGCATCAAACTTCCCCCACCCGGCGATCGGTTTCAATGTAAACAATTTGAACAAGCCGGCTCTCCATCTTCGAAATACAGGGTGTCACCAGATCTGTACAGTGTGTGTTGGCCAATAAATAGACCAGCATTCAAATCGATCATGTAGTGTATTGTGACCCAATCCAATTGTTTTGACAGGCTCTAAACAATGACATCATCGATGATGTTCTGATTTGTTTGACTGGAAATTGAGCCACTAAATTCAATAGTTCAAGGTTCGGTTTCAATGTCCGGCTCAATTATTTTTGGTCTGTGTTCACTGCTAATAAACACACTAGTGTGGCAATTAAATATTTAAAGGGTGTACTTATAGGAGCGTGCTTTCAAGCTAATCTCTTGTTTGGTTTTGTTGCTCTGATTCACTAGAGGTTTTTTCCTTCTGTTGAAATGAAACAGTTTTTAATTGACTGTGGACTGAGTCAAGTTTTTCTCTTATTGAAATTCTTGAAAGTTTTAGTAATCAAAGTGAAACTTGAAGTCTAAAATACTATAATAAAATATATATGTACGTAAGGTATAAAATATTTATTGAAGGTTAATTTATACATGCAAATATTTGTAAAGCATACATACGTATTTATAAAATACTTCCAGACTCCCGAGCAAATATTACTTCCCGATAAAGGGGTGCTCAGAAAACAGTTCCAATAATTTATAAGTCACTTAAAATTATGTGCACCACTCAATGCAATTATCAATCCGCCATGCTCAATAGAATGCTCCAGAAGCTCTCAGTTCCAAAATTAGATTAATTAAAGAACAAAGTCAATTAAGAAATCAAGTCGATTGCCTCACCCTGTAGATGGCTTAGATGTATATATACTTACTATATATACGAAGCGGCAGAAAACCCGTGCCTGCCATATCTGATGAGCATGAAGAGTCAGCGTCTCTGGCAGCCGATTGTGCTGCGGCTGTGAAACTGGAGCAGCTGTTTAGAGCCCCTGCTCCAGATCCCCTCTATAAGTCCACATCCCCGACTCCCACTCCACGGCCCCCTGAGACTTTATTTTCATTCATTGGGTGGGACGCAGACGTGGACATGCCCCAAAAGAGATTGAAGATAGTAGATCTCAAAATTAGAGATTGACACTCAGAGAAAATGGTTAGCTTTTTCATCAGCTGATCAGTAATATATTTAAAATGTTCATAAAATCATTCTTAATAAGAACAGTAGTTAGAATGTCTTATAAATCATGAAAATATTCACTATTTTTTCAAATCCTTATATCTCAAATCATAAATATTTTTTCCTGTGCACAACTTAACTAGGGGCAGAACCCAAAAACGGAAAGTGAATGCGCCGGTGCACGCGTCTCGATCTGGGAATTGGGAGTTGGAAGTTGTGAGCCGGCGGATGGGTGCTTTTTCGGATGGGATGGGATGGCTTGGAAGCTGGCTAGTTAGCTCGGTTCCGTAGCATCGTCATCATCATCAGCGGCTTGGCCGATTGTATCAATTCAATTGGACGCAGCAGGTGATTAAAAATTGGTTAGAGCCACAAAATTATCAATGTGAGATCGTTGATTGCCCGTGGCTGTTGTCTTTGTTGACCGTCATGTCTACCTGTGTGGTTGGCTTATATTATGGTCTCCAATACCTTTGGGAGGCTCAGCTTGCTACCTCCAAAACACCCATAGTTGAGTCGTTTTATTTGATTTGTGTTCGATTGGATTTTAATTTGTAAAGTGGAGGCTAATTAGAGCGTCGATCATTTCTATGAGTTTCACTTTTCAGCGCTGTGAGTTGGGAATTGGAAATTGGGAGGAGATGGCGATGATGACAATCATCATGATGATTATAATGATGATGGAGTGAAACATGGCAATGGGGAACCTTGGCCTGGCGCGTGGGCTTGTTTACAGCGAGTTGAAGGTTTCCCACTGATTTCGGTTTCGATGTCCTATTTTTTTAAGGTCACCTCTTGGCTGGGCAGCGATGGAGCGGAAAACCTACAGAAGTTTTCCCAATTGCAATGGGACAACGAGGCGCAGTTGAGGAGTCAGGAGCAGGAGTTTGAAAAGTACTATTTTATAGCAATGGTAGGTGGATAATTCCCACTTTGTTGATTTAATTAATATGTTTAATATATAATTTATATTCCTTAGAAACACCTGGCCAAAGGACGCGACTTGCATGCCGCTGCCCTGAAAGTGTCTGTTCTGAGTGAGAGCGCCAATAACCTCAAGTCAGCTTTGGATCAATTTGCCCAGAAATTGGAGCTGGCTCATGAGCGTTTCGAGGCTGCTGCTCGTCTGCTACACTTGCTGACCCAACATCAGCGGGAGTCCGCAGCCAGGGAGGAGCTACAGCGCCTGGCGGAGCAACTGGGAGCCACCTCTCTGCTGGAGAAACACTGGCCAGCGATGAGGAAGAGCCAATCCCTTCCGGTGGCCAGCAGCACACCAGCGCCTGCTGCCGGAAAGCGGGTGAGCTATCGCTGCAGTTCGGCCAGTGGCAGCTCCTTCGAGGGAGGTCCTTCGAGCAGCAGCTGCAGTTGCTGGCGAGAGAGTCGCAACCTGGAGGACATGGACCAAATGGATGAGGCGGAGGAGGAGCAGGATCACGATTGCGACGGCGGCGACGGAGAGGAGCACCAATCCAAGATCGCCGACTCTGGAGTTGGCGTTTGCGATAATTGCGAACGCAATCCAAAGTTGGCTAGAATCTGCTCGTGCCAGAGTCTCAACGAAAAGAGGTTGGCACTTGGCAATCTTTAAAAAATATTATGAAAATAATGTTCTTATTAATCTTTCCAGTCACGATGAGCTGCTCGAGGACGAGTGCTTCGATCGACCCTCGAAGAGATACATGGATATGCAATCACCCATGGAGGCGAATGCCCATCTGCAGTGCCATGGCTCCAGTCTAGAGCTGCCCAAGCTGGAGGAGCTCAGCTGCCTGGATCCCAAGATACAAAAGTAGGTATTATAGCCAACATATGGAATCTATTTCTCAACCTCTTAACCAACAGAACGCTTCTATTGATCATGCGCGAGATGATTGGTACTGAACGCGACTACGTGCGCTCCCTGTACTACGTGATCGAAAACTATATAGACGAGCTGCTGCGCGAGGATATTCCCCAACCTTTGAGGGGCCAACGAAACGTGATCTTTGGCAATATCGAGAAGATCTTCGAGTTCCACAACTCTCATTTTCTGGGGGAACTGGAGCGATACGAAAGGAATCCGCTGAAAGTAGGAGCTGCCTTCCTGGAAATGGAGTCCAAATTCTATTTGTATGCCCTCTACAATAAGAACAAACCCAAGAGCGATACCTTGCTGAGCGAATATGGTAGCTCCTTCTTCAAGCCGAAGCAAATGCAGCTCCAGGATAAATTAGATCTGGCCTCGTATTTGCTGAAACCAGTGCAAAGGATGGGCAAGTATGCTCTGCTCCTGCAGCAATTGGTCAAAGCCTGCAAGGGAGTCGAAGGAGCAGCTCTTCAAGGAATTGCCGCGGATGTGGAGGAACTGCAGAGAGCGGAGGAAATGGTCAAGTTCCAGCTGCGCCATGGAAATGATCTACTGGCAATGGACTCACTCCGCGATTGCGATGTGAATGTGAAGGAGCAGGGACGACTGCTGCGCCAGAATGAATTCCTTGTTTGGCAGGGACGCGGTGGCAAGAAGACCCTGCGACAGGTGTTTCTCTTCGAGGAACTGGTTCTCTTCAGCAAAGCTCGTCGGTTTCCCGATCATAAGGTAAGAATGATGTAGAAATAAATTAGTATTATAATTTGGAAAAGGATCAAAAACAAAGTATCAGCTTTAAAATTGTAAAAAATAAATTATAATTTTCGACCGTCGACGTAGGTAATAAAATAAACCATTTTTTATTTCTCCTGCTTTATCATTTTCCACACCCCAAAGGCAACTTATGGGAGGCTTAAGGTACCACAGAAAGTCCCCAAATATTTAAGACCTGTCTAATCGATTTCACACATATTTCCCCACAGAATCTGGACATATACATTTACAAGAACAGCATAAAAACTTCAGATATTGGCTTGACGGCGCACACGGGCGATTCGGCAACCAAGTTTGAGATTTGGTTCCGAAAACGAAAGCCGGATGACACTTGGATGCTGCAGTGCATGTCGGAGGATATTAAAAATGCCTGGACCGAGGAGATCTCCAAACTGCTCTGGAAGCAGGCGAAACGAAACCGAGGTTTGTTTGGAATTATATCAACAATAATATATTACTAATTTATTCCCACCGACTTTGCAGAAGTTCGTCTGGCGGAGATGTCCTCGATGGGCATTGGCAGCAAGCCCTGTCTGGATATTCGACCTAGCAACAACCAGATCAGCGACCGCTCCATTCCACTGGCGCAGTTGAACAAGAGTGAGTCTTGAAAACTCTAAATCATTTAAATTAGTAATGTAATTTCTTTTGTTAGCTCCCAAGCTGCGTCACTCGGAGCCGGGAAAGGGCAGCATGCGGCGTCCCAACTCGCTGATCTCGGAGAGCTCTTTGTCCAGCGGCACCAGCACCACCAGTGGCTCCTCCGTCAGCGGTGGCTCCTCGTCGGGTCACCATGACGGCGGTGGCGGTGGTGTTGGCAGGCACAGTCTGCATTTTGGCAAACTTCCTGGACCACACAGCAGCAGCACCACCAACTGCAGTGCCACTTTGGAGCTGATCAACGAAACGCAGGCCCTCAAGCTGGGCAAATCCTCCAGTGGCGGAGGAATCAAGGGGGCGGAAACTGCAGCCGAAGGAGGCAGCAGTAGTACGGGAACCGGAAATGGAAACGGAAACGGAAAAGGACTCGGAGGCAGCAAACGACACCACAAACGATCGACCACCATTGTCAGCCAGCTTTCTATGGGTATTGAGCTTGAACTGTGCTACTTCTTCTAGACGCACCCCGTAGAAATTAGTTGATCCCTGTACATAATCTCAACGAAATCCCCCCAGTATTACTGTACATAATCCCCACCAAAAAACACGAACAAAAACAATCCTAACCCGTAATCCGTGTCTGTCGTGTGCTGCATGTTTGTTATATGTTATTTGCCGCTTTGGTGTCCTGTGTTCTCATCCGATATATAATACCCAATGTGTGTAAATATATACCCCCATTCAGAGAGCGGCATAGTCTCCGACATGTGCGTCAGTCCGGACCAGGAACAATCGCCGGCGGAGAGCAACCGGAGCAGCTGGTCCACGTCCACGACAACGGCATCCGGAACTTCGACCACGAGTGCTTCTACGGTGATCCTGCGGCGATATCGATCCTACGCCCATGCGGCGGAGTCCGCCAGTCCGGACAGCGGCAAATGAGGAACTCCTGGAGTATCGAATCTAGCAGTAGAATCTATAAGAACCCCCATTTATAGCTTTAGCAGAACGGTTTCATCGGATCCAGATAGTACGTCATTATCACGATCAATTGCTTATTTTATTTCATTATTTTTGTTATTTATTATTTATTACATTTTTTAGTTTTTGTTAATTTGTCATTATCGCTGCTGTTCCGTATTTGGCCTTTTTTTTCGCAAAACCCATATTTAAATTATCGAATTCAGCGTGTCAATGTCGAAGCATATTTCATATATAGTTCTTAGTCCATACAATCGAGCGATGTGGGAGCCATGAGCAGCACCGGAAATGGGGCGTGGCCGATTCCCAACATATCTGAAGCGAAGTTCATTACGTACAGTTAGTTAATATGTAACCTAAGTGCCTACATTTAAAATAATCGTAAACGAAAATAATAAATATATCTATATCATAATATTAAATCGATAAGTATAAGCGAAAATTTAAAATCAATAAATGTTGCTTCAATGTAAAACGACAGTTCTCTTTTTATTTCAAAAAACCCGCCAAACTACATTAAAGCTGTTCTATTTTTAGAACCCCTTACGATTCCCAAGTGCTTGTTCGCTGATGTGTTCATATAAATAAGGGAGAACTGCTAGCTTACAGTCTCTAAATGATATGATGAAAAAATTTACTACCCGAACCATCATGTGGGCCTTTGCCATTTTTGGTAAAGGGACGTAATTCTGATTCAGTCAAACTGTTTTTGCCTTTTTCGGTTACAGTTTTATGATTTTTTATATAAAAATATAAATTTCGTTTACAAATAAATAACTTATAGGAGCTTTTTTAACCGCCGTGTAGAGTGGATATAAAGAGCACATTGTCGTTGGGCTGCAGCTCGTAATCTAGCTCACCCTAAAAATAAAATTATTTATTAAACATTTTATTGTGTACCTGACCTAAACTTACAAGCAATTCCCAGTCAGTATCGTTTATAAGAACCAAAATTCCTGGCCGTCTAGGAAGTGTAAAAAATAAATAAAATTTAAAGTACAATATAATCAGAGTAACTTACACAGTATCACCTTGCAGAAAGAGTTCCGGGCGCTCTGTTAAAATATTTGCATGCATCCACTTGAGCAGGTTTGAAATGGTCCCTTAAAATAAACAAAAACTAAATGCAGATTCCAAAGTTTTTAAAAATCAACTAAATCTTACATTTTTGATCACCGTCCAAGGCAAGTTGTCGCCGTTTGATGTTTCCAAAAAGTAACTCCGCTCCAGCGCTGTGTCATAAACTCAGCTTAATAAATATGTGATATAAGTTAAAACTATAATTACCTGAATTCCAATATTATTTTTAATTCCGGCGTGCCCATCATATGTTCGTTGTAAACAGAAGTGTGACCACCTTTCAAACACCGGACAATCATCAATGCCGCAAATAAAACGAAACCAGTCTGGCAACTTCAGATTCAGAACTCTCCGAAATAAGATCCAAGCAATTTCCGTGGATATTCTTTGTTCTTGGAAGTCCCTATTTTTTGGAGAACTAAGCTCTTTTCCTTTCTGCATTTCTTTCATATTTTTAAGTGTTTGATAAAAAAGTTCTTTTTTACCAGAAGCTTAAAGAAAGCTGAGCTTACGTAAACCCTTAAAGATTTATTGTTTTACAATTAAAAATATAAAAACATTTTTCCTGCAGAACCCAGAAATAATAAAAATAATAATGTCGAATAGAGATTTAAGCTTTGGCGAGGGCATAGAATTGGTGCTCGAAATGATCTCAATTAAACCGAAGGACCGGCAAACTTTTAAGGAAGATGCTCAGCAAATAGAAAATGAACTTATTCGGGCGATTTCCGACCTAGATCCGTTTTTTAAATCAGCTTTTCAAGGATTGGCTTTGACGGGCAGCAATCTGGATAATGTGAGGATCAATCTTCCGGATGAGTTCGACATGCTGACAACTGTCCAATTGCCATGTGAAGTAAAGCCAGTGCCGATACAAAGCCACCGTAGCTACTGCCGTTTAAAGGTCAGTGGGAATAATATTCCCTTTCATCTGGTAAACCAACAAGGGAACGATTACTATATTAGTCGTCGGAAGATTCAGTCCTGGTTTCGGGATAACATTAACGAAGTTATCCCCAGTCTGAACAACATTATCTGTGGAGGCGGACGATCCTATGAATTAAAAAACATAACCGGAGGCCATGTAGCACACACCATTAAGGCTATTTGCAATTCAAATCCTGAGCGTAAAATTTGCTTTGACTTTGTGCCCGCTTTTCCATTCCCCGCATCGGATTGGCCCAAAGATTTTCCAAAGAACAAATATGGATGTTGCACTTGGTACGCCGTACCCAGTAAAATCCGTTCACCTAATGCTGTGGACGATCCTTTGTCTTTTATCGTTTGTGCTCCCTACTGGGAGCGAATGGTCCCTGAATAAAAAGCAGAACCTCAAAGATGGATTTCGGTTGTTGAAATCCGTACGGGATGCTAATGATATGCCCATGATATTTAGCTATACAATCAAAAGTCTCTTTTTAAACGCCGCTAGCAGAAAGATGATCAACTGGAATCAATCCCCAGGTCGAATTCTTATTCGGGTAGGTGCTTTTTCCCTTTTGTGGTGGACTTTGTTATTTATACCCCCTATTTAGGCAATCGATTATATGGCAAGGTTCATACAGAGGGGATTTCTTCCGTTCTACTTGGTTCCAGATGCTAATGTTTTAGAGGCCCTTTCCAACGAAGAGAGACGAGACTACTTGGTAAAACTTTACCGTATCTTACGACGTCTCATTAAGTGTCGCAATCGCGATTCGATGACACCAGATGATACCGAGTTTATTTTTAATATGCGATTTTAATAAAACTCCTTCCATCAACATTTGCTGCTAGAATCCCTTAAGAGTTAAGAAACTTGTTTCACCATTTCGTTTATAACTTACATCACAAAAAGCGAGAAATATTCCTTTTTTTGTTATGTACAAGTGTTTTCCTTACAAAGGATTTTATTTTATAAATAAATCTTGTTATCCTGCCATAAGAATAGCCTTTTTTTATTACTGCTCCTTAGACTTTACGGGCTTTTCGGGATTTGAGCTAAGATCCAGTTTGAAATCGATTGGTTTGTCGTATCCCATAATCCGCACATAGTGTTCGGGGTCATCGAAAAGCGCGGGGTCCACAAAAAGCGGACGTTTGTTGACCAGAAAAGATGTGAACATGCCGGGGACCTCTGGCACAACCACATCTTTGGGTTGGAATTTCGTCTGCAAATGGAAATTCTCAGTTAATTGGAGCTAAACCCTTTATTAGGTATCCACCTTGATCTTTTGCAGGAGAATGGAGATTGTGGTGGCTGTATACTCGTCCGTTTGGGGATTATAGTGCAGTTCCGTCACATATTTCTTGGTGATAAAGTGCAGCAGCAATGGAGTCACAAAAGTGAAGAATCCACCGATGGTACAAAGGAATACGGCCATTCCGGTGCCTCCGATTTTCATTCCCTGTTCGAGGAGAATCGGCTGGGCAGCCAAACCGGCCAAACTGGTGCTCAACGAGAAAAACTTAACCATTTTCATCCGGGGAGCAAGAGTACCGTAATAAATCCGCTGCAGTGCATCCTCGGAATCGGTTTTTGTGGATTTGACCGAGAGCCACCTGAATTGTTGGAATTTTTGTGGTTCGGATTTTTGGGGTTTTGTCGTATATCCAGCAATACATCTGCAACTTTGTGGTAGGGAAATCTGGCGGGAGGCATTTCCCAGGACCACGGAAAATTGTTTCCCGCGTGGCAGTACCGTTCGTAAAGCTAACATAATATATTTCACTAGTTTTAATTTATAAACAGATGTTTATAGATGAACGTTGAATAACACGAGCTGCAGTAAGACCATCTGTTAACCGCTTAAAAATCCCCGCATATTAAAAGTGTAGATATACTATCTGTGTTTTAAAATACCGAAACAGGGTAAGGTTACACTGTTCTTTTAACGGAAATTTAAAATAAAGATTAGATAGACTTTTAAAGAATATATTACGCAAAATTAGCTATACTCTTAAAATCGGAAAAAGCACGTATACTTTTTTTTTATAAACAACAACTTTTAATTTCTATTATGTAATAAAAATCATTAGAAGCCATTTAGGATAATCGACATCAACTTTAATGAAAATATGAAGTTTCATACTCTTTAAACATCGTTAAAAAACTGTTAAAACATTGAATATGTTTAAAAGCTTTTTACCGGTGAGTGTACGTTTTCGCAATGATTTCCCAAACATCCGGACAATACAGCTAATAATTTGGCAAAGGTCGAGTGCGTATTGCAGATTGTAATTGATTAACAATGAGAGGGGAGGGGGCGGGACCACACCCCTTGCGGTGCTATCTGGAAACCAAAAACACACACAGAAAACTGGCATGTGGACTCGAATTAATATGCTCGAATTAATGGCAGCTGATGGGTGGGCGTGGCAGATGCGGCTCTAGTTACCACTAGTACATGCAATTTGTCGCTGTTGGCGGTGACCGGCGTTTAACCACATTTTTAATTTATGTTGCTTTAATTGTTTAAATGGAATTGCACACACAGAGGTTATGGTTACACGGGGTTCTCTGCCATTTTTGTATTTTATTTTTTGTTTGGCCCATCAATTGTTGGACTAGTGTGCCAAGTGCACGCCTGACTGAGTTGCACTTTCAGATCCATGTCCAGTTGACCCATCAACCCATCCGCCCATTCCCGGAGTGCTCCCCTTTTTGGATTCCGATTCCGGCAGTTGAGTGACAGGCGGGCGGAGATCTTGAAATTGCTTTAATGCAGCGGCCTCCGGTTTCATTGGGCTGCATTCAGGCGTCACTAATCAACAATTTTCAAAGTGACCAAAAATCACATTTGATTTTGAATTGCCCCAGTCATGTGGAGCTTTATCTCCCTCTCTATCCATCATCTATGAGTCCGTCTCTTTCTCGACGGCAATCCTTTTGTTATCCGTGCCTTTTGTTGTCATTTCATTATTGTTATTTCATGCATCATATTCATTCCACGACCATGGATACACGGAGAAAAATGCAAGAAACTGATTGAAAGTAGGGATGCATCGGGATCCAACGACTCTTAGATAATGTTAACAACTATTTTAAAACACAACTCAGAAGACCAAAAATTGTTTGATCCTTTTTTTTGGTATTATAAAAGTAGATAAAATCAAAATGCTTTTTAAAATTTCCTAGAAGTGCAGTTGCTGCTTTTCAATTGTTTGGTCAAAATTTCAAATGCAGCAGGAAAAATAATTCATGGCGAAAAAAACATCGCTGATATCTGAACGAATGGCAAGGCAGGAAAAATAGCAGGAACACCATATTGCTCATTCAAATTCGCTGTGATATCAATTTATTTTTATGCTTTGGTGACGATTTTCATTCCCCATCACCCCAAGAGTTCACATTACCCATCTGCCACCAATCCTTCCTACCTACTAGTATGTAGCCAAAATTATACCACCTTTGCATCGTTTGGTTGCCTGATTGATGGGATTTTCGTTTGCAGTTGGCAATTTGTTTAATTTGTTTTATTTACCTTTTTGGTCGCCCTTGGTGGCGGCTTATTTGTTTTAATGGCTTCATTAATTTATCAAATTATGCTACATAATTAATAATTATCGTGAATCCTTTACAATACGCAAGGGTAATTCACTCAAATACCACCGCTTTGTAATTTTTTCGTCTCAGTTTTAACTCATTTCTGCAAAGTTCGAAGCTCATTTAAGGGTAGTGTTCGGTTTCAACAAGGATTTGTTTGAATAAACCTGGCATTAAGTTGGAGTTGCGAGTTGGAGGGGCTTACGAATTGGTTCAAACCAAGTTTGAGGCCTGAATATAAAGGGTTTGATGCAACTCAGCAGATGGAATGGATTCCACATTCTACTTTGACTCGTACTCAAACCGAATGACTTGAGTGATATCCTTGTATAAGTTGTAAGGACTTGTATACGATATTTGAGTTATATTTGCCCTACCCCTGTATAAGTTAGATAATGTCTTATACAGCATTTAGAAAAAGTAACTCCATTTTAGGAACGTCTAACAAAATTATACGAATTCCGAAACTATTTACATTTAAAGAAAAGTGTTTGGACATAATTTTTTTACCCACCCAAAAAACATTTTAATTCTGGTTAAAAAAGTGGTAAAAGGTTATCAGCGGCAAAGTAAGACAATAAATATATAATAACACTTAACATGCTTTAGGTGGAAGCCAAGCAGATACTGATACCAGAATAATGTTTTTAATTCCGATATAGAATAACACTTCTGAAGCACAAACGCAGTGTTTAGAAACCGAAACAAAAAACCTGGACTCATTTACGCAGCTAAAATGCAATTAGGACACGCTTTACAATTAACATGCTAACGAGTCCAGGAGAAAAAGCCGGAAAAGCGTCTGTGGGGAAAAAAGCGAGAAGAAAGGTCAGGAAAATGGGGTGAATGGATGGGCGGATATGTGGCTGGTCGCTCGGTAATTGTAGAATTTGCAGTATCAGTGGTCTGGTTAGATGTGCAATAAATCATTTCAAATTCACTTTAACACGCGCATGCAGCGAACTGAAGTTTTTCCAGGGTGGAGCGGGGAAAAACGCACACCGTTTCCCTGGCAATTTCAGGATGGGTCCCCGCCCCCGGAAGTTGAGTGGGCGTGGCTTAATGTTAAACTAAATGTTGGAATAATTACAAGCTTAAACTATGCGCATATTCAGAGGTAAAAAGTCGAGAAATTCATACAAATCGGCGAATAAAAGAGTGGGGAAAGGTCGATAGCTCGCACAGGTGTTCCCCGTGGGAAAACCCCACGTTTGCCAGGCCCTCCAGTGCCAAGTTCTTGCCATCATCCAATGGACCAAAACACTCGGCACCCGTAATTCAAATTCACGCTCACCCGGAGCCATTATTATGTTTCGTTCCGTTGTTCTCCACAAATTGGTAGTTCATTTTGAGCACATTTCGTGTGCCTGGCTGGTTATTAAATTGGTTTATAATTCATACGCTCGTGAGCTCGTAATTTTTCGCCATTTAATAAAGACAAATGTGAGGCAAGTGGGTCAATTTAACGAGAGTGCCTGCCACAAGCTGCGATCCCTGAGTTATGAAGTGGTGCAGCAGCAGGAGTGCATCCGATCAGGACCCTTCCATCCCCATCAGTCTGCCGGATTCATTCACCCACTCCTTTGTATCAGAACTTCCCTGGCAACGACAAAGGCAAAGTCTCGCCATCTGCGCTGAAATAATTACTGGCAAAGCCTTAAATATTAAATTACAACACTTATTTATTTTGGCCAGCTCGGTTCGGTGCGGTTCGGTTCGGTTGAGCTCGCTCGAAGGACATCGACGCACCATCGCCGTGTCCTGTTCTCACGTACAATGTCCTTGTCCGTGGCTGCAATAGTGTGCGAGCACGCAATGTCTTCGCCAGCTATTCAAATAGTCGTACCCCTCCCGTGCTCTCCAAACAGCCACTCAGGGACTCCGGACTGGGGACCACGGACTAAGGACTACGGACTACGGACTACAGGACTACAGGACTACAGACTGCGGACCACGGACTCCGGACTGCGCCACTCTGGTGTTTACTTTGTGGTTATTTTGAGGCTACAAGTTGCAACTTTTACATTTACGAGAACGAGAGCAAACAGCAATAGCAACAGCAGCTGTCTGGCAAGTCCCTATTTCTATAGCTGTTAGAATACCGAGAAAAAATCATACAAATTGGTAATTATTGAAAAAACTGTGAACTTTCGATGGTTTATTAATATAAGGGTATTTCAGAGCTACTTTATCTAAAGGAGAATGTAATTCCCAATGCCAGAGAACTCAAACAGCTATGGGAAATACGCGGCTTGAATTTATATTAACCGAGCTTGTACAACATTTTCTCCGTGCATCGTACGCCCCTCAATCTTCGAGAGTCAGCCCACTCAAATGCTTACCTTAATCTAATGAAAATTAAATGGCTGACAAGGAGCATCGATCTGAGAGAGGAGGCCGCCTTAAAGTGTCCTTTCATTAGCCCAGTTCCGCTTGCTGCATGCCAACCCATGCCACTCGGGCGCAGCCACATTGCCTCTCCAAAAAGTGCAACTTAAATTTCAATAAGGCCCAGAAGGAAACTTACTGCAGAGTCGAACTGCAAAAGCTGCCATGTCCGAGTGAACGAGCATGTCTGTGCTTCCGCTTCAGCACGCAGTGGGCTTCAAGCTGTCTGGCAGCGTTTAAATCAAAATTAAACCCCGAAAATAAGCTGCTGTGCGAGGAGAGTTCAGGGGGAGGTGGTGGGTGGAGTGGTAGGTGGAACAGCTGCCACTGCGACTGCAACAATCAAGGCTCCAAAGTCATCTGCCCTTCTCGTTGCCATCGTCACACACTTACCCACTATATTTTCAAGGGTCCTGCCATATTCTCTGAAGTAGTTCTTAAAGAAATTACTTCAAGTTCCGTTTTGTACTCGCATCAATGAGAGTTCTTACAGGGCGCTTCACCTGTAATTTTTAGAGCTCTTTTTTATCTAGTTTCCTTTTTATCTAGTATTCCTAACAAAATTGCAGTTATACATCTCTATAAATTAGAAGTAGTTTTCTTGGAGACACTTATTTATAGTTTTTGCAGCAATAAATGAGCTTTGATGGTATCTCTTATGCCGGTCATCGCTGCGTATACGTAACAAAAAGTTTGCTTGCGTAAAGAAAATGTTGACGTACGTTTAGTTAAACCAAATGTTTTCTAAAAGGAACATAATTTATTCCACTTCAAATAAGCTAGTGTATAAATGTTACTTTAAAATTTAAATATTTTATATGTTTCATAAATGTTAATCAACTTGGAGAGAATGCTTTAAAACCGACCGAATAGTTCTGAGAAGGGAATGGTTAACTTTTCAAATTGTGAATAATTTTTTTGGCTGCCAATAAATAATATTTTTGATGATGCTTTATGACAGCCCCGAGCTATTTCATTCTGCTGGCCCACGCAGCGTATACGTAACGTTATGCTGGCGATGCAACAAAAACCAACACGAAGGGCAAAAGGGAGCGTGTGTGTGTGTGTGTGTGTATTTTGGAATGTGCATCCGAGGCGGTTTAATAAAAATAGATGAGTAAACTGGCATTAGACAGGACCTTCGTCCCGCTGCGGCTGTCCTTCTCACACACTCCATTGGCTTTGTGCCGTCGCCTCACTTCGAGCGTTACAAATTCAACTTTAAGCGTTTTGACGCTAAGTAGTTGATGGCACTACGACTAGAACCCCCGCCCCCGCCGACTCACCCCGCTCTTGAAAAAGGCAGCATCCCCGGGACTGTTGATGGCGATGCCAGGGCAACCACGATTGAGTGCACTCCCACAATATTTCCTTAGCATATATCAAAAGTTATAGTTAAAGAGTTGCCCGTTGTTTGGCCCTATATCGTCGCTGGTTCCCCCAGCGCACTTCCTTCCGGCACTTTGACTGCCTCGCTCCATGGGAATGGTTGATTTTGGTCTGCCTTTTTTGGATCGACTGCGGCTTAGGATCCAGCATACTGGATCCCAGGCTCCCAGGCACTGTGTCCCCGGCCATGAACACGCATCCTTGAAGCCAAAATTGAAGTGTTTGTGCTGCAGCACAAGTGCCCAAAATGTGCATGAAAACAGCTTACAGCAGCATGAAAATTTTCTGACAAGATGTCAGCGGGAGAAGGAGTCGGGGTTTTTTGGACGACATGGCAAGAGGATCCACCAACATGATGATGACGACGATAAGGTCGCCACCGTAACGTTACGCACATCGTCTGGCTTTAATATGACATTATATTGTTGCGCATATTTCTCGTTGCATATTGCAAATAGTGCGGCGAGCAAAACGTCAGAAAAACTGATGCATGCACAAAGGACTCCAAATTTGATTTAAAAAATAACATAAAGTAATAACAAATGGCAAGACAAAATTAAAGCTTGAAAAAAACCAAATTAAACGTTTATTTTACACACCAAAAATTTGAACTGTTTTCAATGAGAGAATATTTATTTATTATTTTCGTGGTAACTGTGTGGGCTATTCACTTAATCATGTGCAAATGATTTTTGTGTGGTTTCTGTTGCTGCCAGAAATTTAATTTAATTGGTTTTAAATCGATCACTCAATTTTATCGTTCTTGAATAGTTTGCCAATTAAAATATGTGTCAAACACTAATGACAGTATCGTTTAAAATATCAAATTATTTATTTTAGCAAACTCATTATCGGCGCATTATTTCACTCCTGCACTATTTTGGTAATTTATGAACCCAATTCTGTTTAAAAACCCTACTGGTTTGGTGTTTGATTGCAAAGTGCAACATGTGTTTAATTGCCTTAAATTATGTTATTCGAATAGCTGAAAACCAGCGTCAGTGAATAAAGCTAATTATCTAGAATGTATTTTTCCGGAATTCGCTTCTTTTGGGACCGTTAACCCCCTTCAACTTTAAGGTCGAGCTTCGAGTCCCATCGAGAATTTCTGGTGTGCATATTCATAGCCGAGAACTTTATTCATTAGGCGGCGGCGCCTTCGAAAATATCCAGCTCACAAGTTGCTCGACTCGTAAACGAAATAAGTTTTCGTTTTCTGCGCGAGTTCTTGTTATGGAATTTAAGCAAGTTGTCATAAAAATGTCGCCCCCATTGACACGCCCCCCCAGAGAAATCTTATAGCGGGGGGCGGGGGTGGCAGAAAAGAGGTGTCAATCCGCACTGCAAAGTTGCCCAAAATCCAAATCCGCAATGTGGTTGCAGGCAACTTTTGCTCTTTCCGGTCGGTGGCAAAAATCCTCAGGGGAGCCGGGAGTCGGGAAACGCTTGGGGAAAATGGGAAAGGGGGCAAGCAGCAGATGTTGCTGAATTGCGTGCAGTTTGTTGCTGCAAGAGTTGCTGCCTCGTTGTTAGCCACAACTTTTGGGGGTTTGCACGATTGACACCTTTTGGGGATTGCGACAGCTTTAACGGAGCCTGCAAGACTTGCAGTTTAATTTGTTTGCTGTCCAGAAATGGAAAGCCTACCTGCGGGCACTCCATCTTGCAACATCATCATCATCGAGTTGCCCAAGTTTCCCCGGCAATTTAACACAATGGCATTGTGTGCTAACAACAATACGGAAAATACGGAAAACGAAAACGAAGGAACACGGAAAAACTAAACGTGCCCAATGCACGATTCTGGAGAATTCGCATAAAAACTTTCGCCCTAAACTTGTGCAAGTTCTTTTAATTTTAATTAAACGGATGAGCAGCAATTAGCGAAATAAATCTGACAATTTTGCAAATGAGCCAGCATGGCGCCTCCGCCCAAAAAATGCAGCCAAATGCGGGACAAATTAAATTAAGTCTCTGGGCTGGGGGAAAAAAATATGTTTTTCTGTAGGATTGTTGAGTCCCGACGGAAAACAATTCGAATAACCATACAACAAGTTCTTTGGGTGGGTGACTTTGGCTCCACAAAACTCACTTAAATTCAAGTTAACAGCCACGGACAAGAGTTTTTCCGCTACCAGCTGGCTTTTCCAGCCGCGCATAGTTTTGGCTTCGGTTTTTGGTTTCAGCTTCGGTTTTTGGCTGTTGCGGCTTTGCTCGCCTCCATTTTTCCATGGCATTTTATATTCATTTTGGCTTTTAATTGAGGGCGCTTACTTGCATTTTCGTTGTCACTTTGCGACTTTGCTCCAGCCGCCACTTATTTCTCTCATCTGAGTCCCTTCGCGGGGCATAATGGCCTGCACTCCGCTTTGTTTTTGCTGTTTTTGCATTTAATTGCGAAAGTTTTTTAATTAAATCAGTGCCTAGAACATCTGTGTCAAGTTGAGGTTTTTCGGGGGCTCGTATGGAGTATACGAATAAATCGCAGAGAAAAGCTTGAAGAGATTGGAGTATCTCCGATGAATCCCCTTTTGATTACGTCTAATTATGATTGCGATTTACAAACTAAACGTTACTCATTATCTCAGTACCATAAGAGGGTTGGTTTAAAAACTTCGGAACATATTATATATAAATATAATCAAAAATAATAGTAAAGATCTCATTCCAAATCTTTGTTAAATTTTAAGACATTTTTCGAAAGTTAATAAAAAGTCAAAAACTTCACTTACTCAGATTATTTTATAATTTTACATGGTTTATAATTTAAGTTTGGTTTTAAGCAACGTTTTTATTATCTGTTTTTTTATAATGCACAAACAAAAAAATTATTTTTCGTTTCATGACTTTTTTGGTCAGCGCCATTGCTCTTCTTTTTCCATTCCTCTTCTTCTTCAAGCTTTCACAAACACTTACTATCCGATTCAGCATGGAGCTATTTTTTAAACAACGAAACTTTCGGCATCTGCAATCAACTTAATAACTTTTTACTGCGCAACAAAAGAATTTATCTTCTTTTCTTTACAAATCGTTAACTTTAAAAGCGATCAAGAGATATTTTAAAGAATTTTATGTGTTACCGACGCGCGAATAAAAAGGATAAGAAGAAGAAGTGAAGGATTCAACAAGTGATATCAGTATATCGATGTTTCGATTTTTATATTACTTTGATGCATCGATATTTTTTTTTTTAGTTTTTCATTATTCAATTGTATTTAGTGGCATCTTTGTTAACCATCTTATTAAAACTAGCTTAATTTTTATGTTTTTTACATGTTTTACTTTTATAATGAAAACTTTCCTTAATGATGTTCGATTTTCTAATGTTGTTCCTCAAAATGGCTTTTTCGGAAAAAGACCCAAAGCCAGCACTGAAAGTCCCATTACTTTTTTAATAATGTCTGATTTTGGTTTATTTTATATAAACTCGATGTTTTACATTTTAAGAAACATCGATATTTTTTGCAGCTTCTTCCAGCTCTAGCTTTACCTGATCGTAAACCGTAAACTTATAACCGTCGCTTGTGGAATATTTGCCAATTCCTTTATTCGCTCCTTTAGACACTTTGGTCAGTTTTTCGATCGCGTGGTGAAAATAATTATTTACAGCGAAAACTTCAAAGATCTGCGCGGAACGACAGAAACAATATAACAATACAAAAAGTTAAAAAAAAATTGAATTTCCTTCTCCTTCTCCTACTGGAGATCCACTGTGTTAAAAAAATGCCTCGGTTTTAAATCCTGAATTGTGAAATAAGAAGTTCTGCGTGTTAAATCCAAGGGTAAGTGAAATTAAAGGAAATTCTTAACACTTAATTTTTAATATTTATTATTATATTTTTGATAAAATTATTTTATTATTTTAAAATCGTTAATTCTCTTATAAGAGGAATTCATCCAATCCAATACACACATTTATTTTATTAAATTTTGTGTGGGGTTTTTACAATATTACCGAAATTTCAGTTTGTATTTGAAATATTTGTCATTCTTAAGAGTAGCTTACAAAACAGCCCTCTCGCTATTAGCAAGAATTGCGAAGAAAAATCCCCTCATCTGAAATACAACATACAAATGTACATATTTGAGGTCTAATAGCTATCTCCCAGGGGGCACACCCCTTATCAGGCGTCAATAAGAACCTCGCCAATTTGAGATTCTCCTCAGTCAGTTGAAAGACACCAGAGTATAATGACTTGGTTTGCTTTGCTCGTCGTTTGCCTCGCAGCAACTGCTGTTCAGGGGGAAGTACCGATAGTGACGAGGGCCGAATGGAACGCCAGACCTCCAAACGGACCCATGGACAGCATGGAAACTCCCCTGGCCCGAGCCGTAATTGCCCACACTGCCGGAGGCAGTTGTTCCGATGATGTCGCATGTTCTCAGCAAATGCGCAACCTGCAAAACTTCCAAATGTCCAAGCAAAAGTTCTCGGATATTGGCTACCACTATTTGATTGGAGGCAATGGCAAAGTTTACGAGGGCCGAAGTCCCAACCAGAAAGGAGCCTTTGCAGCGCCCAACAACGACGGTTCCCTAGGCATTGCTTTCATTGGGAATTTCGAGGAACAAGCTCCCAGTCAAGAGGCCTTGGATGTCGCCCAAAAACTCCTCGAACAGGCTGTGAAGCAACTTCAGCTGGAGGATAACTACAAGCTACTGGGCCATCGGCAAGTGAGTGCCACAAGGAGTCCCGGCGAAGCCCTCTACAATCTTCTAAAGCAATGGCCCCATTGGTCCGAGCAAATATAAAAGCAACAATAAGATTCCTTAAGGTTTCGACACGTAAAGACCACTCCTTACACATTTATTTGTAAATATAATTATGTATAATTTGTTGTTTTGCTTAAATACGAATACTAAAATTTTAATTTTGTTGATCTGTTTCCGCTGTACTTCGTCGACTTCGCACATTTTTGTTAGCTGCCGCCTTTTTATTTTTTGCCTGGGCCAAGTTGAAGGCCCTGCTTGCTCCCCGGGAGCAGTGCACTGGGGGAGGGGCAACTATTAGAGATTTGAGACATCACATAGCATCATTCACCGAACCGGAACTTCCGCAAGAAACTAAGCTAACTATACAGAACCCTAGATGAAGCACGGAACGCAGATGGAACGAACGTGAACGTAATCGTAAATGGTATGCAGAGAAGAATGCGCCAAACGAGAGGTAAACAAGAGTCGGCAATGTGGCAAACAGATGCTCGAATACAGATACAGATTACAGATTTAAAAAATATAAAACAAGGAACTATACAAAATTCGTAAAGTACTTAGGTAAATTGCACTAATATAAACTCCCATTTGAGCTGCCGCTCGCACTGTCCGTGCTGCCGCCCAATCCGCCGTTGCCACTCAAGTTGCCATTGCCATCGCTGCCGTTGCCGATGCTTCCGTTACCGCTGCCGTGGCCGCCAAAGTCCAGCTGGAGCAGCCAGTCCCGCTTGGCCAGGCCTTCGGGCGTCTCGCCGCGCTGCGTGCACAGCGGCTGGAAGCAGGTGGTCAGTCCAACGCTGGGCGTAAACTCGGCCCTCTCGCGCAGCTCCTCCTCGGTGGCCAGCATGATGCAATCGTCGTCGATTTCGTCGCTGTCGACGCTGTAGGCCGCCGCCAGCTGCTGCTGCTCCGCCCGCTGTTGCACAATGCTGTCGCTGGTGCGCCGAAAGGAGTCGTCCGTCTTGCGCAGGAAATTGTACAGCGCCACGCAGCCGAGAACCACTTCGCGGATGTGTTTGTCACTGATGCGCAGCGGCTGCGCCAGAATCGGGAACATGTTGCAGAGTATTCGCATCGTCTGGTCCGCATGGGCATTCACCTGCTCGAGCGCCTCTAGCACGGCCCGATCCTTGGGCAGATTGCGTGTGGTCACCAGATACGAGGTGGCTGGCAGTACCGAGTCGCCAGCGAAGTAATAGCCCTGCCGGTCCATCTCCGCCGACTGTTGCTCCTCCAGAGCGTGCATCTTGTGCCTGATCAGCTCGACGGCAGTGGTCTGGTTATAGATGTCATTCGGACGGCTGCTCGCCGCCCGCTCGACCTTTGCGTACTGGAAATTGTTGTCGGCATCCACGATGCCCGTGAAGATTACGGTCGCACGCTTGCGATCGTCGCCGGCGCTGCCCGCCGCACCGGAACCCAAGCCCGAACCGGATGAGGAGCCCGATCCGGAGCCCTGGAGCTGGATGCTGCGCATGAACAGATTGCCCACGCAGTGGGGCAGGTTGTGCTTGCGCTCCATCTCCTCGGCGGCGCTGCGCCATTGATCGTCAGTCTTTGGTAGTGTCACGTATTGGTCCTTGAGGTGCTCGTAGAAGCGCAGACAGATATTGGCAATCATTTCGTTTATCACAAATTTCGAGGCACGGAAGCAGTAATTTCGACAAGAATGTACTTCACCTAAACCGAGTTAAAAATGGGCTTTATCATGTGACCTAAAAATCGTATAAACTTTACTCACCCGTTGCCAAATACTTGAGCGTTATGGCCAGTCGCTCCTCGGCGCTGAAGGACTTCTTCTTGCGCTGCGGCGCGTACTTGCTAATGATGGGCTCCAGCTTTTGCACCAGATACCGAAACTGGCTCTCTGTTATGGCTAGGAAGTAATTCAAGTGATAGCACTCATCCTTGCGCGACTGCAGTAAACTAAGTAGGTTCTCCTTGCTAAGGAACTCGGCCTGGTTTTTGCGCAGCCATTCCTTGGTCCATTCGAGTCGTCGCCGTGTGTTGAGTATCCCGGCGAGATCTAATGCGCTGATTTTGGAGGTTTGTGGTCGCGACAGAACCGAGGTTCTGGCAGCTCCACTTGCCCCCACCGATGCTCCTCCCGTTGCCGTTCCTCCGCCCGTTGTTTGGGTTTCTATCGGGGCGTTGCCTTCGTTGTTATTATCCTGCGTGACCCCAATCGAGGGCGCTGCCACGCCCACTCCGGTGGAGGCCAATTGATGACCCGTCGAGGCGTTGACTCCACCAGATCCTCCAGCCGCCGCTGCTGCCAGTCCTGCGGAGCCACTGCGATTGCCACCATCGCGTTCACGCAGCACACCAATAACCTTTACCTTGATTTTGTCCATTGGAGCCCTGCAGGAAAACAAAAAAAACACAGATCAATGGGTAGATTTTTTTGCACTATAATCCCAGGTCGACCTAGAATCTATATAGCCAGCCATATAGCCGCACCCCACATTTGTGGGCCCCCGATTTTCGCCCACTCGTCGTGTGTTTTGTGCAACAAATCGATTTTTACTCACCCTCCAACCTCCCGTGCCTTGCGATGTGTGTATAACCAGTTTCGGATCTTCGGGGGGAATACGTCTACGGGCTGGGTTGTATAATTAGAACTATCTGCCGGAACTATATATCTCGCGTTTGCCGTCTTAGCTGCTCCTCTACGTTTATCGGTCACCGAATTAAACGTAGTTTTGTTCGTACATCAGAGTACCAACAAAAAAAAAAAAAAACCAAAAACCGATGCCAATACGAAAATGCAGCCAGGCAGCAACAACAACAACGAACGTCGACAACTTTTGATGGACAGCCAATTGCGTAGAGCCCAGCCAAGGAGTTTTCCGGCCAATGGGTCCTTTCCCGAATCCGCTTTTTCCTCGGCCCAGCTCACCTGCGTTGCAGCAACCACCTATCACTTGACCGAAAACCACATTTTCCCCAATTCTTTCTTTTTTTCACGGTGATGTTGCCCGATGTGATGTTCCCCCAGCAGTGTGACCATGGGCCCTTGTTCACCTGGTCTATTTTTTTCGAATTTACGCATTTTCCAACCCTGGTTGGAAGGGGGTTGAAAACACGGCTATTTTTTGATATAAGGGGCTAACACGCCATCTATAACAGCGCTGTTAAGTGGTACCGATTATAAATTAAATGCAAAACCGAACTAAATTAAAAAAAATGTTTAAACTTTCGACTCCCTGAGTGGAAATAACCAAATTTTTGATCATATACAATTTATATAATAAATATTATATGTATATTATATAATATAAATTGCAAATTCCCTGTTTAAAAGTGTAGGTGTCCTAACGGTTTTTTCAGTTTTTCAAGCAAGTGCCATAAAGTCATTAAAAAACCATATTTTGAAACATAATCAAAAAATTGTTCAATAAATAACGATCTAAAATGATTTTTTTTTTTATTTTTAGTGAATTTTTGTTTCAAATAATCTTATAATCAACATAGCTTCTTTGGGTTATGTTTTTTAACATTATAAACTTTGTAATGCTCAAGAACTAATTTCCAAATTGGTATTGAAAATATATTTGCATTCATTTGGAATTTTATCTATACCCCCATAAATATGGATTCCCATTCATTGAAAAACGAAATAACAATTTTTATTAAGCATTTTATTTGGTTATTCATACGCGTGTGGGTTTACAATACAATAATGTTATTTTTTTTTTAATATTTCTTGTATGTTTTTAACACAAATATTATTTTGTTTATATTCCATTACAGTGGTGATGCTAAAACGTTTAAATCCTTTCAATAAGTAGGTTTTTTGACGATGGTTGCGGTAGTTCTTTGTGAATTATTTTATATCTTGTCTGTATATCTTTAAATTTGATCTATGCATTGTTTTTCAGATTGTATATTTATGTATATTTTATTGTTAAAATATGCAAGCGAAAAAATTTGCTTGGTTCTTGTAAAAAAATGAGACTTTAAAAGCATTTCACTTTCCAGGCTTCCACTATTTCATTACGTCCCCTTTTCCACATGCGTTTGTATAATTGCTTAAATTAAACTACAATAATAAGCGATTCTTTTAATAATAAGTATCCTTCGTACATGTACATATATAATAACTACATCAAATTAAAAGCAAAGGTGTATTCCATTACAACGCTCTAGCACAAAAGGTTTGGGTTTCGGTTTTAGTTTTTATAATTTTTAAACATTAAAGCCAATAAGAAAATGCGTTGAACGGCTTATGCTTGCCATATTCATATTTCGTATGCATGTTTGCGATTTTATAGTTTTTATAAATATATAAAATATATATTTTGCCTTTAAAAACTCGTTTATGCACTTCAATATCATTAAAAATGTGTGTAGATGGAGAATCTCAAATTTGCTAATTAATAAATCCCCTTTTGGTATTCGATTTGAAATCGGTGATGTTCAGAGCCGGTCAAGATGCGCGTCCCATCCAGAGTTTCCTTTATTAGTGATACGCCTAGAAGAGCGCCTTGTCTGAAAGAACCAAAGCAAAAAAGCCATATTTAATACCAATTAGATTTTGGAAAGGCGGCGGGTATTACTTTTCTCTGTCAAAGTTGAGCTCTGCTTCTAAGTCGAAGACCAAGTAAAGACATAAAACAAAAGTAAAACGAAAAGCCGCGCAGCGTTGCCATTGGGATGCTTACCTAGCCGAAAATTCTATGTCACCGTTCAAGCCCCATTTTCATATAGGATTACGAGTGACTTCTTCTCCCACTTCATTCTTCATTCTCAATCCCATTTAGTGTTTACTGGCCTTGCTGCTGCTTCTTCTTGGGATCGTGTCCTTCATCCTCGACCACCGTGGACTCGTCGTGGGACCAAAAACTGGCCGACATTTGCGACGAAGTCATGCCACCCACACCAGGGAACGAATCCTCCATTAAAGTGCTCGATGCACAGCTCGTAACGCTCCCGGACATTTGGGAGTTGCCAGCGCTAGTTTGGTACGTGGCCGTAGTTCCAGCCGAACTGGTCGTCTGCTCAATGCAGAGATTCAGGGAGTCAACTGAGACGTCCTTCGACATTCCGGACTCATCCATCGGCAGCTCCTGTATGCCACCGCCCACACTCGTTGTGGTTGTTATCACTCTGGTCACCGTATGCTCGTGTCCATCGGCATCCGTGCTGGTGGTTGTCGTTGTCGTCGTGGTTGTCAGACCATCGCCCAGTGTCACTCCTCCGCCGCTGACGAACTTTGTCATCAGGTCCAGTTGCTCGTCGCCAAAAGACTCTATGCTCTCCTGTCGCGAATGCCGTTTGTCGATCTCCAAGGAGTCGATATCCGATCGAGTGGTGGCGTCTTTTGAAATGTCAAAGCTCTCTATGCTGCTGGTCATCATGTCGTGGCTCTTGCTGATTTCCATGCTATCGATGCTGTCCTTCTCAGAGTCTTGACTGTCGATCTTTGACTTGGGTTCCAATTCAGTAGTGGGCACGTCAGTGAGTTTGACTACTGCGGATCCTTCTTCCCGCTCCAACTTGTGTTTGAGCAGGGCTTCAATGCTCTCCGCTTGGTTTGAGGGCACCACTTCGGTGCGGGTTACTGTGCGCGTGACTTTGGTCACCACAACATTGCCAGTGGCTCCTTTGTCGCTGCCATTTGATTTGTTTGATTCGTCCGAGCGCGATAATAGAGCCGCTTCTTCCCTGGCCTTGATCTCGATCAAGTGGGCCTCAATGCAAGCGTTCTCGAGACCCTCAAAGTCCTTTAAACTGGAGACGGATACATCGTCACCAGGAGCAGTTCCACTCCCGCTGTGACGAACAACATAACGTCGGGTGAAGCTTCCGTTGCTCGAATCCGTCGAGCCTTGGTGTGTGCGATTTCTGTTTTCCAGGGAGATGGCCTGTTCCAAAGATTCAAACTCCTGCAGACTACTCATTGAGACATCATCGTGTTCGCCACGAGAATGATACCGACGTGCCGCCACATCGTACTCTGGCGTGCTCGAAAAGGAGTCCTTAAAGCTGCTGATCCGACTACTGCCCACCTCGAACTCTCCGTCTTCTTCTTTAATGTCCTCCAACACGGCTCCGGTTAGATCGTAAGGATATCTCAACTGGTTGTCGGTCAGCTGCATCTCCACCCACCGCTTGTTGGCCGCCGCAGTTTCGCTGGAATCGCTCTCCTCCTGCTGCTCACTACTGCTACTGGCGCCCGTTGGTGGGCTCTCCTCAAACTCGAAGTTCAGATCGTCCTTGTAGAGCTGTGAGCCGAGCTTGGGATCCGCTGGCGCCGACTTAATGATGATCTTCTCAACGTCCTCGTCATGCTTCTGCTCGTACTTGGTTGGTTTTATCTTGATGCTCTGACCGCCGAGGTCCACTTCGTTGGCCTCTTTGGCCACCTCTTCGATGATGACAAACTCATCTGAGATATCGGGTTGCTCGACCATTTCAAAGGAGTCTGGCGAGTCGGGTGCTTTGCGATCATCGTATTCGGCTCCAACTTCAGCCCGCTTCAGTTCCTCGAGCTTCTGGCGGTATTGCTCTTGCACACGTCGCTGAAAGTCCTGCTCCTTCTCCTCGTCCTTGGCCTTCTGGTAAACGGAGGTATCGCTCGCCTTGTGTAATTCCTCCTCGGTGCGCACCTTGTATAGAATTTTCTCGGGAAACTCGTCGGTCTCCTCTTCCAGAATTGGCGACTTGATGTCTTCTGTAACCATTATGTCGGGTATGTTTGAGTAATCCTGCATGTTTTGTGAAGGCCGACGCTCTTCGATCATGGCTGCCTCTGCCTCTAGCTCCTCTGTGGCACTGTCCTCTACAATCACCTCAGCTACTAACTGGGAAGGGGTAAAGGGACGTTTCTCTAGCTCTCCACTGTGATCCATTTCGGCTGCCGCCTGCTTCTTCTTTTTGCTCTTTCGTTCTTTGGGGGAACGGAATTGGCGGGCATACTCCGACTCGTAGGGATCCGTATCCGATTCGCTCTCGGATTCTTTTCCTTCGCCCAAGAGCGCCACCTCCTTGTCCAAGTTTTTCAACGCATCCCCCGAAATGCTCTCGTTTCGTTTGTGACCTCTACGCTTTGATTCTCCTCCTGGTGGGGTACTGGCATTGGAATCCTGTGGAGAGTGTTCCTTACTTTCCATTTCCAGCACGAAGGTAGCGTCCTCTGGCACTGAGGCAGATGGAAGCGTATCATCGTGACCGTACTGAAAACCTTCTATTCCAGTTAGCGAAGAAGATCCTGCTGATCCAATAATGTCATCAAAGTTCTCCACAACAGTATCAATGTTGGATGTGCTCGACATGCTCACCGAGAGTATGCTGCCTTCGTCCAAGCTGGATGCCAACTTGGACTCATCAATTGATCGACGTTGGTCGCCGTGATACAAAAGAATATCCTCACTCTTTTCACTCTCCCTCGGGCTGTCCGCTTTGCTATCGTCTAGAGGATAGGCCAATCCCCACGTGCGCTCGGCCTCCTTGGGCTTAGGGTATTCCTCGACTTGCACAGACTCGACGGGAAGTTTTTCTTCCTCCTCAGCCTTGGGCTTGAAAATCATTTCCTGAGAGCGCTTCATGAGGCTTTGCTGTTCGCTTGTTGGATAAGCAGTTCCTGGCAGTTCTACGCTCTCATCACTGTCCTCATCATCAGGTTGGAGATCACGCAGCCGCGAAATTTCATCGGCTTCGAAGGCATCCGCTTCAGCTGAAGAGGCTACCAATGTCTCGGATAATTCGGATACATCAATGCTGGCCAAATTGGCCGATGTCTCCGACTGAGAGTCTAAACTACTGCTGCCAAGCGTACTCACGGCACTTATGTATTCGGTTCCCTCAGTGCGACCAGTGGTGGTGAATTCCCTGGCGGTTTGGTACTCACTGGAGGTTCCTGTTCCTGTGGCAGTCACAAGATTATCCAGATCAGAGGACAGGGGTCGACTCTGAGTCCTGTCGAAGCTTTTATGAAAGCTCTCACTAGAACTTGAGGTGTCCACATCGGGAATCGACCAACGGTTTATGGAATCTGGCGATGTCTCGGTCTTTAGCCTGTGTACCACAACATCGATTGGTTTCATTGATTGATCTGACGAAAGCTCCTCAAAGGTGCTAGTTGTAATTGATTTGTCGGTAGCACCTTCATCTGCCACCACGCTGGCGACCGCCAGTTTTTCGGAATAGTAATCTTCCATAGAGCTGAAGTCCTCGGCAGTCTCAGTGGAAATAAAGCCCAGAGATGCTTGCTCCTCCTTGGCCATATGGTCTTCCATGGAACTTAACTCTTCGGCTGTTCCAGTGGAAATGAAACCAAGTGAACCATGATCATCTCGCCTTTCCCCTCTGCCGAATACATCCTGGGCATAATGAGCCATAGCTGCTTGCTTGTTAAGGGTCTCCCTGATTGTGGTATCGAACAGACCTTCTGGGGGCTGTGTGCTCTCCAATGTTGAAGTTTGCATGCTAGCATCGGGTATGCCTATAAAAGATGATATATCTTCGCTCTCAGTAGTGGTAGCAAATCCTTGAGGCATGGTATTAAATTTTAAGTCTGATGAGGACTCCTCGATGAATTCTTCCTTGTTCTTTGAGATCGCGCTTCCGGAGTCCTGTTCCTCGGGCAGAGTTTCGCCTATAAAAGATTTATCCATGGTGCTTTTTATGTCGGATTCTTGTGCCTGCTGTGGCGAGTGAACTACTTTTGGTTTTCCTGTCGTTGGGATTTCCTTCTCCGATGTTTCCCATTCACTTTTTCCAAGGGCAACTCAAAACGATCTGTGGAAGCTGTCTTTTCAGAGATGGTGTTTACAATTTCCGGAATTTCCTTGCTGGATTCATCGGGATCTTCACTGCTTGATGGTGCAATTTCAATCAGGGCACGACCACTGGATCCAGTCGATGTGGTCAAGCTCTCCTCAGTGGTAACCTTGGATAGCTTCGGTTCGCCTGATTTGTCTTTGTCGGCATTTTCAAGTTCAAGTATGTCATTTCTAGTTTCTGATCCTTGTCTGGTTATCTTGCTGTCCAAGGCGGCAGCGTCGTCGGGCTTCATTGTGACATACTCCTTGAAGACATCGTTGGCTTCTTCTGAGTCGACGGATACCTCTTTCATTAAGGAAATATCCTTGGCATCAATGCCTATTTCGCCCTGGGCTTCTTCCTCCTGTGGTGTAACGCTTGCCGATCTTGTTGAGGTCTTGATAATAACATTGCGGCTGGACTCACCGATGTAAAAACTAGTGGTTTTTTCCGCGCCCTCTGATTTCTCCGTGTCGGCATCATCCACAGAAATCTCACTCGTTGGATCCAGGCTCTCGGTTATGTCCTCTGAAGCTGTGGTAGTTGTTGTAACAATGTCACGAAGTTGTGAACGGATCGAGAGCTCTGTGGAGGGCTCGTCCGTCTTTGAAATGTCCTCCGTGAATTCGAAGCTCCTCAGACTAATACTATCGGACTGCTCAGCTAGGGCAGCCAGGTTTTCGAAAGGTTCTGTGTGCTTTATGGGAGCACGCGGTTTTGGAACCGGGGCTGCGGCATCAAAACTAATATCAATAGGTATTTCTGGTTTCGGCATTGGGCCAGGAATGGTAGTGCTTTCAGTGCCTTCGGAGACTGGGGAGCTTGCTTTGAGTACTCGTGGTTTTGGTGTGGGTGTATCGTGGCTGGTGGTAGTGAATGCATTGGTTTCTACCGTCGGCTCAGTTTCGGTTTTGGTTTCTGATTCTATTGCAGTTGTGCTGGCCACAACTGCCGACGGTGGTACGGGAGTGGTATCGTTATCACTTGAGATTGGTAAATCGCCGCCTGTTTCTACAAAACAATAGGTGTGAAAACGAAAGCAATTTTAAAAGTGTTGTGAAAGTCGAGAACAAAAGATGAGGAGTAAACATGGTTACAGGATTGAAACATGAAAGAGAAACATAACGTGTAAATGCGAGAGAAAGGTTAATGCATTCGAGTACAAGGTTAGCATTGGATGGATAAGATTATAGAGATAGATAGGTAGTATAGGATAGCATGCACATTTCATATGAGTTAATATGAGTAAAAACTGAAATGAAAAAGTTTAAAATGCAATTAGAGCTCAACTTGATCAAATAAAAAGTTTATATTGGCCGCCTTTTTCGATTTGCCATCGCACTATAACAACATAAATCAAACTAAATACTGCACATACATCTAGCGTCAGTTTTTACGCTCTGATGGTAAACAGAAGGTAAGCGAATATAAAATCAAAGTTCGTTTTTAGGCGCTTTGCTCTTGCTTATGGTACCTGCGATGAAATCTTGAATATCGTTATCGGGCGTTATTTGGTTTTGAGCCATATCGGCCATAGTGTTGGTCGTGGGTGACACGCTGTCATCCCAGCTTAGTTTGGAAAAGTCGCCCTGTAAGGCACTGATCTCGTCCTCGGGCACTGCCATCTCAAAGACCTCATCGAACTTGGCGCTCACATCGTCCATGTCCGTGGATAGTTTCTCGATCTTCCGATCGATGCGCCTTGCTCGTGTCTCACTCTGGTCCTCGGCTCGATCTCGACTACTCTCTACTATTGGGGGTTCGGCTACGGATTCGAGTACAGGAACAGGTTCTGGATGGTTCATGACAACATGGCAGGGGAAATGGGAGCAAAAAGCAAACGGTACTAGAGAATGGTTATGGCCAACGGACTAAGTAACACTATGCAGTCTAGTATGCCTCGAGCTACAATCCTAACTTCTAGACTAGCGTAGGACTACCTCAAAGCTTGACTCTATATGTGGTATTGTTACCTTTTGCCGCCGATGTACTTGTGGCAGCAGCCTGGGAATTGGCTTGGGGCAGCTGCACCTGGGACTGCTGCTGTTGGAACTGAGTGGTAACTGTCGTTGTCATGGTGGTGGTCGTGTTCTGGGCATGCAAAGGTAAATGTATGTGCTCGTCGGTGAAGCTCATGTTGTCGTCAAACGACTTGCCCGACATAGATTCAATGGTGGGCGATTTGATAACATCGACGCCGCCGATATCGTCGCATGTAATGGCATAATTCTCACTTTCTGAGTTGTAATCCAGCTTGGCAATCTCATGGGCATTGGCCTGATGGCCTTGACTTTCAATGATCTCGACACTTTCTTCGAGCACGCGATCCACCAGAATATTGGCTTCCTCGCGAATGCGTGCAACAAGATCTTCGCCATCACCATCATTATCACCACCACCAACTTTAACATCACCTGGAAGACAATTGCACAGTTCATTGGTAGATAGAAATTGGACAGATTGAAACAGAGAAAAATCGAGAGAAAGGGCAAGCTTGGAAATTATGAGAAGCATGAGAAGCGAGAAGGATGTGCAAGTTTATGTGTGATAGCTGATGGCGGTGAGACTGTTTGGTGATGTGATCGAGATCTGTCGCACTGAGACGAAAGCTTATTTTAAACATAAATCCGTTTAAGTTAGACTATCAATGAGCTTTAATTGCATTGAGTAACAAATGAAATCAAATAATTAATTTTGCGTACTAATGAAGCGTTGTTGATTTCGAGCACTATGAAAAGCTGAAGTTAAATACCATAAAGTAAAACTTACCAATTTCTTGTGAGATCTTCACCGTGCTTAGACTGGGTAGGTCTACTTTTTTTTCCTGGAGGGTTTCTGCAATTGACAAAACTATTGTTAGAACAGTTTAACTTAGTTGAACAAAACACAAAAGTGACCTAAAACTACATTATGTTACTCTACAAACGAAATGATAATGCATGATTTACAGACAACTGATATAATAATAAACGAAAAGAATTCTAAATTAAATTTTTGTTAGCACCAAGTACAATTACGTAGATTTAAAATAGAGAGTGAATGTTAGTACAAGATTAAAAAATCTGTTAGTATGACACGGGCACAGAGGTTAGGCTAATGGGAGCGAGGCGAGTAGATTTAAGGCTTTTTGCTGCTTTGGTTGTGGAAAGAACTTTAACGAAAATGTTTGGTAATTGTTGGCTTTACTTACAAAATGCTTGAGTGTGTGTGTTGGGCTATTTTCGTATTTATGAACACTTATGAACTATTGTTGAGATTTATTTTGGCAACAGCTTGGGACCGACTCGAGTCGGATTGGATCAGGACCCGCTAAGAAGGCTAGTTGCCTCCTCTAGCGGCTGACTCGTCGGACTCAACATACTCAACGTCGGTATGGGCATCTCGGATTATGCCTTTTGTATGCAGCTTCTCGGCCTCGCTGTTGAAACTGCGACCACTCTTCTCGTGAACAACTGTGTAGCTCTCGTTTAACATATCATTCAGCTCCTTACTATTGCTGTTGGCCACTGGAATGGCTGGTGGTTCCAGTGCGTCCTCCGCATCCGACGGCAACTGCACATCCTCGATATCGGTATGTTGCTGATTAACTAAATCATCCTTAAGCGTACGGAAGTGAAGAGGTTGTGGCTTGGTTTTAGCGCAATACTTTTCACCCGTCGATGGCGGTGGAGCATCGGAAGCTTCAGAGATATCAGAAACATCATCGGTGGATACATCATCGGCATCAGATTCTTTGTCTGCATTTGAACCTTTAGCTTGTTGTTTCAGTTGCTCTACGCGCTTCACTCCTGGAGGTAAGCCGCACTCACTCAAGTCCATGTCTTCGACATCTGTAACCCCGTCCTCTTTGCCCTTAATAGCTTCAAGAAGTTTGTTCTTGCCTTTGCTCAGAGTGCGGGTCTTCAGCTTCTTGCGACGATTTGTACCGGCCACAAAGATCTCCTCGACATCGGTCACGGACTCGGCGTTAGATTGCACTTCCAGTCTCTTGTTCTGATGTTGTTTCAACAGTTCGTTGGACACGATCACTTCATTTTCGATGAGACTGGGTCCTCCCATCGCAGCACCTTCGGCAATCGAATGCAGGCTCCACTCATCAGCACAAGAATAGTCCTCGGAATCGGTGTGAATCATGTCCTTTAAGTGGTTATAAATGCCAAACTCATAGTTGCTGTCCATGGGCATCACATTGGTAATAGTGTCCCCGTACTTGTCCTCTTTTAGTTCAACCACTTCACGATGTGGAAGGGGCAGGGCTTCGTTAGCGACTACACGTGCTTCCGGTTCGGCGCAGGACGACGAAGTTTCTTCACAAAACATGTCCTCCACATCAGTAAGGCAGGTCCCGTCATCGCCAGTAGCCAGGATTATGGCGCGTGGTATAGGCTGCTCGTCCTCCTCTTCATTGTCAAAGCTATCTTCTGCCCCAGAGTCGTCAATGCCCTCAACATCAGTAAGGACCTCTTCGTTCTTTGAGGCCAACTGTAGGAAATTCTTCTGTCCCTGTATGGGCATGCTCGACTTGGAGTTTCGGCGCGGTTGGCCACTGGCACTGACAAAGGCCACATCGATGGGTGGAAAACTGGTCTCACTTACACTCTGACTCCAGGCTGCGGCCCCCTCTGGCTCGGACTCGCTGCCCGAGCAAGCTATCTGACATATCTCTTCGTGGCCACTCTCGGATACCTCCAAAACTTCATCTTCGGACATTCCCCGCACCCCAATGCCGGTGCAATCGGACATGGCCGACGCCAAATCACTGATGTCACTGATCACGGATACATCTTCGTACTGATCGGAGTCATCATTGTTCTTTTCGCCATCGGCTATATTGACCCGACCCTGATCGCCCATGGCATGATCAAGATCAACGCAAACCGACTTTTCGTAGCCATAACCCACTTCGGAATCGGTATCGTAATCCTCGCAATCAGTCAGATAGTCAGCCATTCCATTAAGGTTTTGTGCTTGCACGAAATCTCCAGCTTTTATCTCGCAGCTCTCCTTCGCATCGTTGTCGACCGCTTCCTGGTTCTGAAGTCCCTGCTGGAGAAACTCTCGCAGGGACAGCTTTAGTTCTGGGTAGGCTGTGCTCTTCTCGTCATCATCAGATTCGGTATCATAATCCTCCACATCCGTCACATCATTGTCGCCTGTATTTGTTTTTGGAATGGCTTTAGGCTTTAGGTTTGTGTTGCAAGAGTTTCGCCGGGAGCTTGGTTTTAAAACTTCTATCTGACTGTCGAAATCTTCGACATCGGTAACGCCTCCAGCCCCATTTCGCCCGTAGTCCATGTCATTGCTATCGGTATCATGAGATGACGAAGAGGAGGATAAATCGGAATGTGAGGAACGCCTGTCGGCGGTTACGGATATAGTTGGGAGTTTTTTGGACATTGTCTTGTTGATTGTTTGAAGGGTTTTTATTGGGTATATTATTGCTTAAGTTTGACGGCTTTAGTTATTCAAGTTTGCTATTTGTGGAGAACAAGTTAAAAATGGTTTGAGTAAAAGCAGATTAAATATAAGCATATCAATAAGAAAAGTTGCATTTGCTAACTAAGCCCTAAGTATGATGGGTATCGTAGCTATGCTAATCTTAACAATCAATGTGCAGTAGACTTAGGAAATATCTTCAATACTGTAGCCATATTTACCTCTTGAAGTGCTGCTCTTCTCGACCTCCACCTCAGCCTCCCGTTGACTCTCTCCGAAGGGCACTGGCATGGGCTGTGGAGGATCAAGGGCACCAGCACCGGATTGAACCACGCTACTGTGTTGGTACTGTTGATGTTGATGGTGGTGCTGTTGCTGGCGACGCAGGGTTTCCTCGATGAGGGCTAAGGGACTGCGGGTCGGCTTGGGCGATCCAGGGCTGGCGGCTAAAAGACGCTCCGGATCCCCAGAGCCGAACATGGGCAGAGCAACAGAGTCCGAGAGACTGGAGTCGGTGGTGTCGATAAAGCTTACATCGAACTCGTTGATGCACCTTTGTTGATCGCTACTTGTTGAGGGCGGTCGCACTGACATGATGGTGTGGTGTTCTACATCGAACTCAGGCTGCCGGTAGACAACCTCAAGCGGCTTATCGGGGCCGAAAGTCTTAGTGAATACCTCGCTGGTTAGCACCTTGCGACTGTTGCTGCCGCTACCGGAGGATGATGAGGTAGAACTTTTTGTACTATCGCTTGATTTAATGGAACGTATGGTTATCACCTCACAGTCGTCATCAACGAGCACGGTGCTAACAGCGCCGGTGGTTGCAGTTGGTTCGCGATGCACCCGCACAGTCGATGTCGACACGACAGCGCCCGCTGCCCGTCGAATGTTGGTCAAGTCCTTGTCCGTCTTGCGACTTACCGTGCTAACGGATCGCACACTACGCCGCGTACTGTTCGAAGAACCACTGGCACTGGTGGTGCCGCTTCCTGAGTTCGAACTCGTCTCGTTCATTGAGTCCTTCATCTTCTTTTGCAGCTTGGGCTCCATGGAGCTCTGCACACTTCTGGTTGAAATGGTGGACGAGGTGACGCTTCCCTCACTTGCTTTGCTAACCGTTCGCTTCAATGTTTTCTTATTGTCTACCTGAGGTCTCTTGTCGGTGTCATCACTCTTGCTAAGCTTTGCTGCAGTCCTTGCACTGGAAGACACGCTTATCGGAACTTTGGTGCGCTGTTGTATAGTGGCTGTGGTCTTCTTTTGAAGCTTGTTGTCGGTTTCTATGGAAGTTTTGTAGGCAAGTGTCTTGGCTGAATTAGCTGATTGTGTCCTCATGCTTTTGGTTGCTTGGCTCTTGGAGCCTATCACGTTTGTTAGTTTATTTTCTTTGGATGTTTCTCGTTTGTATAGGCGGTCGGTGCTTTTCAGGGACTCCTTGCTATCACTCTGTGAGCCTCTTTTGATCTGGGAACGGGGTTGTATTGGTTTCTTTTCAGCAAACATGTTACTTTGCTTTGCTATCTGAGATGTGGACTTTGTCAAGGCACTTTTTTTTAAATGTGTATTTTGAGAGCTCTTAAGTTGGGCCGGAGCTGGCGATTTTGGTGGTACTGGTGACTTTTGGGGTGCCAGTGAAAGATTGTGGCCAATGTCGCCATCGCCACTTAAGCCATATCGCATGCTGTGGGCCAGGGTGGGCTGCATATATCTGTGGGTAGCAGACGGTGTCGGGGTTTTCCTTTTCTCAATGTACTCTTGGCTACCGACTCTATCAGTCTTCTTTGAACTCTTCTCTGTAAGTTCTTTGGTAGATCGAGTGGCAGTAGTTTTAGTTTGTTTAAAAGTTGTCTTTTCCGACTTTATGGTCTTTGGTTTCGGGCTGAACGACCGAGTCGAGGCATTGTAGGGTATTTGCGTTACGTCCGTCTTAACTCTTGGCCTAGGGGTGGTGGAGCGACTACCATCGCCATGCGGGTGGCTCTCGTAGAAAATGGAACTTGATGCTGGGCTGGCAGACCTCTCGAAATGTAATTCACTTATAACACGACTCGTAGCGGACGCCGAACTGGTGGTGGTTGAAGTTGAGCTAGTGACAGAACGTCTGGACTCAGTTTTCTGTGGCGCTTTTGTTTTGTCCGTTGCTGTTGTCTTTCTAACTGGTGTTTGCCTTTTTGGGGTCGACCTAACTTTTGTTTGGGAAATAGATGGGGGCTTAACATCGACTTTGGATTTATCTTTGACCCCTACAGTTCTTTTGCTAACGGAAGTCTTAGTTGATGTTTTTACTTCACTCACAATTTTCCCTGACTCTTTCTTGGTTCCCTTTTGCTGTGTGGCCTTTACTATAGGTTTTCTAACGGGAGCTAACGACTTCTGTTCATTATCAAGCTCTACAAAGTAGGCTACTGGTCTAACTTCTTTTGTTTCTGACTCATTATCCTTTTGTGGACTCATTATCATTTTTTTAGATATATTAGGTTTAAGCTTTGCATTCTTAAGTGTTTCCTCCACTATTTGTTCTACTGATCGACCTTCAATCACGCATTGATCTTTAACAATAACCAAGTTTCTTGTATGTTGAACACTCTTAAGAGTTTCGTCCACAATTTTTTGGACTTCAGCATCACCAGCTCTTATGGTGTCCTCCACGATCTGTTGAACAGACCTATTTTCATCGCAATACGAAATAATATCAGACCTGTCCTCCGGGAGCTGTTGTTTTATTGGCATACTTTTGTTTGTTGTTGGGTCTTGAGTATAATCTTTTAAAGGCTTGCTAACTTGGCTCTCTACTGAATCTACAATGGTGCTTACAGATATTATGTTGGCTTGAATTGTTGTTGAACTTTCTTCTGCTTTAAAAGGCATAACTTCCCTAGGCCCTATATTTTCTTTTAAATGAGATTTAACAGGCTTGGCTTGGGGATTAGGAACTTCTTCCTCATCATCGCTCTCATCGTCCGAATACTGTAGGGGACTGGGTTTAACTGACTCAATTGTTGACTTGGGTTTGTCTAGCTCTGTTGGGATCTTATCGTCTTTGAGCTCGACCGACTTTGGTTTTTCATCAGGCTTAACGGGAGATTTATCCCCAATGGGATTGTCTTGGGGCTTTGAAATTCCAAACTCCTCATCACTTTCATCGTCAGAATACTGCGTTGGGGTTGGTTTCACTGACTCAGCTGGTGACTTGGGCTTGTCTTCTTGCTTGGTTGGGACCTGTTCGTCTTTTACGCTTGCAAACGGATCAAATGGTTTGCTGGCCTGGCTATCTACTGAATCTACAATGGTGCTTACAGATTTGATGTTGGTTTGAATTGTTGTTGAACTTTCTTCTGCTTTGAAAGAAATAACTTCCTTAGGCTTTGTATCTTCTTTGAGAGGAGATTTATCAGGAGCACCAGTGAAAGGAATTACTCCAACAGGCTTGTCGTGGGGCTTTGGAACTTCTTCCTCATTATCGCTCTCATCGTCCGAATACTGTAGGGGACTGGGTTTAACTGACTCAATTGTTGACTTGGGTTTGTGTGGCTCTGTTGGGATCTTATCGTCTTTGAGCTCGACCGACTTTGGTTTTTCATCAGGCTTAACGGGACATTTATCCCCAGCACTGATTGAAGGAGCTACCAAAGGAGCTGGCTGACTAATGGGATTGTCTTGGGGCTTTGAAATTCCAAACTCCTCATCACTTTCATCGTCAGAATACTGCGTTGGGGTTGGTTTCACTGACTCAGCTGGTGACTTGAGCTTGTCTTCTTGCTTGGTTGGGTCCTGTTCGGCTTTTATGCTTGCAAACGGATCAAATGGTTTGCTGGCCTGGCTATCTACTGAGTCTACAATGGTGCTTACAGATTTGATGTTGGTTTGAATTGTTGTTGAACTTTCTTCTGCTTTGAAAGAAATAACTTCCTTAGGCTTTGTATCTTCTTTGAGAGGAGATTTATCAGGAGCACCAGTGAAAGGAATTACTCCAACAGGCTTGTCGTGGGGCTTTGGAACTTCTTCCTCATTATCGCTCTCATCGTCCGAATACTGTAGGGGACTGGGTTTAACTGACTCAATTGTTGACTTGGGTTTGTCTAGCTCTGTTGGGATCTTATCGTCTTTGAGCTCGACCGACTTTGGTTTTTCATCAGGCTTAACGGGAGATTTATCCCCAGAACTGATTGAAGGAGCTACCAAAGGAGCTGGCTGACTAATGGGTTTGTCTTGGGGCTTTGAAATTCCAAACTCCTCATCACTTTCATCGTCAGAATACTGCGTTGGGGTTGGTTTCACTGACTCAGCTGGTGTCTTGGGCTTGTCTTCTTGCTTGGTTGGGATCTGTTCGTCTTTTAAGCTTGCAAACGGATCAAATGGTTTGCTGGCCTGGCTATCTACTGAATCTACAATGGTGCTTACAGATTTGATGTTGGTTTGAATTGTTGTTGAACTTTCTTCTGCTTTGAAAGAAATAACTTCCCTAGTCTTTGTATCTTCTTTGAGGGGAATTACTCCAACAGGCTTGTCTTGGGGCTTCGGAACTTCTTCCTCATCATCGCTCTCATCGTGCGAATACTGTAGGGGACTGGGTTTAGCTGACTCAATTGTTGACTTGGGTTTATCTAGCTCTGTTGGGATCTTATCGTCTTTGAGCTCGACCGACTTTGGTTTTTCATCAGGCTTAACGGGAGATTTATCCCCAGCACTGATTGAAGGAGCTACCAAAGGAGCTGGCTGACTAATAGGTTTGTCTTGGGGTTTTGAAATTCCAAACTCCTCATCACTTTCATCGTCAGAATACTGCGTTGGGGTTGGTTTCACTGACTCAGCTGGTGACTTGGGCTTGTCTTCTTGCTTGGTTGGGACCTGTTCGTCTTTTAAGCTTGCAAACGAATCAAATGGTTTGCTGGCCTGGCTATCTACTGAATCTACAATGGTGCTTACAGATTTGATGTTGGTTTGAATTGTGGTTGAACTTTCTTCTGCTTTGAAAGAAAAAACTTCCTTAGGCTTTGTATCTTCTTTGAGAGGAGATTTATCAGGAGCACCAGTGAAAGGAATTACTCCAACAGGCTTGTCTTGGGGCTTTGGAACTTCTTCCTCATCATCGCTCTCATCGTCCGAATACTGTAGGGGACTGGGTTTAACTGACTCAATTGTTGACTTGGGTTTGTCTGGCTCTGTTGGGATCTTATCGTCTTTGAGCTCGACCGACTTTGGTTTTTCATCAGGCTTAACGGGACATTTATCCCCAGCACTGATTGAAGGAGCTACCAAAGGAGCTGGCTGACTAATAGGTTTGTCTTGGGGCTTTGAAATTCCAAACTCCTCATCACTTTCATTGTCAGAATACTGCGTTGGGGTTGGTTTCACTGACTCAGCTGGTGACTTGAGCTTGTCTTCTTGCTTGGTTGGGTCCTGTTCGGCTTTTATGCTTGCAAACGGATCAAATGGTTTGCTGGCCTGGCTATCTACTGAGTCTACAATGGTGCTTACAGATTTGATGTTGGTTTGAATTGTTGTTGAACTTTCTTCTGCTTTGAAAGAAATAACTTCCTTAGGCTTTGTATCTTCTTTGAGAGGAGATTTATCAGGAGCACCAGTGAAAGGAATTACTCCAACAGGCTTGTCGTGGGGCTTTGGAACTTCTTCCTCATTATCGCTCTCATCGTCCGAATACTGTAGGGGACTGGGTTTAACTGACTCAATTGTTGACTTGGGTTTGTCTAGCTCTGTTGGGATCTTATCGTCTTTGAGCTCGACCGACTTTGGTTTTTCATCAGGCTTAACGGGAGATTTATCCCCAGCACTGATTGAAGGAGCTACCAAAGGAGCTGGCTGACTAATAGGTTTGTCTTGGGGTTTTGAAATTCCAAACTCCTCATCACTTTCATCGTCAGAATACTGCGTTGGGGTTGGTTTCACTGACTCAGCTGGTGACTTGGGCTTGTCTTCTTGCTTGGTTGGGACCTGTTCGTCTTTTAAGCTTGCAAACGAATCAAATGGTTTGCTGGCCTGGCTATCTACTGAATCTACAATGGTGCTTACAGATTTGATGTTGGTTTGAATTGTGGTTGAACTTTCTTCTGCTTTGAAAGAAAAAACTTCCTTAGGCTTTGTATCTTCTTTGAGAGGAGATTTATCAGGAGCACCAGTGAAAGGAATTACTCCAACAGGCTTGTCTTGGGGCTTTGGAACTTCTTCCTCATCATCGCTCTCATCGTCCGAATACTGTAGGGGACTAAGTTTAGCTGACTCAATTGCTGACTTGGGTTTATCTAGATCTGTTGGGATCTTATCGTCTTTGAGCTCGACCGACTTTGGTTTTTCATCAGGCTTAACGGGAGATTTATCCCCAGCACTGATTGAAGGAGCTACCAAAGGAGCTGGCTGACTAATAGGTTTGTCTTGGGGTTTTGAAATTCCAAACTCCTCATCACTTTCATCGTCAGAATACTGCGTTGGGGTTGGTTTCACTGACTCAGCTGGTGACTTGGGCTTGTCTTCTTGCTTGGTTGGGACCTGTTCGTCTTTTAAGCTTGCAAACGAATCAAATGGTTTGCTGGCCTGGCTATCTACTGAATCTACAATGGTGCTTACAGTTTTGATGTTGGTTTGAATTGTGGTTGAACTTTCTTCTGCTTTGAAAGAAAAAACTTCCTTAGGCTTTGTATCCTCTTTGAGAGGAGATTTATCAGGAGCACCAGTGAAAGGAATTACTCCAACAGGCTTGTCTTGGGGCTTCGGAACTTCTTCCTCATCATCGCTCTCATCGTCCGAGTACTGTAGGGGACTGGGCTTAACTGACTCAATTGTTGACTTGGGTTTATCTAGCTCTGTTGGGATCTTATCGTCTTTCAGCTCGACCGACTTTGGTTTTTCATCAGGCTTAACGGGAGATTTATCCCCAGCACTGATTGAAGGAGCTACCAAAGGAGCTGGCTGACTAATAGGTGTGTCTTGGGGCTTTGAAATTACAAACTCCTCATCACTTTCATCGTCCGAATACTGCGTTGGGGTTGGTTTCACTGACTCAGCTGGTGACTTGGGCTTGTCTTCTTGCTTGGTTGGGACCTGTTCGTCTTTTATGCTTGCAAACGGATCAAATGGTTTGCTGGCCTGGATATCTACTGAATCTACAATGGTGCTTACAGATTTGATGTTGGTTTGAATTGTTGTTGAACTTTCTTCTGCTTTGAAAGAAATAACTTCCCTAGGCTTTGTATCTTCTTTGAGAGGATATTTATCAGGAGCACCAGTGAAAGGAATTACTCCAACCGGCTTGTCTTGGGGCTTCGGAACTTCTTCCTCATCATCGCTCTCATCGTCCGAATACTGTAGGGGACTGGGTTTAACTGACTCAATTGTTGACTTGGGTTTGTCTAGCTCTGTTGGGATTTTATCGTCTTTGAGCTCGACCGACTTTGGTTTCTCATCAGGCTTAACGGGAGATTTATCCCCAGCACTGATTGAAGGAGCTACCAAAGGAGCTGGCTGACTAATAGGTTTGTCTTGGGGCTTTGAAATTCCAAACTCCTCATCACTTTCATCGTCAGAATACTGAGTTGGGCTAGGTTTTACTGACTCAGCTGGTGACTTGGGCTTGTCTTCTTGCTTGGCTGGGACCTGTTCGTCTTTTAAGCTTGCAAACGGATCAAATGGTTTGCTGGCCTGGCTATCTACTGCATCTACAATGGTGCTTACGGATTTGACTTTGGTTTGAATTGTTGTTGAACTTTCTTCTGCTTTGAAAGAAATAACTTCCCTAGGCTTTGTATCTTCTTTGAGAGGATATTTATCAGGAGCACCAGTGAAAGGAATTACACCAACAGGTTTGTCTTGGGGCTTTGGAACTTCTTCCTCATCATCGCTCTCATCGTCCGAATACTGTAGGGGACTGGGTTTAACTGACAAAATTGTTGACTTGGGTTTGTCTAGCTCTGTTGGGATCTTATCGTCTTTGAGCTCGACCAACTTTGGTTTTTCATCAGGCTTAACGGGAGATTTATCCCCAGCACTGATTGAAGGAGCTACCAAAGGAGCTGGCTGACTAATAGGTTTGTCTTGGGGCTTTGAAATTCCAAACTCCTCATCACTTTCATCGTCAGAATACTGCGTTGGGGTTGGTTTCACTGACTCAGCTGGTGACTTGAGCTTGTCTTCTTGCTTGGTTGGGTCCTGTTCGTCTTTTATGCTTGCAAACGGATCAAATGGTTTGCTGGCCTGGCTATCTACTGAATCTACAATGGTTACAGATTTGATGTTGGTTTGAATTGTTGTTGAACTTTCTTCTGCTTTGAAAGAAAAAACTTCCTTAGGCTTTGTATCCTCTTTGAGAGGAGATTTATCAGGAGCACCAGTGAAAGGAATTACTCCAACAGGCTTGTCTTGGGGCTTCGGTACTTCTTCCTCATCATCGCTCTCATCGTCCGAATACTGTAGGGGACTGGGCTTAACTGACTCAATTGTTGACTTGGGTTTATCTAGCTCTGTTGGGATCTTATCGTCTTTCAGCTCGACCGACTTTGGTTTTTCATCAGGCTTAACGGGAGATTTATCCCCAGCACTGATTGAAGGAGCTACCAAAGGAGCTGGCTGACTAATAGGTGTGTCTTGGGGCTTTGAAATTACAAACTCCTCATCACTTTCATCGTCAGAATACTGCGTTGGGCTAGGTTTCACTGACTCAGCTGGTGACTTGGGCTTGTCTTCTTGCTTGGCTGGGACCTGTTCGTCTTTTAAGCTTGCAAACGGATCAAATGGTTTGCTGGCCTGGCTATCTACTGAATCTACAATGGTGCTTACGGATTTGACTTTGGTTTGAATTGTTGTTGAACTTTCTTCTGCTTTGAAAGAAATAACTTCCCTAGGCTTTGTATCTTCTTTGAGAGGAGATTTATCAGGAGCACCAGTGAAAGGAATTACACCAACAGGCTTGTCTTGGGGCTTTGGAACTTCTTCCTCATCATCGCTCTCATCGTCCGAATACTGTAGGGGACTGGGTTTAACTGACTCAATTGTTGACTTGGGTTTGTCTAGCTCTGTTGGGATCTTATCGTCTTTGAGCTCGACCGACTTTGGTTTTTCATCAGGCTTAATGGGAGATTTATCCCCAGCACTGATTGAAGGAGCTACCAAAGGAGCTGGCTGACTAATAGGTTTGTCTTGGGGTTTTGAAATTCCAAACTCCTCATCACTTTCATCGTCCGAATACTGAGTTGGGCTAGGTTTCACTGACTCAGCTGGTGACTTGGGCTTGTCTTCTTGCTTGGTTGGGACCTGTTCGTCTTTTATGCTTGCAAACGGATCAAATGGTTTGCTGGCCTGGCTATCTACTGAATCTACAATGGTGCTTACAGATTTGATGTTGGTTTGAATTGTTGTTGAACTTTCTTCTGCTTTGAAAGAAATAACTTCCCTAGGCTTTGTGTCTTCTTTGAGAGAAGATTTATCAGGAGCACCAGTGAAAGGAATTACACGAACAGGCTTGTCTTGGGGCTTTGGAACTTCTTCCTCATCATCGCTCTCATCGTCCGAATACTGTAGGGGACTGGGTTTAACTGACTCAATTGTTGACTTGGGTTTGTCTAGCTCTGTTGGGATCTTATCGTCTTTGAGCTCGACCGACTTCTCGGCTTCTTCCTCATCATCGCTCTCATCGTCCGAATACTGTAGGGGACTGGGTTTAACTGACTCAATTGTTGACTTGGGTTTGTCTAGCTCTGTTGGGATCTTATCGTCTTTGAGCTCGACCGACTTTGGTTTTTCATCAGGCTTAATGGGAGATTTATCCCCAGCACTGATTGAAGGAGCTACCAAAGGAGCTGGCTGACTAATAGGTTTGTCTTGGGGTTTTGAAATTCCAAACTCCTCATCACTTTCATCGTCCGAATACTGAGTTGGGCTAGGTTTCACTGACTCAGCTGGTGACTTGGGCTTGTCTTCTTGCTTGGTTGGGACCTGTTCGTCTTTTATGCTTGCAAACGGATCAAATGGTTTGCTGGCCTGGCTATCTACTGAATCTACAATGGTGCTTACAGATTTGATGTTGGTTTGAATTGTTGTTGAACTTTCTTCTGCTTTGAAAGAAATAACTTCCCTAGGCTTTGTGTCTTCTTTGAGAGGAGATTTATCAGGAGCACCAGTGAAAGGAATTACACCAACAGGCTTGTCTTGGGGCTTTGGAACTTCTTTCTCATCATCGCTCTCATCGTCCGAATACTGTAGGGGACTGGGTTTAACTGACTCAATTGTTGACTTGGGTTTATCTAGCTCAGTTGGGATCTTATCGTCTTTGAGCTCGACCAACTTTGGTTTTTCATCAGGCTTAACGGGAGATTTATCCCCAGCACTGATTGAAGGAGCTACCAAAGGAGCTGGCTGACTAATAGGGTTGTCTTGGGGCTTTGAAATTCCAAACTCCTCATCACTTTCATCGTCCGAATACTGAGTTGGGCTAGGTTTCACTGACTCAGCTGGTGACTTGGGCTTGTCTTCTTGCTTGGTTGGGACCTGTTCGTCTTTTATGCTTGCAAACGGATCAAATGGTTTGCTGGCCTGGCTATCTACTGAATCTACAATGGTGCTTACGGATTTGACTTTGGTTTGAATTGTTGTTGAACTTTCTTCTGCTTTGAAAGAAATAACTTCCCTAGGCTTTGTATCTTCTTTGAGAGGAGATTTATCAGGAGCACCAGTGAAAGGAATTACACCAACAGGCTTGTCTTGGGGCTTTGGAACTTCTTCCTCATCATCGCTCTCATCGTCCGAATACTGTAGGGGACTGGGTTTAACTGACTCAATTGTTGACTTGGGTTTATCTAGCTCAGTTGGGATCTTATCGTCTTTGAGCTCGACCAACTTTGGTTTTTCATCAGGCTTAACGGGAGATTTATCCCCAGCACTGATTGAAGGAGCTACCAAAGGAGCTGGCTGACTAATAGGGTTGTCTTGGGGCTTTGAAATTCCAAACTCCTCATCACTTTCATCGTCCGAATACTGAGTTGGGCTAGGTTTCACTGACTCAGCTGGTGACTTGGGCTTGTCTTCTTGCTTGGTTGGGACCTGTTCGTCTTTTATGCTTGCAAACGGATCAAATGGTTTGCTGGCCTGGCTATCTACTGAATCTACAATGGTGCTTACGGATTTGATGTTGGTTTGAATTGTTGTTGAACTTTCTTCTGCTTTGAAAGAAATAACTTCCCTAGGCTTTGTAACTTCTTTGAGAGGAGATTTATCAGGAGCACCAGTGAAAGGAATTACACCAACTGGCTTGTCTTGGGGCTTTTGAACTTCTTCCTCATCATCGCTCTCATCGTCCGAGTACTGTAGGGGACTGGGTTTAACTGACTCAATTGTTGACTTGGGTTTGTCTAGCTCTGTTGGGATCTTATCGTCTTTGAGCTCGACCGACTTTGGTTTTTCATCAGGCTTAACGGGAGATTTATCCCCAGCACTGATTGAAGGAGCTACCAAAGGAGCTGGCTGACTAATAGGTTTGTCTTGGGGCTTTGAAATTCCAAACTCCTCATCACTTTCATCGTCAGAATACTGCGTTGGGGTTGGTTTCACTGACTCAGCTGGTGACTTGGGCTTGTCTTCTTGCTTGGTTGGGACCTGTTTGTCTTTTATGCTTGCAAACGGATCAAATGGTTTGCTGGCCTGGCTATCTACTGAATCTACAATGGTGCTTACGGATTTGACTTTGGTTTGAATTGTTGTTGAACTTTCTTCTGCTTTGAAAGAAATAACTTCCCTAGGCTTTGTATCTTCTTTGAGAGGAGATTTATCAGGAGCACCAGTGAAAGGAATTACACCAACTGGCTTGTCTTGGGGCTTTTGAACTTCTTCCTCATCATCGCTCTCATCGTCCGAGTGCTGTAGGGGACTGGGTTTAACTGACTCAATTGTTGACTTGGGTTTGTCTAGCTCTGTTGGGATCTTATCGTCTTTGAGCTCGACCGACTTTGGTTTTTCATCAGGCTTAACGGGAGATTTATCCCCAGCACTGATTGAAGGAGCTACCAAAGGAGCTGGCTGACTAATAGGTTTGTCTTGGGGCTTTGAAATTCCAAACTCCTCATCACTTTCATCGTCAGAATACTGCGTTGGGGTTGGTTTCACTGACTCAGCTGGTGACTTGGGCTTGTCTTCTTGCTTGGTTGGGACCTGTTTGTCTTTTATGCTTGCAAACGGATCAAATGGTTTGCTGGCCTGGCTATCTACTGAATCTACAATGGTGCTTACGGATTTGACTTTGGTTTGAATTGTTGTTGAACTTTCTTCTGCTTTGAAAGAAATAACTTCCCTAGGCTTTGTATCTTCTTTGAGAGGAGATTTATCAGGAGCACCAGTGAAAGGAATTACACCAACTGGCTTGTCTTGGGGCTTTTGAACTTCTTCCTCATCATCGCTCTCATCGTCCGAGTGCTGTAGGGGACTGGGTTTAACTGACTCAATTGTTGACTTGGGTTTGTCTAGCTCTGTTGGGATCTTATCGTCTTTGAGCTCGACCGACTTTGGTTTTTCATCAGGCTTAACGGGAGATTTATCCCCAGCACTGATTGAAGGAGCTACCAAAGGAGCTGGCTGACTAATAGGTTTGTCTTGGGGCTTTGAAATTCCAAACTCCTCATCGCTTTCATCGTCAGAATACTGCGTTGGGGTTGGTTTCACTGACTCAGCTGGTGACTTGGGCTTGTCTTCTTGCTTGGATGGGACCTGTTCGTCTTTTATGCTTGCAAACGGATCAAATGGTTTGCTGGCCTGGCTATCTACTGAATCTACAATGGTGCTTACAGATTTGATGTTGGTTTGAATTGTGGTTGAACTTTCTTCTGCTTTGAAAGAAATAACTTCCCTAGGCTTTGTAACTTCTTTGAGAGGAGATTTATCAGGAGCACCAGTGAAAGGAATTACACCAACAGGCTTGTCTTGGGGCTTTGGAACTTCTTCCTCATCATCGCTCTCATCGTCCGAATACTGTAGGGGACTGGGTTTAACTGACTCAATTGTTGACTTGGGTTTGTCTAGCTCTGTTGGGATCTTATCGTCTTTGAGCTCGACCGACTTTGGTTTTTCATCAGGCTTAACGGGAGATTTATCCCCAGCACTGATTGAAGGAGCTACCAAAGGAGCTGGCTGACTAATAGGTTTGTCTTGGGGCTTTGAAATTCCAAACTCCTCATCACTTTCATCGTCAGAATACTGAGTTGGGCTAGGTTTCACTGACTCAGCTGGTGACTTGGGCTTGTCTTCTTGCTTGGATGGGACCTGTTCGTCTTTTATGCTTGCAAACGGATCAAATGGTTTGCTGGCCTGGCTATCTACTGAATCTACAATGGTGCTTACGGATTTGATGTTGGTTTGAATTGTTGTTGAACTTTCTTCTGCTTTGAAAGAAATAACTTCCCTAGGCTTTGTATCTTCTTTGAGAGGAGATTTATCAGGAGCACCAGTGAAAGGAATTACACCAACTGGCTTGTCTTGGGGCTTTGGAACTTCTTCCTCATCATCGCTCTCATCGTCCGAATACTGTAGGGGACTGGGTTTAACTGACTCAATTGTTGACTTGGGTTTGTCTAGCTCTGTTGGGATCTTATCGTCTTTGAGCTCGACCGACTTTGGCTTTTCATCAGGCTTAACGGGAGATTTATCCCCAGCACTGATTGAAGGAGCTACCAAAGGAGCTGGCTGACTAATAGGTTTGTCTTGGGGCTTTGAAATTCCAAACTCCTCATCACTTTCATCGTCAGAATACTGCGTTGGGGTTGGTTTCACTGACTCAGCTGGTGACTTGGGCTTGTCTTCTTGCTTGGATGGGACCTGTTCGTCTTTTATGCTTGCAAGCGGATCAAATGGTTTGGTGGCCTGGCTATCTACTGAATCTACAATGGTGCTTACGGATTTCATGTTGGTTTGAATTGTTGTTGAACTTTCTTCTGCTTTGAAAGAAATAACTTCCCTAGGCTTTGTAACTTCTTTGAGAGGAGATTTATCAGGAGCACCAGTGAAAGGAATTATACCAACAGGCTTGTCTTGGGGCTTCGGAACTTCTTCCTCATTATCGCTCTCATCGTCCGAATACTGTAGAGGACTGGGTTTAACTGACTCAATTGTTGACTTGGGTTTATCTAGCTCTGTTGGGATCTTATCATCTTTGAGCTCGACCGACTTTGGTTTTTCATCAGGCTTAACGGGAGATTTATCCCCAGCACTGATTGAAGGAGCTACCAAAGGAGCTGGCTGACTAATAGGTTTGTCTTGGGGCTTTGAAATTCCAAACTCCTCATCACTTTCATCGTCAGAATACTGCGTTGGGGTTGGTTTCACTGACTCAGCTGGTGACTTGGGCTTGTCTTCTTGCTTGGATGGGACCTGTTCGTCTTTTATGCTTGCAAACGGATCAAATGGTTTGCTGGCCTGGCTATCTACTGAATCTACAATGGTGCTTACAGATTTGATGTTGGTTTGAATTGTTGTTGAACTTTCTTCTGCTTTGAAAGAAATAACTTCCCTAGGCTTTGTGTCTTCTTTGAGAGGAGATTTATCAGGAGCACCAGTGAAAGGAATTACACCAACAGGCTTGTCTTGGGGCTTTGGAACTTCTTCCTCATCATCGCTCTCATCGTCCGAATACTGTAGGGGACTGGGTTTAACTGACTCAATTGTTGACTTGTTTTTGTCTAGCTCTGTTGGGATCTTATCGTCTTTGAGCTCGACCGACTTTGGTTCTTCATCAGGCTTAACAGGAGATTTATCCCCAGCATTGATCGAAGGAGCTACCAAAGGAGCTGGCTGACTAATAGGTTTGTCTTGGGGCTTTGAAATTCCAAACTCCTCATCACTTTCATCGTCCGAATACTGAGTTGGGCTAGGTTTCACTGACTCAGCTGGTGACTTGGGCTTGTCTTCTTGCTTGGATGGGACCTGTTCGTCTTTTATGCTTGCAAACGGATCAAATGGTTTGCTGGCCTGGCTATCTACTGAATCTACAATGGTGCTTACAGATTTGATGTTGGTTTGAATTGTGGTTGAACTTTCTTCTGCTTTGAAAGAAATAACTTCCCTAGGCTTTGTATCTTCTTTGAGAGGAGATTTATCAGGAGCACCAGTGAAAGGAATTACACCAACAGGCTTGTCTTGGGGCTTTGGAACTTCTTCCTCATCATCGCTCTCATCGCCCGAGTACTGTAGGGGACTGGGTGTAACTGACTCAATTGTTGACTTGGGTTTGTCTAGCTCTGTTGGGATCTTATCGTCTTTGAGCTCGACCGACTTTGGTTCTTCATCAGGCTTAACAGGAGATTTATCCCCAGCATTGATTGAAGGAGCTACCAAAGGAGCTGGCTGACTAATAGGTTTGTCTTGGGGCTTTGAAATTCCAAACTCCTCATCACTTTCATCGTCCGAATACTGAGTTGGGCTAGGTTTCACTGACTCAGCTGGTGACTTGGGCTTGTCTTCTTGCTTGGATGGGACCTGTTCGTCTTTTATGCTTGCAAACGGATCAAATGGTTTGCTGGCCTGGCTATCTACTGAATCTACAATGGTGCTTACAGATTTGATGTTGGTTTGAATTGTTGTTGAACTTTCTTCTGCTTTGAAAGAAATAACTTCCCTAGGCTTTGTGTCTTCTTTGAGAGGAGATTTATCAGGAGCACCAGTGAAAGGAATTACACCAACAGGCTTGTCTTGGGGCTTTGGAACTTCTTCCTCATCATCGCTCTCATCGTCCGAATACTGTAGGGGACTGGGTTTAACTGACTCAATTGTTGACTTGGGTTTGTCTAGCTCTGTTGGGATCTTATCGTCTTTGAGCTCGACCGACTTTGGTTCTTCATCAGGCTTAACAGGAGATTTATCCCCAGCATTGATTGAAGGAGCTACCAAAGGAGCTGGCTGACTAATAGGTTTGTCTTGGGGCTTTGAAATTCCAAACTCCTCATCACTTTCATCGTCCGAATACTGAGTTGGGCTAGGTTTCACTGACTCAGCTGGTGACTTGGGCTTGTCTTCTTGCTTGGATGGGACCTGTTCGTCTTTTATGCTTGCAAACGGATCAAATGGTTTGCTGGCCTGGCTATCTACTGAATCTACAATGGTGCTTACAGATTTGATGTTGGTTTGAATTGTGGTTGAACTTTCTTCTGCTTTGAAAGAAATAACTTCCCTAGGCTTTGTATCTTCTTTGAGAGGAGATTTATCAGGAGCACCAGTGAAAGGAATTACACCAACAGGCTTGTATTGGGGCTTTGGAACTTCTTCCTCATCATCGCTCTCATCGCCCGAGTACTGTAGGGGACTGGGTGTAACTGACTCAATTGTTGACTTGGGTTTGTCTAGCTCTGTTGGGATCTTATCGTCTTTGAGCTCGACCGACTTTGGTTCTTCATCAGGCTTAACAGGAGATTTATCCCCAGCATTGATTGAAGGAGCTACCAAAGGAGCTGGCTGACTAATAGGTTTGTCTTGGGGCTTTGAAATTCCAAACTCCTCATCACTTTCATCGTCCGAATACTGAGTTGGGCTAGGTTTCACTGACTCAGCTGGTGACTTGGGCTTGTCTTCTTGCTTGGATGGGACCTGTTCGTCTTTTATGCTTGCAAACGGATCAAATGGTTTGCTGGCCTGGCTATCTACTGAATCTACAATGGTGCTTACGGATTTGACTTTGGTTTGAATTGTGGTTGAACTTTCTTCTGCTTTGAAAGAAATAACTTCCCTAGGCTTTGTATCTTCTTTGAGAGGAGATTTATCAGGAGCACCAGTGAAAGGAATTACACCAACAGGCTTGTCTTGGGGCTTTGGAACTTCTTCCTCATCATCGCTCTCATCGTCCGAATACTGTAGGGGACTGGGTTTAACTGACTCAATTGTTGACTTGGGTTTGTCTAGCTCTGTTGGGATCTTATCGTCTTTGAGCTCGACCGACTTTGGTTCTTCATCAGGCTTAACAGGAGATTTATCCCCAGCATTGATTGAAGGAGCTACCAAAGGAGCTGGCTGACTAATAGGTTTGTCTTGGGGCTTTGAAATTCCAAACTCCTCATCACTTTCATCGTCCGAATACTGAGTTGGGCTAGGTTTCACTGACTCAGCTGGTGACTTGGGCTTGTCTTCTTGCTTGGATGGGACCTGTTCGTCTTTTATGCTTGCAAACGGATCAAATGGTTTGCTGGCCTGGCTATCTACTGAATCTACAATGGTGCTTACAGATTTGATGTTGGTTTGAATTGTGGTTGAACTTTCTTCTGCTTTGAAAGAAATAACTTCCCTAGGCTTTGTATCTTCTTTGAGAGGAGATTTATCAGGAGCACCAGTGAAAGGAATTACACCAACAGGCTTGTCTTGGGGCTTTGGAACTTCTTCCTCATCATCGCTCTCATCGTCCGAATACTGTAGGGGACTGGGTTTAACTGACTCAATTGTTGACTTGGGTTTGTCTAGCTCTGTTGGGATCTTATCGTCTTTGAGCTCGACCGACTTTGGTTTTTCATTAGGCTTAACGGGAGATTTATCCCCAGCACTGATTAAAGGAGCTACCAAAGGAGCTGGCTGACTAACAGGTTTGTCTTGGGGCTTTGAAATTCCAAACTCCTCATCACTTTCATCGTCCGAATACTGAGTTGGGCTAGGTTTCACTGACTCAGCTGGTGACTTGGGCTTGTCTTCTTGCTTGGATGGGACCTGTTCGTCTTTTATGCTTGCAAACGGATCAAATGGTTTGCTGGCCTGGCTATCTACTGAATCTACAATGGTGCTTACAGATTTGATGTTGGTTTGAATTGTGGTTGAACTTTCTTCTGCTTTGAAAGAAATAACTTCCCTAGGCTTTGTATCTTCTTTGAGAGGAGATTTATCAGGAGCACCAGTGAAAGGAATTACACCAACAGGCTTGTCTTGGGGCTTTGGAACTTCTTCCTCATCATCGCTCTCATCGTCCGAATACTGTAGGGGACTGGGTTTAACTGACTCAATTGTTGACTTGGGTTTGTCTAGCTCTGTTGGGATCTTATCGTCTTTGAGCTCGACCGACTTTGGTTCTTCATCAGGCTTAACAGGAGATTTATCCCCAGCATTGATTGAAGGAGCTACCAAAGGAGCTGGCTGACTAACAGGTTTGTCTTGGGGCTTTGAAATTCCAAACTCCTCATCACTTTCATCGTCCGAATACTGAGTTGGGCTAGGTTTCACTGACTCAGCTGGTGACTTGGGCTTGTCTTCTTGCTTGGATGGGACCTGTTCGTCTTTTATGCTTGCAAACGGATCAAATGGTTTGCTGGCCTGGCTATCTACTGAATCTACAATGGTGCTTACAGATTTGATGTTGGTTTGAATTGTGGTTGAACTTTCTTCTGCTTTGAAAGAAATAACTTCCCTAGGCTTTGTATCTTCTTTGAGAGGAGATTTATCAGGAGCACCAGTGAAAGGAATTACACCAACAGGCTTGTCTTGGGGCTTTGGAACTTCTTCCTCATCATCGCTCTCATCGTCCGAATACTGTAGGGGACTGGGTTTAACTGACTCAATTGTTGACTTGGGTTTGTCTAGCTCTGTTGGGATCTTATCGTCTTTGAGCTCGACCGACTTTGGTTTTTCATTAGGCTTAACGGGAGATTTATCCCCAGCACTGATTAAAGGAGCTACCAAAGGAGCTGGCTGACTAACAGGTTTGTCGTGGGGCTTTGAAATTCCAAACTCCTCATCACTTTCATCGTCCGAATACTGAGTTGGGCTAGGTTTCACTGACTCAGCTGGTGACTTGGGCTTGTCTTCTTGCTTGGTTGGGACCTGTTCGTCTTTTATGCTTGCAAACGGATCAAATGGTTTGCTGGCCTGGCTATCTACTGAATCTACAATGGTGCTTACAGATTTGATGTTGGTTTGAATTGTGGTTGAACTTTCTTCTGCTTTGAAAGAAATAACTTCCCTAGGCTTTGTAACTTCTTTGAGAGGAGATTTATCAGGAGCACCAGTGAAAGGAATTACACCAACAGGCTTGTCTTGGGGCTTTGGAACTTCTTCCTCATCATCGCTCTCATCGTCGGAATACTGTAGGGGACTGGGTTTAACTGACTCAATTGTTGACTTGGGTTTGTCTAGCTCTGTTGGGATCTTATCGTCTTTGAGCTCGACCGACTTTGGTTTTTCATTAGGCTTAACGGGAGATTTATCCCCAGCACTGATTAAAGGAGCTACCAAAGGAGCTGGCTGACTAAAAGGTTTGTCTTGGGGCTTTGAAATTTCAAACTCCTCATCACTTTCATCGTCAGAATACTGCATTGGGGTTGGTTTCACTGACTCAGCTGGTGACTTGGGCTTGTCTTCTTGCTTGGTTGGGACCTGATCGTCTTTTACGCTTGCAAACGGATCAAATGGTTTGCTGGCCTGGCTATCTAATGAATCTACAATGGTGCTTACGGATTTCATGTTGGTTTGAATTGTGGTTGAACTTTCTTCTGCTTTGAAAGAAATAACTTCCCTAGGCTTTGTATCTTCTTTGAGAGGAGATTTATCAGGAGCACCAGTGAAAGGAATTACACCAACAGGCTTGTCTTGGGGCTTTGGAACTTCTTCCTCATCATCGCTCTCATCGTCCGAATACTGTAGGGGACTGGGTTTAACTGACTCAATTGTTGACTTGGGTTTATCTAGCTCTGTTGGGATCTTATCGTCTTTGAGCTCGACCGACTTTGGTTTTTCATCAGGCTTAACGGGAGATTTATCCCCAGAACTGATTGAAGGAGCTACCAAAGGAGCTGGCTGACTAATAGGTTTGTCTTGGGGCTTTGAAATTCCAAACTCCCCATCACTTTCATCGTCAGAATACTGCGTTGGGGTTGGTTTCACTGACTCAGCTGGTGACTTGGGCTTGTCTTCTTGCTTGGTTGGGACCTGTTCGTCTTTTACGCTTGCAAACGGATCAAATGGCTTGCTGGCCTGGCTATCTACTGAATCTACAATGGTGCTTACAGATTTGATGTTGGTTTGAATTGTTGTTGAACTTTCTTCTGCTTTGAAAGAAATAACTTCCCTAGGCTTTGTATCTTCTTTAAGAGGAGATTTATCAGGAGCACCAGTGAAAGGAATTTCTCCAACAGGCTTGTCTTGGGGCTTCGGAACTTCATCCTCATCATCGCTCTCATCGTCCGAATACTGTAGGGGACTGGGTTTAACTGACTCAATTGTTGACTTGGGTTTGTCTAGCTCTGTTGGGATCTTATCGTCTTTGAGCTCGACCGACTTTGGTTTTTCATCAGGCTTAACGGGAGATTTATCCCCAGCACTGATTGAAGGAGCTACGAAAGGAGCTGGCTGACTAACAGGTTTGTCTTGGGGCTTTGAAATTCCAAGCTCCTCATCACTTTCATCGTCAGAATACTGCGTTGGGGTTGGTTTCACTGACTCAGCTGGTGACTTGGGCTTGTCTTCTTGCTTGGTTGGGACCTGTTCGTCTTTTACGCTTGCAAACGGATCAAATGGTTTGCTGGCCTGGCTATCTACTGAATCTACAATGGTGCTTACGGATTTGATTTTTGTTTGAATTGTTGTTGAACTTTCTTCTGCTTTGAAAGAAATAACTTCCCTAGGCTTTGTATCTTCTTTGAGAGGAGATTTATCAGGAGCACCAGTGAAAGGAATTACTCCAACAGGCTTGTCGTGGGGCTTTGGAACTTCTTCCTCATTATCGCTCTCATCGTCCGAATGCTGTAGGGGACTGGGTTTTACTGACTCAATTGTTGACTTGGGTTTGTCTAGCTCTGTTGGGATCTTATCGTCTTTGAGCTCGACCGACTTTGGTTTCTCATCAGGCTTAACGGGAGATTTATCCCCAGCACTGATTGAAGGAGCTACCAAAGGAGCTGGCTGACTAACAGGTTTGTCGTGGGGCTTTGAAATTCCATCCTCCTCATCACTTTCATCGTCAGAATGCTGCGTTGAGGTTGGTTTCACTGACTCAGCTGGTGACTTGGGCTTGTCTTCTTGCTTGGTTGGGACCTGTTCGTCTTTTACGCTTGCAAACGGATCAAATGGTTTGCTGGCCTGGCTATCTACTGAATCTACAATAGTGCTTACGGATTTGATGTTGGTTTGAATTGTGGTTGAACTTTCTTCTGCTTTGAAAGAAATAACTTCCCTAGGCTTTGTATCTTCTTTGAGAGGAGATTTATCAGGAGCACCAGTGAAAGGAATTACTCCAACAGGCTTGTCTTGGGGCTTCGGAACTTCATCCTCATCATCGCTCTCATCGTCCGAATACTGTAGGGGACTGGGTTTTACTGACTCAATTGTTAACTTGGGTTTGTCTAGCTCTGTTGGGATCTTATCGTCTTTGAGCTCGACCGACTTTGGTTTTTCATCAGGCTTAACGGGAGATTTATCCCCAGCACTGATTGAAGGAGCTACCAAAGGAGCTGGCTGACTAACAGGTTTGTCTTGGGGCTTTGAAATTCCAAACTCCTCATCACTTTCATCGTCAGAATACTGCGTTGGGGTTGGTTTCACTGACTCAGCTGGCGACTTGGGCTTGTCTTCTTGTTTGGTTGGGACCTGTTCGTCTTTTAAGCTTGCAAACGGATCAAATGGTTTGCTGGCCTGGCTATCTACTGAATCTACAATGGTGCTTACAGATTTGATGTTGGTTTGAATTGTTGTTGAACTTTCTTCTGCTTTGAAAGAAATAACTTCCCTAGGCTTTGTATCTTCTTTGAGAGGAGAGTTATCAGGAGCACCAGTGAAAGGAATTACTCCAACAGGCTTGTCTTGAGGCTTCGGAACTTCTTCCTCATCATCGCTCTCATCGTCCGAATACTGTAGGGGACTGGGTTTAACTGACTCAATTGTTGACTTGGGTTTGTCTAGCTCTGTTGGGATCTTATCGTCTTTGAGCTCGACCGACTTTGGTTTTTCATCAGGCTTAACGGGAGATTTATCCCCAGCACTGATTGAAGGAGCTACCAAAGGAGCTGGCTGACTAATAGGTTTGTCTTGGGGCTTTGAAATTCCAAACTCCTCATCACTTTCATCGTCAGAATACTGCGTTGGGGTTGGTTTCACTGACTCAGCTGGTGACTTGGGCTTGTCTTCTTGCTTGGATGGGACCTGTTCGTCTTTTATGCTTGCAAACGGATCAAATGGTTTGCTGGCCTGGCTATCTACTGAATCTACAATGGTGCTTACAGATTTGATGTTGGTTTGAATTGTGGTTGAACTTTCTTCTGCTTTGAAAGAAATAACTTCCCTAGGCTTTGTATCTTTTTTAAAAGGAGATTTATCAGGAGCACCAGTGAAAGGAATTACACCAACAGGCTTGTCTTGGGGCTTTGGAACTTCTTCCTCATCATCGCTCTCATCGTCCGAATACTGTTGGGGACTGGGTTTAACTGACTCAATTATTGACTTGGGTTTGTCTAGCTCTGTTGGGATCTTATCGTCTTTGAGCTCGATCGACTTTGGTTTTTCATCAGGCTTAACGGGAGATTTATCCCCAGCATTGATTGAAGGAGCTACCAAAGGAGCTGGCTGACTAATAGGTTTGTCTTGGGGCTTTGAAATTCCAAACTCCTCATCACTTTCATCGTCAGAATACCGCGTTGAGGTTGGTTTCACTGTCTTAGCTGGTGACTTGGGCTTGTCTGCTTGCTTGGTTTGGACCTGTTCGTCTTTTAAGCTTGCAAACGATTCAAATGGTTTGCTGGCCTGGTTATCTACTGAATCTACAATGGTGCTTACAGATTTGATGTTGGTTTGAATTGTGGTTGAACTTTCTTCTGCTTTGAAAGAAATAACTTCCCTAGGCTTTGTATCTTCTTTGAGAGGATATTTATCAGGAGCACCAGTGAAAGGAATTATACCAACACGCTTGTCTTGGGGCTTTGGAACTTCTTCCTCATTATCGCTCTCATCGTCCGAATACTGTAGGGGACTGGGTTTAACTGACTCAATTGTTGACTTGGGTTTGTCTAGCTCTGTTGGGATCTTATCGTCTTTGAGCTCGACCGACTTTGGTTTTTCATCAGGCTTAACGGGAGATTTATCCCCAGCACTGATTGAAGGAGCTACCAAAGGAGCTGGCTGACTAATAGGTTTGTCTTGGGGCTTTGAAATTCCAAACTCCCCATCACTTTCATCGTCAGAATACTGCGTTGGGGTTGGTTTCACTGACTCAGCTGGTGACTTGGGCTTGTCTTCTTGCTTGGCTGGGACCTGTTCGTCTTTTAAGCTTGCAAACGGATCAAATGGTTTGCTGGCCTGGCTATCTACTGAATCTACAATATTGCTTACGGATTTGATTTTGGTTTGAATTGTTGTTGAACTTTCTTCTGCTTTGAAAGAAATAACTTCCCTAGGCTTTGTATCTTCTTTGAGAGGAGATTTATAAGGAGCACCAGTGAAAGGAATTACACCAACAGGCTTGTCTTGGGGCTTTGGAACTTCTTCCTCATCATCGCTCTCATCGTCCGAATACTGTAGGGGACTGGGTTTAACTGACTCAATTGTTGACTTGGGTTTATCTAGCTCTGTTGGGATCTTATCGTCTTTGAGCTCGACCATCTTTGGTTTTTCATCAGGCTTAACGGGAGATTTATCCCCAGCACTGATTGAAGGAGCTACCAAAGGAGCTGGCTGACTAATAGGTTTGTCTTGGGGCTTTGAAATTCCAAACTCCCCATCACTTTCATCGTCAGAATACTGCGTTGGGGTTGGTTTCACTGACTCAGCTGGTGACTTGGGCTTGTCTTCTTGCTTGGCTGGGACCTGTTCGTCTTTTAAGCTTGCAAACGGATCAAATGGTTTTCTGGCCTGGCTATCTACTGAATCTACAATATTGCTTACGGATTTGATTTTGGTTTGAATTGTTGTTGAACTTTCTTCTGCTTTGAAAGAAATAACTTCCCTAGGCTTTGTATCTTCTTTGAGAGGAGATTTATAAGGAGCACCAGTGAAAGGAATTACACCAACAGGCTTGTCTTGGGGCTTCGGAACTTCTTCCTCATCATCGCTCTCATCGTCCGAATACTGTAGGGGACTGGGTTTAACTGACTCAATTGTTGACTTGGGTTTATCTAGCTCTGTTGGGATCTTATCGTCTTTGAGCTCGACCATCTTTGGTTTTTCATCAGGCTTAACGGGAGATTTATCCCCAGCACTGATTGAAGGAGCTACCAAAGGAGCTGGCTGACTAATAGGTTTGTCTTGGGGCTTTGAAATTCCAAACTCCTCATCACTTTCATCGTCAGAATACTGTGTTGGGGTTGGTTTCACTGACTCAGCTGGTGACTTGGGCTTGTCTTCTTGCTTGGATGGGACCTGTTCGTCTTTTATGCTTGCAAACGGATCAAATGGTTTGCTGGCCTGGCTATCTATTGAATCTACAATGGTGCTTACGGATTTGATTTTGGTTTGAATTGTTGTTGAACTTTCTTCTGCTTTGAAAGAAATAACTTCCCTAGGCTTTGTATCTTCTTTGAGAGGAGATTTATCAGGAGCACCAGTGAAAGGAATTACACCAACAGGCTTGTCTTGGGGCTTCGGAACTTCTTCCTCATCATCGCTCTCATCGTCCGAATACTGTAGGGGACTGGGTTTAACTGACTCAATTGTTGCCTTGGGTTTGTCTAGCTCTGTTGGGATCTTATCGTCTTTGAGCTCGACCGACTTTGGTTTTTCATCAGGCTTAACGGGAGATTTATCCGCAGCACTGATTGAAGGAGCTACCAAAGGAGCTGGCTGACTAATAGGTTTGTCTTGGGGCTTTGAAATTCCAAACTCCCCATCACTTTCATCGTCAGAATACTGCGTTGGGGTTGGTTTCACTGACTCAGCTGGTGACTTGGGCTTGTCTTCTTGCTTGGCTGGGACCTGTTCGTCTTTTAAGCTTGCAAACGGATCAAATGGTTTGCTGGCCTGGCTATCTACTGAATCTACAATGGTGCTTACGGATTTGATTTTGGTTTGAATTGTTGTTGAACTTTCTTCTGCTTTGAAAGAAATAACTTCCCTAGGCTTTGTATCTTCTTTGAGAGGAGATTTATAAGGAGCACCAGTGAAAGGAATTACACCAACAGGCTTGTCTTGGGGCTTCGGAACTTCTTCCTCATCATCGCTCTCATCGTCCGAATACTGTAGGGGACTGGGTTTAACTGACTCAATTGTTGACTTGGGTTTATCTAGCTCTGTTGGGATCTTATCGTCTTTGAGCTCGACCATCTTTGGTTTTTCATCAGGCTTAACGGGAGATTTATCCCCAGCACTGATTGAAGGAGCTACCAAAGGAGCTGGCTGACTAATAGGTTTGTCTTGGGGCTTTGAAATTCCAAACTCCTCATCACTTTCATCGTCAGAATACTGTGTTGGGGTTGGTTTCACTGACTCAGCTGGTGACTTGGGCTTGTCTTCTTGCTTGGATGGGACCTGTTCGTCTTTTATGCTTGCAAACGGATCAAATGGTTTGCTGGCCTGGCTATCTATTGAATCTACAATGGTGCTTACGGATTTGATTTTGGTTTGAATTGTTGTTGAACTTTCTTCTGCTTTGAAAGAAATAACTTCCCTAGGCTTTGTATCTTCTTTGAGAGGAGATTTATCAGGAGCACCAGTGAAAGGAATTACACCAACAGGCTTGTCTTGGGGCTTCGGAACTTCTTCCTCATCATCGCTCTCATCGTCCGAATACTGTAGGGGACTGGGTTTAACTGACTCAATTGTTGCCTTGGGTTTGTCTAGCTCTGTTGGGATCTTATCGTCTTTGAGCTCGACCGACTTTGGTTTTTCATCAGGCTTAACGGGAGATTTATCCCCAGCACTGATTAAAGGAGCTACCAAAGGAGCTGGCTGACTAATAAGTTTGTCTTGGGGCTTTGAGATTCCAAACTCCCCATCACTTTCATCGTCAGAATACTGCGTTGGGGTTGGTTTCACTGACTCAGCTGGTGACTTGGGCTTGTCTTCTTGCTTGGCTGGGACCTGTTCGTCTTTTAAGCTTGCAAACGGATCAAATGGTTTGCTGGCCTGGCTATCTACTGAATCTACAATGGTGCTTACGGATTTGATGTTGGTTTGAATTGTTGTTGAACTTTCTTCTGCTTTGAAAGAAATAACTTCCCTAGGCTTTGTATCTTCTTTGAGAGGAGATTTATCAGGAGCACCAGTGAAAGGAATTACTCCAACAGGCTTGTCTTGAGGCTTCGGAACTTCTTCCTCATCATCGCTCTCATCGTCCGAATACTGTAGGGGACTGGGTTTAACTGACTCAATCTTTGACTTGGGTTTGTCTAGCTCTGTTGGGATCTTATCGTCTTTGAGCTCGACCGACTTTGGTTTTTCATCAGGCTTAACGGGAGATTTATCCCCAGCACTGATTGAAGGAGCTACCAAAGGAGCTGGCTGACTAATAAGTTTGTCTTGGGGCTTTGAGATTTCAAACTGCTCATCATTTTCATCGTCCGAATACTGCATTCTGCTGGGTTTTACTGACTCAGCTGGGAATTTTGTTAGTTCTGATTTTTGTGTCGCTTGGACAACTTTAGTTGCATCAAGAATATACCTGTCCTCGATTTTCGATAAATGCTTTAGTTTGCTTGCTTTTCTGAGATTATCCAGCTCTTCATCGCTATCACTTTCAACTTTCACTTTATCTAAATTAGTATTCATTTCAGACGGAAACCTATTTTGTGTGTTATCAGTCATTGAAACGACGGTCTTGGAGACCAAGCTCGTTTGCAGCTCGTCTGATGTATCGTTAGTAGGAAACTTTACGTGTATATCTTTTTCTAAGTTTTGGTTACCTTTTAGTGCTGTTACCTGTGATCTATGCTCAACCAGCTTATCCATTTTCGCTTCGTGTATATTAGCTACGTGGACAAACTGCCTAGTATCCGCAATGTCAGTTTTCGAAATGGAATGTAATCGCTCGAGGGTATGTGCAATTTTTGGAAACTCTACGACTTTTGTGTCTTTAATAAATTCTGTTGGAAATTCTTGTTTATCACATTCTGTTAAAAATCTAATTTGACTATCGGCAATCCCTGTTAGATCTTCATGTAAAATACTCTTTGCCCTAAATTCCTTAACTCCCTTTGTAATAACGACGTCATTGATTTCATGTTCCAGAAACATTGCCGTTGCAGATTTGTCATCTTTTGTAAATGGAGAAGTTTCCGCTTCTTGTTGCCTTTCAAAGACCTTTGCCATATCTGAGATTGTGCGCTTTGAGCATTTCTTTTCACATACGTCTTCGAGATTTTCTGTACTGCTGCTTGGCTTTTCTGCAGAAGAAACGGGAGAGTGTACCTTTTGCTCTGGTAAACGCTTAGAGCCCAAACCATCTAAAATAAGATCGGCATCGCTTAAAATTTGCTGCTCTATGGATAAAACGTCTGCCTTACGGTCTAGGATTACTCGTTTTCGTGGACTAAAGGGTTTGGCCTCTAGGCTTGCTATGGGGTATCTGCGTTCAATGTCTTGCACAACTTCCCTCACCTTTGGTAATGTCTCAGTTCTATCCATATCTTCTAAGTCTAAGTGCTTTTCAACAGTTTCAGTTAAAATCTTTCCAGGTACCTGTTCTACTTGCCTATTTAAATCTATTACCTGTTCTGTTAAAGTCTTTTCTGTTTCACATAAGTCTTCAGCCACTACAAAAGCCTTGCGCTTCTCACAAACTTTTTCACAAACTTCTTCCTCAATCTCTTTTAGGCCAAGACCCACATTCTCCATGGCTTCGATGGGTGAAAGCTTAACTACCTCAACGGGTAATTCACACTTAATTAACTTTTCCAGGGCCAAGTCGGCTGGCGTTAGTATTTGCTTTTCTAGCTCTACTACATCAGATTCCTTAATATCTTCGTTTGGCTGCCTTTTCTGCACGGCAAATGGAATGGCCGACACCGCTGTACTGCAGATCTTATCCTCTATGCTCTGCACCACCTGTCGCACCACTGGCACATTTTCGCCTATATATTTTGGAATCAGAGTGGGTTGCTTGCCAATTGACTCCAATGATTCAGTGCTTCCACTGCTTTCCAAGCGCATTATCTCGCGTCTGACATCGCCACAGCCCATAATGTGCTCTAAATACTCTCTATCACTGGCAGTTTTCTCTGCGTCTGCATTAACATCTACTGATGGCTTTTCTTTCAGCTCCTTCTTCAACTGATCTTGCTCTGGAATAGTCAAGTCTACTTTGGTGCGATCTATTTGTGCTGTCAGGGTCGTCGTTGTTGTCATCTTCGGTGTTTGACTACTTGTACTCATTTCTGTAAATGAGGTAGTGTCTTGTGAGTACAATTTCTGAATATCGGGAAGAGCTACCATACTATGAAGCAGCTTATCAGGTTCATCGGTTTTTGTAAAGGTTTCGGGTTTTACACTATGAACACTGAAGTGCTCTGTTTGAGGCATTCCGGGGATGGCAAAATATGGTTTGGTAGAAGTAGAGTAGAAAACATGACAATAGAAACACAGTTAACACCAATAAAAAATAAAATCGTATGTTCCTTAGAGTGGGTTAGTCTATGTACACAGTGCAATTGACTTGCAGTATTACAGACATATGTACTTACAAGTAAGTAAATATATATGCATATATTTTTACTACAAGCTTTACGCCCAAAACCCAGCAGTAGGCACAAACATGCACTTAATGCTTATGCTTTAGTATTTAATTGAGAAGCGAAATCAAAATATCTGTTTCGCAATTAACAGATGTCAGAAGGAGCTTAGCTGAACCAAACCAAACTTTTAGTTTGGCTAAGCTGAGCTGAGCAGCATTAGGTCTCATAAGTACGCTGCATATGAGGTCGTGGATTATTGGGACCATTTCTGCTTGCTTGGATGCTGCACAAAATTCAATGCTTCGAGTCAAGTTCTTGAGCTGAGCTGATTACGTTTGCATATTTTGGTTTTGCAAATATTTAAGCAATGTTTATGTTGATTACAAAATCAGAAAGCAAAATAAGCTGATATTGCAAGTTAAACAACAAACCACGACATCATATGTCACATACTCGTACAATATTAAATGCTTTCAATAAACAACTAATGACAAGAAGCGCGCTGGGTTGGTGGGTCTGGGTGCAAACAAATCAAATGTTGACTATATGGTGTGGCTATATAATTGTTGCTGTTGGCTTTTAAAATCGCAAACTATGACAAAGGGTACGAATACGAGTCTAAAATGCTATACACTATATTAAGATGCTACAGTGAGATCTTGATGTGGCTCGACTTAACATTCAGTTACAGTTCAATATTATTATATATATGGTAAGAATATGCTTTTTCGTCAAGGATTGATAAAGTTACGAAAAGCAACTGAAGAGATAATTATTTGCGAGAAACAAATCAAACATAAACATTGCAAACTGAAGGCCATGGTGGTTTATTGGAGTGTTCTTCGGTGAATCCTCATATGGAGACAGAAAGACGACTGGTGGTCACCCAGCTCCTTGCTGATCCCAATACGGGTGAGGTTTCAATTTTTTTTTTAATTTCGGAAATTCAAAAGTATGCCAAAAGTGTTTATCTTAATGAAAAAAACCTTAGTAATTGCTAAACGAATGTTAATATAAGTAGTATTGTAGGTAATATGAATTGGCTTATCCATAGATTACATCTATGGACGGTTAAGTACGAGTATAGTAACAGGGTTATTACATAGGTTAAACACAAATCGAATTATTTAAGATGTAGCTTGCGGTAGTTGAAAACATAAACTCAATTGCTTAAATATTTGTTTAAAATTGCAAACGTAATTGTTATACCATAAGAGTTGAAAGGACAACAATAAAAGAGACCTATCTGAAAACGATACCCATCATAGATGTATAAACATATTTCCTATAATTGTGGCAACTTTTCAAATTGATTGCAATTATAAATCAGAACTTACCATTAAAATATAATAGACTTAAATTTACTTTAAAGCTCGGTTTAGCTTATTGAAACAGTTTATTCCGCTGCGCATTGAATGAACCACGATCACAAACAACACAGTCCACTTTTTTACAAAATTATTAGTCTTGTAAATTGAAACAAGAGTTTTTGATTTGCTTCTTTGAACAGAAAGACGCGTTCTGTAAATGTTTTGGATTGCGCGAACTTGGGGAATTCAAAACCGTGACTAAATCTGCACGAAGGCGCGTTTATCACTGTACTGCAAGAATGCCAGAAGCAAATTAAATTAAGTATACGCCACCGCTCTGCATTAGCAAGCTAGCTGCCCCCTGAACCTATGACATAAGTGCGCAAGAGTCGGCGTTCTCACCACCTTGCGGAGGATTGAACAGCCACAAATTATATAAAGAACCAGTGGGAAATTCTATTAACTGTGAAAGTCTTTCGAGGGCTAATGGACTAATAGGCTTTTTGTGGTTAACGGAAAAGTATCACGATCGGCAAGTCTTTTAGTAATAATAAGTTATTGTATCGATTCGTGGCTCGATATATTGATTGACTGGCCCACTGACATTGACACCACCGAATGTTATGCATACACTGCGTAGAACGGCGCCAGACAGGCAATTATACATGTTTCTACGACCTTTCGTCAGTGTTAACGTAATTGGATTATCTGAACCTAAACAACATTTCTAGAAGTAAGTATCTGCGAGATTTCGTGTTCACATTCATTCATTGCGCTTTAGTTTTTCGTTTGTTATCTCAGGATTCAGCGATCCATTATTAGTTTTAATTTATGGCCTTTTTGCTGCCGCACTTACAGACTTTTTTGATTAAGATACACACAGTAGCAGTTTGCCGTTCGAGTTTAAAGATACAGTTTGACTAACTAACAGTTCTTAGATCGCAATTGTTTAATGGTTGAATGGTACTTTGCATACAAAAAGCCTTTGGATTTAAATCAAGACGAAATGTAAAGGAACAGAGAATAGTGGGAGTAACGGAATGGGATAAAACTGAAAACGGTTCAAGAAACACTACGGATTGTGACAAAACTTTAAAAAAATCGATATAAATGAAGAGGTGGACAAAAATAATGATTACAGATTTATATTCTTTTACCAAAAAAGGCAAAACGTAAAAAATATAAAGAAAGTTTACATAACAATTACAAATTGCATATAAATTGAGCATAGAGGCAGCCACCCATTTCAAGACTCGCACTTACCAATTTTGGTAATGGCAGAAACGCGTTCGAAGGTCGACTCTGTGGTCGTATGCAGAGTGGTCACAGTGTCGCCCAGATAATCTGTTATTTATATTGTTTTTATACTTATGGAAGTGGAAAAAATCTTCAGGGCAGGCAACATACCACGTTCTAAGCTAATTAGTTCCGGTTCCTCATTCTGCTTGTCGGTTTTGGCGTCACTCGGTGTTGGTGGAGGAGTTTGGGAGTGTGGAATGTCGCTCTCTGATAAAGTTATGGGGCCAAATATTATTGGTGTTTTTAAGTCAGCGATATGATAGCTTACCTATTTTCTTGAGCTCATCAGATATTTCAATTACGCCCACGCTCATCTTCTTGGTGATTGTTTCGCCAACCTCTTTGCAGAACTCGGCATCGGTCAGTGACTTTCGTGGTTCGGCAGAAATCGGAGCAGTGAGTCGCTCCTCTTTGATAATGTCACCTAGTGGAACAGTGGCTTGCTTGGCAAAGGTGTCACTATCATATTCACTTGCCAGCAGCTGTGGCTCCTGGGTAACTACACTGGAGACCACCTTAGTTGTATGGAAAGGCGATGCACCATCTCCCACTGGGGCGGCTGCCTCAATGCCATCGATCAGCTTTTCTTCTGGTTTGGAATCAATACTGATGATTTTTGGGGTCAGTTGTGTCTGCTGTTCCATGATCAGGAAATCCTCTGTAAGCTGACGCTCATTCAGGGGTTTTTGCTGCTTGGGTAGCTCCACCAGATGCTCAGCGGTCTTCACCACCTCCTCGACCAGAGTCTTGGCAGGCTCGGAAACCAGCTGGGTTTGTTGCTCCATGCTCAAGAAATCAGCAGTAAGTTGTCTTTCATTCAAGGGTTTCTTCTCAGTGGTATTAACAACCTCGGTCTCGATCAGAGGCTTTGGAGCTTCCTCAATTAGGCTTTTTCTGGGCTCTACCACAGGAATTTTACTCGCTGGCGGTGAGGGTTTTACTGTCACTATTGACTCCGGTTCCGATGCGCTTGTGGATGTCAAACTGGATTCCAGGGGCTTTTCGGAAGTTTGCGGCAAGCCGGGCAACTGGCTCTGCTGCTCCATGCTAAGAAAATCGTGGGTTAGCTTGAGGGTTTCGGAGGTGGTAATCTGCTCCTCGATCTTGTGGAATGTTTCAACGACCTCGGCCACCTTTTCCGCCACCTTGTCCTTTTTGGGTTGACCCTCCTTATCCTCAATCTTGACTAGCTCTTCCACTTTGCTGGAAATCTCTGAAGTCTTCTCCGATTTGGCCACCTTCTCTTCGATCTTGTGGAATGTTTCGATAAGCTCGGAGACCTTCTCGTTTACAGTTTCAGCCTTGGCAGAAATTTCTTTCTGTTCCACGGGCTTATCCTTAAGCTGATCACTACCCAGACCTGCAGTCATAATCGTAGCCGTCGAGGCCACAACATCATCCAGGATCTTTGCCTCCCTATCAACCTGCTTATCCACAGACTTTCTCGGTTCCACTTTTGGAATCTTGCTGGCCGCTGGTGTTACTTTGGGCTCGGCGGCTAGCTTCTCCCCCTGCAAAAAGTCTTGAGTAATTTTTCGTGCATCCACCTCACCGATCTTTTGAGCTTCGGCTGGTACTGTCTTTACTGGAATCTTCGATATCGGCTTTTCGGACTTAATATCAACGACTGAATCAATCTCGGACTCAACTGTAGCTCGTGGAGCTGCTGTGGGTTTCATTGAATCATCACTTGGCTTCCGGGTGAACTTAGGGATTTGAGTCTTGGGCTCGCCACCATGGAAGTCATACTTAACCTTCTTGGCTTCGAATTCAGCGATTGTCTCTTCGATGCTAGAGCTCTCTACGACTGGAACATTCTTCACTTGTTCCAGAGTTACTGATTTGGCATCCTCTAGGTGTTTAATAGTCTCGCTGACCTTTGTTGATTCGGTAGACACCTGTGTTGGCAGGATTACAGCAGCTTCGACGGGCTTGCTGGTCTCAAAAGAGCTAATTATATTTTCAACCTTTTTGCTGGCAATTTCGGTCACCTCACTGATGACTTGCTGGACCTCTTTAACGGTTTCCTGCGGCACTGAAGCCAGAGGGCTGGTCTTTTCCTTAACCTCCTCAACAAACTTCTCATGAACTGTTGCGGTGGTAGAATGAGCTGGTAATTGGCTACGTTTCTCGGTCTCCAGAAAGTCCTCGGTGATGTCACGAGCCTCTTGGCGGGTGATCGTTGTCACCCGACTGAATGACACGCCATCTTTCTCCTTCTTCTCAGCTGCACTGATGTCCTGTACAATCTTGTCTGTCTGGTCTGGAGATGATGGCTGGTCTTCTTCCTCTGAGCTGCGCCCGGAGGTCTTGAATTTATGCGTTAGCTCCTTGTCGAAGTCGGTCTTGCTCACTTCGGTGGAGTCCATCTTGCCCATTTTCATCTTGATGACTTGGTCTGGTACTGTGGTTGTTTTGATGATTACATTATCGGCTGGCAGTTGCATCAGTATCTCGGACTCGTGGTGAGCCTTCTTATCTTCGATAAGACTCTTCCGTTTGATTTCTGTTATTTCGCGGGTGATCTCTCTCTTTTGCGTCGAGGCGGAAATTGGCCGCTCCATGGACAACCGCTTGACAATTTTCTCACGGCGTTCAGCCACCGTTCGCTTGGCAGCTTCCTCATCGGACTCTGACTCTTCAACTTCCTTCTCCTCGGCCGAGTATTTTACTTCTTCACGTTCGTTGATTTGCTGTATTCGCTTGCCTGCGGGAGAAGCTTAAAGGGTTATTGAATCGGAAGACGTTCAGAACACTGTTGCTAAATACCATTAAAAAGATCCATATTTACTACTTGGATCTTGCTAACTAAAAAAAATACTTCTACTTACTTTCTCTTCGAACCAATTCCTCCACGGACTCCGAGTTTTTCATAATGTCCGTCTCATCGAACTCTCGCGAATGTGAAAGTCGTCCACTCTTGCACTTCTTCATGATGTCGTCCCGTCCAATGTTTTTAAGAGCTGTCTCTAGCGATTGGATATCGTAGTTGGGCTTATCCTTATACAAGCGAATCATGCTCTGTGCCTGTCTGGCAATGCTATCTGTATTTTGGTTAACAATCTCGTCGATTTCCTCGGAATTGATGCCAATCTCTGGGGCCAGCTGAATCCAATCTTTACCCAACAAATTGGACAGATCAACGATGCGGATGTCGCCGATGTAATGATCATTTTGGTGTTTGCTCAAGCTGAACATCGAGGTCCTGTAAGCGGTGGTGACACGGTCTGAGAAGGCGGTAGTGGAGTCCGGAATGACAGCCTCCGGAAGAACAATGTTCAGGATGCAGATGGGCTGCTGTGGAGGCTCACCCTTGGCCACCTTTGGTTCTTTCATGAACAAGGTGCGGCCCACAATATCAGCATGCTGATCCTTGACCCGCACAGTAAATGGCAGACGATTCTCGCGGAAGGCCTTGAACTGCAGCTGCAGCTGGTCACCGGATTTGGTCACAGGAACCAGGTTGCCGGCCATTTCGATGTACTGGGGCTTGCCCTCGAGTACCTCAACATCACGGCTCTTCGCCACTTCCGTGTAGAGCTCATGCTTCTCCAGAGTTTTATCCTCACGATCGTCGGTCATGCAGAAGACCCTCAGACGGGCCTCGAAAGGTTCGATCTTCTTAGCGAACACCACAAACTTGGCGATGAAGGGGACATGGATAACTTCCCTAAATACAAGTAGAGTTTATTAATACATAACTCTAAAAATTCCCAGTCCAACCACTTACTTGTATAACTCGGTGGCCATTTTGGTGGCATCCGATATATTGCGACAATCCATTAACCAGAAACGTGCCGAAACGGTGGTCGTGAAGGAGACGCAATCGTTGACAAAAGTAAGGGGCGTAGAACCGGTAACATCCTCCCATTGAGCACGGGATGGTCCTCCTGGCGATGGATTAGTTAGATGGAAGACGGAAAACGGAAGTGTTCAATTGCAGGGCTCATTGCTAAACAATGTGGTTTACGCATAGACTACATATATGTATGTAAAAACTCTTGAAAAACTCTACTGTTGTCTCATTAGCAGATAAATATTGAATTGAATTCCAAAATGGTTGAACTAATTTCACAAACGAAACCATAAACTCAACTAAAAAACTTGTTCAGAGAGAATTACGATTGAATGTGTGTTAATTACAAAGCAATTATATGGAATAGGAATAGTATTGAAAAGTATTATTGTATATAGTTTATTAGGTATTAGAAATATTTAATATCTTTTTATTATCTGTGGCATGGCATGAGTGTGGTGAGGTTTAGTGGCGTCTGTTAAATGCTGTGTGTATTTTGGAGTGTACGAGTATGAGTTGATGAGGCACTTTGATTTCAAGCATATAGTTGGTTAATTTGGTAGGGCCTTAGCATTTACAGAGGTACGAGTACTAGGGTACTTGTTGCGCTTACTTTGAAGCCGTTTTGAAACACATGCTTAATATTTTGGAAAAACAAATTTTTGGTTTCTCTTGAATGATAAATAAGTGAGCGTGTCACGTGTTTCTTGTTGTAAATGTGTTCAAATCAACAAAAGACCCAACGAAACATAACTAACAAATCAGGAAGTAAACTAACGAAAATGTAAAAAAAACCGAACAGGAATGTATAAAAGAATCGTCAACTTGTTGATATATTTTTTATGTTTATATTTGTATGGTACATTAACAAAACACCGTTTGTAATAGGATTTTATTGAGCTTGCCATAGCGTTCGCTTGACTTTAATTACTTCCTCAATAATTGACATTTATTTGGTTTCAGAAAAGTTCTCTTTGGTGCCACAAACAGTAGAAATTCAAAGTTGATCATTCATATTTTTATAATTTCTTTTTAAAAACAATGTACACAATTATATTCTGCTTGTTAAATGCGAAATAATAGCTTACAACAGAAATGCGTATTGCGTAATAAACAACAAATAAACAAACTACAATTAGGTGCACGGCATTCCAACCGAAATGTAAATTCAAAAATGAAACTTAAAGCTTGAGAGCCTTAGTAAGTATGTAAGTATGGAATAAGAATAAGATTCGAATCGGTAACTGAACAACTGAATAAAACGAAGTAATCTGGCCTAATCTGGTGGCCTCGCTTTAAATACGGTTTAAATGGCCCAAAGAGCAACTTTAGTTGACGTTTAGTTTAGCTTAAAAAACCTACAAACTCTTTAATGAAATTGTGCAGTTTAGTTATATATTGGCAATAAACCGCGTGCAGTCAGAAAATCGCTTAGGTAATTCATATTGTTGTATGTTAAAGGGAGAGAGAGGTTAGACAGAGAGAAAGAGAAGGCGGCAAAGACGTTTGCATGACAAGCTTAAGGTTCGTAAAAGTAAATTGGAAAGTTAGCTTACTTCAAAAACTAAGCTGCTTTGAGCTGAAAGCGATATCTTGGCTTAGAGAACATTGCCAATCGAGTGGGGTCTTAGGCAGGCCTCACCAAACAGAAAGTTTACTCTGAGAATCTGGTTTTGTAAACCCAAGGACGCAGCACAACCCGAATTCAAGCAAAAGGATTTAAAGAAACTCAGGCAACAACGGGGGCAAATAAAAAGTATAAGAACTCAGAGAAACTTATTGAAAAACAAACGCAGAGATGTTTAAAAATAAATTGTTTGAAATATTTGCAATAGTTTCTTAACAAGAGAATTTATCATAAATAAAATATGCAGAATTTTAAAATTTATTGTCAATTATTCTTCTTAGATTTTCTTGTTTGCCTTATTTCGCAACACAATAACATAGTTATTCATTTTTTTTTTTTTTTTGTTTTTGTTTGGCATAGAACGAAACAACTAAATATGAACAAATAACGATTTTATTTTGTAAACAGTTTCAATTTGAAACTTCATACATGTTTGTGAATTTCTGAATTTTTGTATTATTTATTTTAGTATTTGTGACGTTTGAGTCAGTTTTAGTTACCTTTTAGAGACCTTTTCCGAAACACACCTTCAATGGATTGAGAAAACAGAACGGAATGCGTGCACACGTATGCAATGACGCATTAGTACGAAATTATAGAACAATTAAATAGGTTTTCAATCAAGAATTGAATTGAAGTTTGTTTTGTTTGGGTTTGTTTTTGCTCAACACGAAATCGAAATCATCGGAAATCATGAAAACGAACTAAAGCGGTTAACGAACGCAAATCGAACAAAGGGTAACGGAACGAACACCGTATTTGGCACAATGAAGAGACACACTGAACATGACACTGATCTTGGTTGGGATCGAGCTGAAGAACGAGATATAGGTGTGGAGTATCTGTTTCTGTATCTGTTTCTGTTTCTGTATCTGTATCTGTGGCTGTATCTTTATCTTTTTCTGTGTTATTGTGTGGGTGTCGTTGATGTATGAGCGTTTCAGGTGAGAGGGTGACCAATGCTCTACAACTGGCTAGAGTTCCAAAGGAGTTAAGATTAGGATACGATACGATGCGGGCTACTGCCGGATCAACCCGTTCGAACAACTTATGATTACGCATCTACTACACAGACACAAGCACAATGTTTTAGTTCGGATCGGATGGGACCTACAAACGAATGTTTTTCAATTTTCAATCTCACAATTATAATATTTTCTAATTCGGGATGGCAACCCAGAGTTTTTGGCTTTCGATTTTGTCAATTTCCACTGTACAGGTTTGGTTATAGTATATATGGCATGTATGGTATATATATAGTACTACGTTTTAGCACATGAGATACTTGTATTCTAAATGTTATAGACAACCGAAACGAACAACGGAAGCAAGTACGAAACTCAACTCAACGAAAGCATATATAGATACACTCAAGAAATCATACACAGGAATGAAGTAAATGAAGGCCTGAGACAAAGGTATATAGAGATAAAAAGAGGGGATGTGGAAGATCGGGGATGTCGAGGAGGATCAGTAATACTCAAAAACATCAACTAACGTAATGGAAATGTAAGTGGATATACTTCGTAATAGTCATAATGGTAATTGGTAATTGGTAATCGATAATAATAACTGCTTGGATCACATCGTACAAACAACACAAAAGACCGGCCCTTTGGCTGGCGGATCGTTAATGGATCGGCTTCAACTTACCTGTGATCGAGCAGAGGAGTCGCAGGGTGGGCGTGTTGCCCGAGTACTGATTGATCATCCCCTGGCTGTGAGCCTTCGGGGCCGGCATGCTGAGGGTGATGGCCTTGTGGAATTTACGGCGACGCGGCTCGACCGTAACAATCGGCGATACGGCCACGCCGCGGCCCAAAAGCTTGGCGGTGAGATCGGGATCGACCGGCTGGGCCTAGAACGAGTGTAACGGATTTCGATTGGCACTATAGACAAAAATCGATTTACCGGCCACGCTTACACAGTACACACGGTCATGAGATGAACCAAAAGGAAACTCAATTAAAACTGACAAATAAAAGAATACATAAGAAATATGCGCATCTTGTCTGCAATAAGGAAACAAATAAAACAAATAAAATGAAATGAGTCTTCTTGGGCTAAATGGTGAACATTACCGAATTTATAACACTTTGTTTTCAAGATTTTGTGTTTTTGTACAATGCTTATTAGTTTGGATGTTTATGCATATCGTTTTCATGGTTTTTGTTTGAGCATTTTCATGTTTCAGTTAATTTACAGCATAAGTTAACTACAAACGATAACAATGTTCGAGCCCATTTATGTCCCAATAAATTTAGTTATCAAAAAAACTCTGTCTACAACTGAAGTGTTAGAAAGTTTGAACTTTATACAATGTACAGAAATCAAAATAAAATATAAATTTCAATATGTAAAGTTTACAAATATCAGATAAATGCAAATAAAACGTGCGAAAATTTGAACTCATGAGTGGGGCCATTATAAAATCGTTTTTTGCTTACGGCATGGATAAAATGTTACAACTTCGTTAGGCACTTCAAACCGGACCCAATTTATAAATATTTTCACCTCTCTCTTCTTTTCTTGTTTTGAAAAAGCAATTGAATCAAAAGTAATTAAATGAAAAGTAATTAAAACATTTTCATTGGCATAAAGTTTTTGTCGAACTAAATTTATTGGGTAGTACTGCATTTCAAAGAACTTGTAAGTATAATCTTATGCATAAGTAGATAATAATCGTAAATAATGTATGAATAGTTAGAGTAGTTAGCATATAGGTAAATGTATCATAATATTTGATATAGGTATATCATATGTCTTATCAAGTTGGACAATTTTTGTTGCTCTTGCTGTTCATAAGCTTTGCGAAATTCTGCGATCTAACAGATGCGCCTGATCCATGATCAAATTTATTCGGTTCACATATTTTTATTATTGTATGTCACTGTTTTGCATAGCATTTGTGATTAGGTTAGCATGAGGATACCGATTCCACAATGGCTCCATAAGCTTAGTGCCGTAAAGTTATAAGTGTGTCTCAATATAATCAAACAAAGTGCACACATTTCATACGAGTAATAACATTCGAAAAGGTCAACTCCGCAGTTCGTTTACAATGGCGTGAGTTTGGGATATATATTCCATTCTGACCTTTGTAAATAAACTTCGAAAAGTTTGTCTACTATACTTGACTACACAGGACTAAGGGCGGGTTAACATAGATGGTTATTAGTTACGGGTTATAGGAGTACTGATTATAAATGCGCATTTTCATTTTGGAAAACATAATTTGCATTTCTTGTTTGATATTATTTGGGGAAGTTGTAGATTAAATGCTCGAGTATATATGCTGACCGATAAGGTATAGGTTTTGGATTTTCGTTTTTTTTTGTTTTTTAAGAATAGAATAAGTGTCCCATTTGGTTTACCAGATGAGCGAGAAGCGCTTCTTCTTGGGCACATGATTGACGCTTATTTTGCGCAATTTTTCAGGCGCAACGCCCTTGCGTGGTTTAAAGAGGTTTACCTGTAAGCCGACTTTGATCTTCTTGGTGAGGGCTCCCTGTGGGAAGACGGCCTGCACCTGTGGCACCACGGTGCTGGAAACCATGCCGCCCTCCGGTCCAATTGCATGGACCTCCTGGCGTATGCGCGATACGACAGCGAAGTACTGAGGGAAGTCGTAGGTGACGAAGCGGCAGACATGATTGCCAGCCTGCTCCTCCAGTTGGGCTATCTCTGTAAAAAGAAGTTTAAGTTATAAATCCGCAAAAACTAACATAAACCCCATCCTCTCTCACCCTCTGGCTCAAAGCACTGTTGCAAAACATCGTGGATAATCTCCTCGGAATTATCGATGGTGTGCTCCCGCCAAGTTTCTCCATTGTCCGAGCGCAGGATAATGATCTCGCGCTCTTTGCCGCGCAGCGAGGCGAAATGCGGCACTTCCATGACCACTGGCCCAATGAACTTGGTGGAGCATGGACCCAGTTCCAAGACACGACTGGCCAAGGCTTCACCCTCCATCAGCTGAGGGGGATGCATGGTGCGCTGCGGCTTCACATAACGACAGGTTACCCGCGTCGGCTGACAAGTGGATCGCGAGGGGATGATCATGCGGACGCCACTGTGCCGACAACCTCGCATCGCTCCTCCACGAGCGTCCACCAGGAAGGAGACCAGGAAGCTCTTCCAGCTCAGCTTGCGGCTGCAAAAAAGTGGTGGATTAGTTGGATCAAAATACAGCTTACTAATAATAGGAAAAGAATCCAAAGTTTATTTTGAATAAACATATAATGGTACAAAGAAAAGAAAAATGCCAAAACGGGTTGGGAATTATATCGTTTTATAAAAGACATAGTCAAAACTCACCCCACATGCGGCGGCTCGTCTTGGCCAGATCCATTGGCAATGTACACTCCATCCACAGTGGCCTTAGGCGAACTGCCATAAACCTGAGCTTTGTGGGGACTGATTACCTCCTCGCCGATAGTTGGTGGCACTCCAGAGGCGTACTCGGTGCTCTGGGTCATCCGGTTGGAGTCCATGCGCTCATCACGGGTCACATCGATCGGGAGCGAGTCGTCGCCTAGGGATTTCATTTCATCAACGGTCAAATAGCGGTATGGTTGATCTGATAGCATATTGTCTTCGCCTAGAGTTTTGAATCGATTTCGATGCGTTTCGATGGCATTCCGCAGCATTTGCATTTTGGTTAAGCACAAGACAGTCCAATTGGCCATATAGCGTTGTAGTTGTTGTTGTTGATATTATTATTGTTGTTTGGTGTTATTTGTTGTCGTTAGTGTTGGAATTGTTGTATATTGGTTGGTTTTGTTGAATTGCAGATGAGAGCGCAGTGCATTGAAAGTAGAAGAATGCAAATGAGTTTGATTTTAGTTAAATAATTTCGTAAGTTATACATGCTTTATTTTACAATCGGTATTTATAAATATTTATAAGGGTGATATAAAGCTAGCATGACCATTAAATAGGAGCATATTACATGGATAATAATATAATAGTGTTGGAATAAATACAGACACACAAGAGTACATTTTTTCATGCCGCGATATTGAGAAACTTGGTTTTCGTTTATTTAAGCCTTATCTCTGACAAACCAATCAAAAGTAACTGAGTTGCTTTGTTTTGAAATTGGAATTTTCTAAAATTATTAAGTTTATACGTTTAGTTAAAATTTTGGATACCCTTCTAGTATGAATGGTTTTCATATCAAAAGATTTGTTGTAATAAAGTAATTATTTAGCCCTTTCGAATTTGATACATCCAAAGGTAATCCAATTAAGAATATCAAAAATGAAACCCTAAATATGAATTCGTTTATCTCACTTTCAATGTTTTTGTCCTAGTTTGTGTTATTCAATTATAAGAATACAGTAGATAAATTTACAGAAAAAGCAGGGAGTTGGTAGTTGGGAGCCTGTACTCCTCCGCCCAATTACAACGTCAAGAAATAGTTTACATTTTTACATTTCAGCCCCATATAAAGTGCTATGAGAACATCAAACTTTGGTGGGCAATTCATCAAGCCAATCAGTAATCCAATCACAGCCAATTAGTGCACTTGATAACGGCCAGCACTTAGGATATGATATACAAATACGAGTATACGGATACGGATACGGATACGGTTATGGGGGTTTCCAAGTGGCCCTGGGCACTTACTGGAGACACAGAGTTTGTCGCCCTGGTAGTACGGCAGATAGACCGGGCCAATGCCGTACTCGTAGCCAGCGTCCAGTTGCCAGTTAGTGTCACCTGACACACACATAATGAAAGAGCGGGGGATTCACTTAAGACTATCGTAAACTATATAAACTATGGGTTGTGCTCAGTGTCTGGTGTGCTGGCTGACTAGCTGGGCAGTGATCTTGTGATCCAGTGATCTTGTGGCTTATTGTAAGGGTTTCGAATAAGTCTAAAGCTGAGCTATACATACCGCCCTCTTCCTCGGAATCAGACATGAAGGACTCGTGCATGGCCTCAGGGGCCACCACACGGTACTTCTCCTCGGTTTGGGCAGGCGCAGCTGCGGCCTCGTCCTCCTTGGTGATGGTCTTCAGCGAATCCAGGACACTTATGTAGCCCAATTTGCGGGCGATGTGCAAGGGGGTTTGTCCATTGACGGTTTGGGCATTGGCATTGGCCTTGTGCTCCAGCAGGAGGTTCACAATGTGGCAATGGCCCTGCTGGGCGGTCTGGTGAAGCGGTGTGTATCCAATCGAGGTGGCCGCATCCACATTGGCTCCATTCTGCAGCAAGAAACGCACCATGTTCGCCTGGCCGAAGTGCGAGGCCACATGCAGTGGAGTGTATCCCGCCTTGGTGGCCATGTCGATGTTGGCGCCATTCTTCTCCAGGATCTCGGCCACATTCACGTTATCCTCCTGGGCGCACAAGTGCATGGGTGTCAAACCATTCTTGGCCGGATGATTGACGGCGGCCTTGTGTTCGATCAGCAGATTGGAGATCTCGGCATGACCCTCCTGACTGCTCAAGTGGAGTGGGGTGAAGCCGGCCTTGCTCTCGGCATTGGCCAATGCTCCATATTCCAATAGGGTAGTGGCTATATCCATCTGATTCTTCCTGGCTGCAATATGAAGAGGGGTGTGTCCGTTTTTGGCCGTGGCATGTGGACTGGCTCCCTTTTCCAGGAGCAACAAAGCCACCTGCTGGTTGTTATAGTGACAGGCCACATGCAATGGAGTGACACCATTCTTGCCCTGGGCATCCACATCAGCCTCCTTCTGGAGCAGCAACTGGGCCACCTTGATGTGTCCGTACTTGGCCGTCAAGTGAAGCGGTGTGAATCCCTTCTTGGTGGCGGCATCCAAGGCGGCACCATTTTCAATTAGAACAGCAGCCACCTAAGGAAAGGTTTCAATAAAGGTTTCACATAAATAACACTACCATTATCTCACAGAATGACGTGCCAATAAATCATATTACCAAAATTACTCGCAAAAAATCATAATACCAAAATACTAAAAAAAAGAGTTGCAACATTTATTCAAAAAACAAAACGCCAAAAAGAGACAACAACACAAGAGCGAAGGAAACAACTCATAATACCGATACGAGTACAAAAACCAAGAGGCCGTGTCAAAAAACTTAAAATCAAATGAAAAACTCCTGATGGCGAATCCAAAAGAGCTGCATCAGGTAAACGGTGTCGATGTGGTCGGTGATCTTTTTCGCAATCAGGTTCTTTACCTCGTCCTGGCCCTCCTTGGCGGCAATGTGGAGAGCCGTGTACATGTCCTTGGTGGTGGCATCCACCTGGGCGCCATGTTGCAGCAGCAGCATCACGATGTCCACGTTGCCCAGTCGCGAGGCGATGTGCAGCGGAGTCTGCTGCTCCCGGGCACGGGCGTCCACCTGGGCGCCATTGCGCAGCAGGATGCGAATGATGTCGGTCTAAAAGAAAAGGACAAAAGGTGAAAGTTTACAAATCTAGAAAATCAGGAAAAAATTGTCATGGATTTAGAAAGACTTATAATCTGTCAATCTATTAATATGATTTATACTTATCCAAACTAAGTTTTTATTTTTAAACCTTTTTTTAAATTCTTAAACAGTTGATGAGCTATCTTTTTACCATTTAATAATTCTAATTCCTCCTATCTGAATTTGAGTTTTGGTTTTTGATTTGCTCTTTAACTCACCTGGTTGGCTCTGGCGGCCAGATGGAGTGGCGTCTCTCCACGCACAGTGGGCACATCGGGACTGGCATCGTGCTGCAGCAGATATATAACGATGTTCATGCAGCCCATGAAGGCGGCCACATGGAGTGGAGTCAGTCCACTTTCGGTGGTGGCACTGATACTGGCGCCATGACGCAGGAGCAGTTCCACCACCTTCAATCGGTTCTTCTTGCAGGCAATGTGCAGTGGAGTGAATCCGTTCAGGGCCCTGGCATTCGCATCTGCGTTCCGATCCAGGAGCAGCTTGGCCACCCGCACGTGACCACAGTGGGCAGCCACATGGAGGGCGGTCAGGTAGTCCACGGTGACCTCGTCGACGGGAGCACGATGGTACAAGAGGATGCGGGCGGCGTCCACATGCTCACCCTGGGCGGCCATATGAAGGGGGGCCAAGCCGTTCTTGGTCTTGGCCGAGATGGGAGCTCCCCGCTCGAGGAGCATGTCCACCACCTGCTCGTGACCCGATCGAGCGGCACAGTGGAGCGGAGTGAGACCATCCCGGGTCTTTGCCTCGATGTTACCGCCCTTCTCCAGCAGCAGGGACACCATGTTGGTCTTGCCCCACTTGGCGGCCACGTGGAGTGGACTGATGTTGTGCTTGGCCGAGTAGTTCACGTCGGCGCCCTTCTGGATGAGCAAGTTGGCGATGTTCTGGTTGCCATAATGCGAGGCGATGTGCAGCGGGGTGAAGCCCGACTTGGAAGTCACATCCGGATTGTGGTCATTCTGGAAGGAAGAAGGTTGTTTGGAATATAAGATATGCTATTTAGATTATCTTATTAGGATTAAGAAATATTAAACTTACATCCAGAAGAAGGGTTGCCGCCTTGACATCGTCCTTTTTGGCGGCGATGTGCAGAGCTGGCAGCCTGACCTTTCCCCGAGTGTCGCTCTCCAGAAGCACAGCGACCACCTTGTCGTGCCCCTGTTGCATGGCCACTGCCAAAGGAGTGAAGCCATCCTCGGTGGCCAAACTCTGGTTGGCGCCATTGGACAGGAGGAGACGGACCACCGCATCGTGGTTCTCCTGGGCGGCCATGTAGAGTGGTGTGAAGCCATTCTGGGACTGCACATTCACGGAGGCATTGTGCTCCAGCAGCAGCTTCACCACCTCCTCCTGTCCAGCCAGCGAGGCGATGTGGAGGGCGGTGTTGCCCTTTTTGGTGGCACTGTCCACAATCGCCCCACGACGCAGAAGCTCCGAAACGACGTGGATGTGGCCATCCTTGGAGGCCAGATGGAGGGCATTTAACCCGTTCTAAGGGGGAATGTCATTGGATTAATAAGGAGTTGTATTTTGGTATAAATTCTTAATGGCTTACCGCATTGCTAGTGTTAATGTCAATGTTGTTCTTCAAATGCTCGAGCACGCGCTCCAGGTTTCCAGCGCGAGCGGCTCGCAGGAAGGAAGTGTTTCCATCGCCCTAAAAACAAAATACGATTTATATATTATTAGTTATTATTGTTTATTAATATATATCCCAAAAGGAATATTTTTATATTTTTCGTTTCCCAAAAAAGATTTGTAAAACCAACTTAATGATAGTATCCCTACTGCAATTGATTTTAGTCAGCTTACTCTTCTCCAAATCGAGTTGTGACCTAATTTATCCGATTATATCAATTATCCTATAAATAGGTAAAACGCTAAATGCTAACCCCAAGGAGGTAATCGCTATTATTTTTGCACAGGTGATAAATGAGGTAAAGGTCAACAAAAAGTAATTGCCTGACGGCTTATCAACCGCAATGCAATACATCTTTGTCAAGTTTGAGTTGCTCCGGAAAACTTTACTTCTATTTCTCATTTAGTTGCGTGTTGGCTGCGTATTCATCACCTGGTTGTGGGTGGGCATAAAAAATTGGGTTGGGTGCACTTGAAGTTTTATTGATCGTTGCTAGGTTGCGCAACTCCAAGTTTGGTGGCCCGTCAAGGAGTGGAATAGTTACATATTGTTATTATGCACCTGCTCGCTGCCTCAAGTTCAAGCCACGACGGTCAAGGCGAGGGGTCACCGACGCTCTTCCGCTTTTCAGCGCAGGTGTACTCGTAATTCGGCTTAATGGCCAACGCCCACCCACTGAAAAGCGAATAAAAAAAAAACAACCACCCACCCACTCAGCGGTGCTCAGCTGTCGATGGAGGTTTTGTTTATGTTTTTCTCCCCCAATGCTTGCCAGGATTTTCGATGTCGAAAATGACGTCATGTGGCGCTTTCCAACTGCAACTGGAAGTCGGCAAATCGGAAAATTTTCCCACTGGAAGAGAGCGAAAAGTCGCCAGAGAGTGACCGCAGCTCAGACACCCGGCAGACCCGCTTCCCGAGCGTTAAGTTCCCTCCAATCCACCCAATCCAATGCACCACCACCCATCCATCTATCTATTCAACCACCCACCGCCCTTTGGCAAACAAGGAAGTGTGTGAAGGATATACACAAGCGGCCAAAAAGGAAAACTCATTTCACATGCCCTGGGCATACATACGAATTCAAAAGGAACTTGTTTGCCCCGTCTGCTTCCTGAACTCTGTTTGCTCGACTGCACAGCAAAAATATATCAGCATAAGTAATTGCCATATCTGGCTGTGCCTCATGTGACAGTTTTCAATCTAAAGTTATCTTTACTAGACCTTTTACTACATTTTAGGACAAGTTATATGTATTTATTCATATTGAAATGAGTTTTAAAAAGAAATCATTGAGTAACTGCTTGCTTCATATTTATTCATTGAAAAGACGGTTTAAATTCTCTCTACTAATAAAAATAAATGTAAATACATTTCGAATTTTAAATGAATATTTTATTTTAAAACCTATAAAATCTACTTGGCTCAGTAGATACTTTTTGTTAGATCAGCAGCTTATGTTTCTTTTGAAAAACAAGGCAATAAACCCAAGCTAATATTCGTGGACTTTTCTCTCCCTGTAGGGCGAGAGGTGACTCCCAGACGAGTTCCAAAAGTTCAAAGGTTCTTGGGCTCGGCCTCGCTCCCTGTTTTCGTCATTGTATAACGAGGGTCTCAGCTCGGGCAAATTGAGTTCTCGACTAAAGGAGTTTCGCCTTGAAGTGGGTTTGCTTTGAACTTGTGTGGCCAAGTTGGTACTCGGTTCAAAGCTTAACGCCTAATCGAAGTCCGAGTGGCTATGCTCGACAACAAAGCAACAAACAATTGTTTAATGCAACGGAGAAAACTCAGATGAAAAAGTGAGTCATGTATTATGGATTTTTCCCCCATCTTGGCACGAGTGTCGCATGTCATCATTAGGTTTAACCTAAATCTCGATTACCTTACACTGCTGCCAACAATACACGCACGCACCACACCCATTTCTGATTAAAAGGACAGTGGTGGTGTTGGGATGGTGGTGCCAGTGGTTGCTGTGGTGCCACTGAGAGCCACCACCTGAATTTAATTGCCGCTGGTTAGTACAGCAATTATTTTTAGACCATTGTTTAGGCTTAAATCAGAAACTCCCGCAACGCCCTTAGAATATTTCAGCTATTTTAATGGAGTGAAAAATCAATAAATCTCGTTGCCAACGAAAAATGGGGTTGCCACCCCATGGTTTTTCATGAAAACCAGTCTTTTATCTCTTGTAACTCCCTTCGAAAACCCTTTTCATCAGTTTTTTCCTCAATTTCGCTGCACTTTTTCAGCCAGACGACGAAAAATCGATAATCCGCAAAATGGACGCCAACATGGCTGCCCCCAGAATCTCCACAGTGGGCCCGAAAAGTACAACCCCACATGGTGAAATTGAAGATGAAAAATTCATTTTACCTGAGCTCCATTTTCGGTGACCATTTTTCTACGATTGCCAATGGGAAAAAGTCGGACTCGAGTTCGATTCTGCGATTAATTGGTGTAGAGAAATTGTGTAAGCGCCGCGTATGTCGTCACTGCAGATTAGTCATATTTTTTCACTGGGCCTGGGACTTTTCTTCGCCGTTAGCTAAAGCGGAAAACTCGCACTGCTCAAGATACGCTGCTCGAGACCTTTTTCCTCTTTTTTCGCTGAATTTTTAATGCACTCCTATCGATTTTTCCTTAGACTTTATGTAAGCTATATGTACACGAGTGCATGGGTGTGCGAGAGGGTGTGTTCGTACAGGCGACCGATTCGGTTGTGTGCGTGTCAGTGTCGGTGTATGGGTGTAAATGTTCTTGTGTATGTGTGTGTCTGATTGGATTCCTGGCTGCTCTCACACAATCCCTTCTGAATTCACGGTTTTCGAGGAGCAGTTTTCGGTTTTGCTGCCGTTTTCTTCGATGTTCAACTCCAGACTGGATGCGACAAGTCCTGCCCCGAGTGGTTGAAACTTCAACTGGCAGGACATCGAAGGACCTGCGCACTCGGCCGTTCCAATTGGAAGGTCCACCCCCCAACGACCGAGGGGTGGTTCGCCCTCTGGAACCGGGACTTCGAATGGAAGTGCCAGCGGAAGCCAGAAAAAGAGGCAGGCCTCTAAGCCGAGGGGTCTCTTTTCATCCGGCACGAGCCCTTTGTTATTGTTGACGTTTTTATAGTCAGCAGCACGTGCTTTATAAAGAATTTAAGGAAAAATCTGAATTTCATGGGTTCTTTGTGAAATTTAATAAATGGTTCCAGTTTCTTTCTATCTTCAATTTTCAAGATTAATGGTTTTTTTTACATATTATTATAATTGAATTGCTTAAAAGAAATGTGAGAACCATTAAGGCATGACAAACAAAGAATTGAGTTTATTTATTGCAAAGTAACTGAAGCGTATTTCAATATGCTCTTTAAATAATTAATTTAATTTGTTTTCCACCCTCTTTTTAGATCCCACAAAATGCTTTTGCTCTCATAATACGAAATTATTATAATATTCTCACTTAAGGGGGTCTTCCTATGTGACGGCCTGTTTTTTAGGGTTATTTTAGGATTTTTTTTCTACGACCAGTAAATATTTAGAGCTTCAAGTTTTTTATCATTTATTAACACATATTTGGACAGTATAAATAAAAAATTTCAGCAAAAAATATTCGGTCAAACTAGAGTAGTAGTACAGCGCTCTGAACACCCCCGCCTCGAAAAAAAGAGCTCCCACTTCCTCCACGATTCCGGCTGATCGGCTTATCAGAAAAAAAAAAAAATAAACGGCGTTTTAATTTGTAGGCTTAAATGCACGGAATGAACTACAATCAAATGAATATAAAAAAAATTGGATTTTTGATAGACATTTGAAAAAAAAGTTGCAAATTTGGCGTTTTTTTTTTTTTTTTTTTTGCTATAAAAAAATCGAAGTTTTGAAAATTTTCGATTGATAATAGTTCATTCCATGCGTTTACATATATTGAGTGTGCCCTGTAAATTTCAAGTAATTCGGTCCGGCCGTTTCTGAGATACAATGGAGGAAAGTTTGAAAAACACAGTTTTGAGAAACACGCGTTTAAAGTTTCTAACTGCCAACTCAGCGCTTCGAACCGCTCTTTCTTTTACCTGCTGTATCTTTAAAACGACTTCGAATTTTTTAAAATCGCTTTACTACCGTATTCTAGACATGTTAAGGGAGCAATTTATGAAAAAAAAAAAAAATCGATTTTTTCAACCCATCACATAGGAAGACCCCCTTAACAAGTTTTCAATTTTAAAGACCATGCATAACGTTGAACCAGTGTATACATAAACCAATTTCCTTTTCTACTTATTCCTACTTGTTTGTCATTCCAATAAAATCCTACTACAAATATTTACCCGAGGTGCAAACATCCTATTCAGGGTGTAACTATAACTATCCTAACAAAACCCACATTAATCTTCCCGTCATTGCTCGCACAATAAATCGCAGGCATTAAATTCCACCGACAGTTTCATTTGGCACATTACACTAATTAGCTAAGTACACAAAAAAAGTCCATGCAGAGAACGTGGAAATGGCCCTGTCGTCCTACCCCCAGATAATCTTTCGGCCCGAAACTCTGTTGACCGAGCGTAAATAAAGGCCGGGCCGAGTGCACACAATCCACAGTTGGTTGACGGCTGACGACGGATGATGGCTGGATGGACGGATGGGTGGGATTCCTTCCAGCTGGGGATTAACTTTTGCGCAGACGCAGCGCGCCAACTGGATGTTGTTTACTTCCCAATTCGAACTTGGGCTCGGAACAATTCCAATTCGAAAATCACACCCCGAAACCCACCCCTTCTGGCACCACATTCAAAGGTCGAAAATCCCAATCGGAAGCGTGTGCATTCCCGGTCACGTTGTGCCAAGTAAGGCAAAGGCAGTGCCATTAATTTGTGTTCTTAGACAGGAAATCTACCCTTCTCTCCGGAGAAAGAAAAAAAAACCCCTGCTGCCACACAAATCCACCCCATCGAACGGCGGTTGCATAAAATTGCATTTCAAATTGCATCGTGACCGGGACAAATTGTGCAGTAAACAGAGGAATGAGTGTGCGTGAATCACGTTGCAGGTAATTAAATGGGCTAAAAGGGGTGGCAACCCGCCAGCAAGGTGGCAGCCTACGTTTTGAATTTAATTAAAGAGCTTCCCTTAGAGCAGTTTCCCTTAAGTCTTTATCGCCTGGCCAAACATGGGCCTGTTTGTTTTGTTTTTTTAACCAACCGAAGGGTTTCCCGTTCGCACTTTAAAGCCAAAAGCCCAGCGAGCTGGTCTGAGTTTCGGTTACAGGGTTGGCCCAAAACCAAAAACCAAATGGCTTATTCGCATGTCCCAAGGCAGTCCAGCAAATGTTTATACTCTCTCAATTCCTGGCCATTGTCGTTTGTGTATGGTTCAATTAATAATTTAAAGGGTGCTCTTCCTTCGTTCGCCTGCAATTGATAGGTATTTAATTACTTCTCCGATCCTGAGGCAGGTTTGAGATTTCCCAAAGGGAGAACGAGATGTGGCACAAGCTTCCAAGTTACTTTTAGCTGATTAATTTTAAGAGACACATGCAAACATTGAAATTGAATTACTGATCAGGAAAAAATATTTTGAAAATGAATTAAGTTAAATTATTTCTTTATTTTTAAGTAACTTTAACTTTCTGAACATTTAAAAATCCGTTTGTTTTTGCTTTTTATAAACTTCTATAAAAATTATATCCAAAGAGTATATACTTTTCGATGTAACAAAAAATTTCTTTAAACCTCCCTGTGTTTAAGTAAATATTTGTGTTAGCATCGATGTCGCGGTGGCTTGTCGACAGCAATGTGATATTTGAATGACCCTCCCCAGAGGCCCTTAAAAAAAAAGCAAGAAAGAAAAACACCTTTACAAAAAAAAACAGCAAGGAATGCTTTGGGGCAATGCCTTAAGTAAATTACCAGCTAGATGAGCTGATTGCCCATAATTTTGACGACCCCAAAAAACGCAAAGCAAATTGAGCACGCCCGAGTCGCCATATCGTGGGTAATTTCTGGTTGAATGGGAGCAGAAAATGGAAACATTTTCACCGTGTTCAGTTCACTGCACCCGAGGGACGAGAAAAGGAGAACGGCACACGCACAAAATTATGAAAAATGTAAAAAATTTCCCCGCACGATTCGCTGGCCAATTTGGCTGTCGGATTTGAGTTTGTATTTATAGGGCAACCCGAAACAGATGCCCCGCAGGTTTTCCTTTTCGGGTGGATCCCCACCACATTACATAAATTTAAGTTGAAGGTGTCGCGAAACTTACGCCCAAACTCTGCAGCGAGGGGAAGCGTTTCTTCAGCGTCTCCATTTGCCCAGATCACCCCGTTTGTCCAAAAACTTTTGGGGGCCAATAAAATGAAATATATTCGCGTATATATCTAGATATTGTCTAGAGGGTCTCACGCGGCAGCCGTACCGAGCGATTTGAGTCGTTTTCTGAATTATTTTCGAATGCGCCCCGTCGAAACAGAGAGCCCCCAGAACAGATAGGAATATAATGGACCCGAAAAACAGAGAACCCCAACCAGACGACGTGCTATACTATGCCAAAGCAAAGAGTGTGGCAAAGAGAACGTTTAGCTAGAATGTTTAGCCCGTTGGCTATTTTTAAAGGCCAAACAAACCGAGAAGATTGCGAAAAAGAAGAGCTTTTTGCTGTTCGACGGCCTGAGGATTTCTCTCAAGATTTTATGCCTTGGAGATGCCAGGCGCCAGCAGGAGTTGTTAATGCCCCCGCAAGGACAACGGAAGCGCACTGCCGATGAGTCACATTGGCATTGGACGGAGTCGGTCCAAGGATTACTATTGCGTCACCGCTGGGATGGGATGACATGGGGTGGGCAGGAATTCAGCTCCAAGATGTGGCCGAAATGCTGCCCCGAAGAGCAGTGAATCATCAAGGATGAGTTATGTCAGATTGGATGCGAGAGTTAACACTGCGTGAAATTCGATGATATTATCAAGCAAATCGGACAACCTTTATCTTGGTAAAATAATGGTATGGTATACATTATCTCAGATATTTTGTAGATATATCATACTAAAAACCAAGCCCACAAACTAACCACTTAAAGATTAGGGTAATTGATATATGTCGTTTAGTTTTTAGGGGGATAAATTGGATAAAAGATGCCCATTAAACCCCTTCATCATTTTATGACCTTGGGTTCAACTTCAAGCATTTTAACGGTTATAAAAACCGATATCGTAAAAATATGAAAACTTATTAGAGTGACTCAAACTTTTACGACCCCAACTCATCACTTAAGGCAACTAGGTGTTGACCTCTAACTTCCTCCCCCTGGAGTCCTGATCACGTGACTATCTATATTAAAGTGACCACCAACCCATTCCCCCGGTGCCATGATGTAATCCCGGGGCAGGACAACTCACCGCACTCTGGTGTCCTGTGGGGCAGTGCTCGTGCTTGTTGGGATGGTGGTGCGGTGGCTGCTTGTGGTTGGCCCCGCCGTTGGCTCCTTCGTGGTGGAAGATCTGCTCGTGCTGGTGCTGAAAGTACTCGTAGTGCCCCACATGATCTGGATGGTGTTCCGTGGGCGGTGAGTGAATCCTCGAGGGCGGACTGGGGTGTTTTTCCTTGGAGGCGTGGCCGGTGGTGCTGTGGTGTGCCTGCTTTTGCGACGGATGCGAGTGGCCACCGCCCGATCCTCCATGATGACCACCACCACCACCGGAAGTGGAGTGGTGTCCATGTCCGTGGTGGTGATTGTGGGTGGGCGGCGACGGCATGTTGTGACCGCTGTGGGGCAGATGCGACGAGTGCTGCACACCCACCTGATGTCCGTGGTGGTGGGGCACATGACCTTGGGACGCCTCCATCAGCGTGGGCTGGATGTGGGTCACAAACTGGGCCATCCTGCCGCAACCTTCAGCTACTGCTCCCTTATTTTATTTCGGTTGGTTTTTGGGGTTTTTTTTTTGGGCTTAGGTAACACTTGTTAAATTTTTCACAGCTCTTTGAGAGGGGCTTTCTGGGATGGTTGGGGGCTGGCACTTTTATATGTATCCCAGAAGTGGGAGGGGGTAGCACAAAAATCACACACAAACACACTATGGCAATGTTGCGGACGCGATGAGGGCGACGAGGGATTTGGGCACGGAGCGCGGACAACCTTCTCGCAGGAGCAATGTCAAATGACTGACTAGGACGAGCTATCCCAGTTGTGCCCGTGCCTTAGATGTGCCACAGGACTCTCCACCCGCCATCCAACCGCACGAACCGCTTCGGCTCCAAATCGGCAATGGGTTCGTCTCGAAACATTCGTCGTCCCGTCGGAAGAGCTTTAACCGGACCCAGTTTTATGCGCCTGGCTGATAAGAGATGCCCCGCTCCACTGGCTGATTGCGACTTTGGATGGCTGCGGATGCTGATTTAATGATGCCTTCGTGCCTGGCCACGTAGCGCTCTGTTTTTTATATCTGGCTGTCAACTGTGTCACGGACTCCCAATTCGTTTCGCTGGAGATTTCTTTTTTTTTGGGTGGCGGTTGGGGCAACCTCTGTGTAAATCACTCTGTTATTTTTAACTCAGCCAGAGGAACTCATTTCATCTATTTGTGTCAAGCGCGAAAGTATGCTCCAACTTTCAAGGGCCTAACAGGTGGCAGTCGATGCACTCGACTAGGTTTTATCCTGTAAATAATTTCAGTAGAACCTATAATTATAATAGAGACCTAACAAAGGTCTTTAAAAAAATATTAATGTTATATATTATGTTATATCATATATATTTAAAATAAAATAAAGTATTTTTAAAAATGAAAATTTCCAAGTCAATATTTCTTTCATTTTTCTTCGTATTTGTTTCCGGGAGATAGAAAGTTTAAAAATATATACATATATTCAGGTAACCAAAATTAAAACTTTAATTTTTAGTTATTACATTAATTTGGATAACTAATTTAGGAGTCATTTTCTTTTTTTTTTTTTTAAACCTGTTTTGAATTTGCTTGCAAGCCTTATATTCCCATGAACTTATTTTAGACCTTATTTCAGAAAAACATTGCCTTACGTTGTGAGCTAAAAGCTTTTGCCATTACGTTGTTAGCTGAAGGTTACGTTAAAGCTATGTTTTGTTGAGCTTTTTCGTAGAGTATTGGTTAGGGTACATTCATTTTGAAAAAAAGGGGGTGTGTCTCTTAACATTTATACATTTATACAAATATATAAGTAATCATTTAAATTATACTTTCTTTGCTTTAAACATGATGTTTGTATTTTTTCGATATATGTATGTAAAACGTATTAAACAAAAACATATTGGATTTTTTTATATTCTCAGGATATATGATATTATATTGGGTATGTTTTAGATTGGAAATTGTTAAAACCGTATAAACCGTTTTCACAGAATGCTACTAAATGCTTTATAAAAATTTTTTTAAATTTAATCAAAGTGAAAACAAACTTAAAAACTCTTCCAGAAGCTCGTAAAAGTTCCATTAACAGCGCATACGAACGTCGAGGGCATCTTCCCTTATCTCATCCTCCTGCACAGGAGTACATATGTTTGTCGCTCGTTCGTCATCGCGATTCTGTAGCTTTTGCGACTGCCAGCGCAACAGAGTCCAATGTCCAAGCTTTGCTGATATATAGAAATGTACATAAGTCGCTATACCGGCGCATCGGGCAACTCGTTTGGATCACTTCGCTGCTAGCCACCGACGAGTTAGGAAGGCGACCTAGTTAAAATTTAGACAATACGAAAATAAACCCACAACCCAATGGCGTTCCTCAACAAGGTGAGCATAACATATTAGTTAGTTAAAACGACGGAGAAAGTGAAAAACATATCACAGTGACATACAGAAAATGCGGAAGGTTCAAAGTCCTCTCAGTTCTGTGACGACAGCAACTGTCGATCGTCTGAAAATTAGGTTTATACATACATACTTATAATCGAGTGGGTTCAGTTTCGTAAACACATTTGTTGTTGCTTATCTGCCAGCAATCACATATGTAGACTTTGCCCCCCTCGAGAAATTATTATTAGCGGCGTCTAATGGCGGCTTGTTTTTTGCACTTGATTTAAATTGGAATGCTAACTTTATTGGCAATACACATACTTTTTTCATTAAACCTTGTGATAACATCAGCATGGGTTCAGATCTCAAGGAGACAGACTTCTTTATAAAAATCTTTAATATTCAGTTGATCTAATTAAATGTTGCTAGTTGTTGCTGAACAAATGAAGGCCTAATTCACGGTCAGTTTAGGTTTGTAGGTAAAATAAAATAATTAATACTTTATACAATCCGAAAATCAGTTGAATTCATATTCCAATTTTTAACCATTGTTTTATAGCTTGCTGCGCCTGCCCTGCGCCAGTTGGTGTCACAAAGCCGCGCCTACGCCGCCGTGTCCCACGTTTCCCCCAATGGAACCTCCTTCGCCCTCACCGAGGATCAGCTGCAGCTGCAGGAACTGGCCCGCAAGTTCACCCGTGAGGAGATCATCCCAGTGGCTGCCCAGTACGACAAGAGCGGCGAGTACCCGTGGCCCATCATCAAGAAGGCCTGGGAACTGGGTCTGATGAACAACCACATTCCCGCCGACATCGGTGGCCTGGATCTCGACGTCTTCACCACCTGCCTGTCTGCCGAGGAGCTGGCCTACGGCTGCACCGGCATCATGACCGCCCTGGAGGCCAGTGGTCTTGGGGTAAGTGCAAATATTGTTATCACCTTCCCCAATAGATGTTGTAAGTCCCCTCTTCTTCGTAGCAAACTCCTGTGATCCTGTCCGGTAACAAGGAACAGAAGAAGAAGTACCTGGGACGCCTGCTCGAGGAGCCGCTGGTGGCCGCTTATGGTGTCACGGAGCCCGGAGCAGGATCCGATGTGTCCGGCATCAAGACGCGAGCGGAAAAGAAGGGCGATGAGTACATCATCAACGGTCAGAAGATGTGGATCACCAACGGTGGCGTAGCCAACTGGTACTTCGTGCTGGCCCGCACCAACCCGGATCCCAAGTGCCCGCCCAGCAAGGCCTTCACCGGCTTCATTGTGGAGCGTGACACACCCGGACTGACGCCCGGCCGCAAGGAGTTGAACATGGGACAGCGTGCCTCCGATACGCGTGGCATCACCTTCGAGGATGTGCGTGTGCCCAAGGAGAACGTGCTGATTGGCGAGGGAGCGGGCTTCAAGATCGCCATGGGCACCTTCGACAAGACCCGTCCTCCAGTCGCCGCCGGAGCTGTGGGTCTGGCCCAGCGCTGTCTGGACGAGGCTCTGAAGTATGCGCTGGAACGCAAGACCTTCGGCGTGCCCATCGCCTACCACCAGGCTGTGCAGTTCATGCTGGCCGACATGGCCATCGGTGTGGAGACTTCCCGTCTGGCGTGGCGTCTGTCCGCCTGGGAAATCGACCAGGGACGCCGCAACAGCTACTACGCCTCCATTGCCAAGTGCCACGCCGCCGATATGGCGAACAAGATCGCCTCCGATGCCGTCCAGATCTTTGGTGGCAACGGATTCAACAGCGAGTACCCCGTGGAGAAGCTGATGCGCGACGCCAAGATCTACCAGATCTACGAGGGCACCTCCCAGATCCAGCGACTCATCATCTCGCGAAACATGTACGAGGCTGCCAAGGGTCAGGCCTAAGGCGTAGTCAGTCAACCAGGATTCCTCATCATCGTTCACCTCATCCGTCGTCATCGTCACGGTAGACACATTCACAAATCCGATTAATAAAGTAAAATAAGTAATAGTTACAAGAAAATTACAAATGACTGTGTATTATTTATCTTCCAAGGAAAAATAGTATTTCCTCTTTACAACAAGATACTTGATAATTTAATAAGCATAACAAACACCACAAACCACCTGGAGAAGTCAGTAAACAAGTTAACTTTCGAATTCCTATCCTCTCGAGTTGAACCACTCTTGGCCTCACTTACCCCCAAAAGTCTAGAGTCTAGACCAGCGCAAATTATTTCGCCAGAAATCATCCACTGATTAGATAAGCCCTGTGGGGCCGAGTGATTGTCCTACTTAGCTTCAAAAATTAGTCCACTATCAACCAAACGATAAGAAGTGTACTCAGATTTGCTTTATGATTGTCAAACAATAAAAAATACTTTGGACACAAAACATAATGAAAAGATTCTATACATGATGAGACTTCATAATTCCGCATCGTTTCCGTCAGCCAAAAGCCTGAGGAGTCCCTTGTATCGCCTGCCACTTTTCCGTCTGTTTGATGTGGTTAACATCTTGGCCTTGTCGCCAAATTGCAGCTGCCAAATGGACTCCAGGGTCTCCAGAACACCAGGCATGGAGAACACCTGCTCGTCAACGGTTAGATCCAAGCGCCTGGGCAGCTGCTTCTGTTGTTCGATTTTCTGGATGCGGGTGTCGTCCAAAAGATTTGTACAGTTCGTGGCCAAGAGCGTCCGCAATTGCGGAAGTTCATCAAGTAAATATCCAAGGGCTGTTCCACTTAATCCTACATTATCACTGATATCCAGCCATTGCAGTTGAGTGGCTTTGGCCAGGTGCTGGCTAATCTTGTACAGGTGCGCATCATTCAATCCGCAACCAGCGAGTTCCACACGGACAAATCGTTCACACGTGCCGCCTTCCAGAAGGGAAACCAATCGCTCGCCCAAAGCAAATCCACTAGCCTCGTCTAGCGGCCATCGGACATAACTGAAATTTAAGTGCTCCAGGCGGCAACTATTCAACTGATCCGTTAATCGGCGCACACTTTGCTGGCTAAGCTGGTTAAAGCTAATGTCAAATCGCGTCATTTGGTTGAAACCCAAGTCGAAATCCTGCAGCTCTGTCAGATCACATTGAGCAATGCTTAGGAATGTAAGAGCTCGACCAGCGGGACTTTCACAAAATCTGTGGAGTATCCTAAGGCTTGCATTGCCCAGCGGATTCTGGCTCAGGTTTAGCTCTTCCAAGAACTCCAGTTTCTCAATGCCTTGAACGTAGAGCAGGGCATCCAATCCCTGGGATCCAATTCCATTGCATTGCAATCGGAGTGCCTTGAGTTGGAGTAATGTGGGCAGTGACTTGGCCAACTGTTGACACCCCTCGTCACCAATAAAGTTTCGCGAGAGATCCAAAACCGTTAAACGCGCTTGATGGAGAAGTGCTTTAAATATCGGTTCAGTTTTTTGTGCCCTCATCCACAAGCCAGAGAGCTCCAACATTAGTGTGTTTTGCGAACGCTCTAAAAGCAGCTTAACCTTGTTGTCCACAGCTGAGAAATGAACAATAATTTTATTAATAATCATACACAAAACAAAAATTAAATCATTTTCTTACGCTTCTGCACTTGATGACACATTTCCTCATATCGTTGCGAAAGCGGGGATATTTTCCAGTCTAGAATAGTTGCCATTAGCATATTCTGCTCGAGAGCCACACTCACAGGATCCATTTCCTCGTAGGCGAAACCATCAGCAGTTTTGAGACGCAGGAGCGGTGTTAGGCCTGTCAACCTAGTAATTAAAATTGTGATTAGTTTTGTACTGTAAGACTTGTAATAGTAGAAACTCTTACTTGTTATAGCGCCTTCCAGCTTCCTCAGCCAGCCAGCGTATGTTAATATCCTGGAGTTTCTTGCGTTCGATGGGAACTAATAGCAGCTCATCCTGCACTTTAACTTTAAAGGAGACAGTGGTAGCCAACGCGGTAGTAGTTTGTACTTTAATAGGTGACGATTTGGACGGAGAGATGAGTAGTTGAATAGTGCTCGTGGTGGAGTCTGGTTCAATGGTACGTAGACTAATCACAGATGCGGTGCCATCATGCGAGGACTCACTGCCAAGGGGACTCTCGCTGCGGAAGCGACTGAAGCCGCTGTCCATCAGCGTTGCTTGATGCTTTCTTCGAGGAGGAGCAGCTGAACTGCTATGGTTGCTACTCATACTGGAGGAGCGGGAGAGGGTAAGCTTACGCATTTGCTTCTGCCGCTGCGAGTAATCCGTCTCAGGCGTGGCCTGGAGAAGATCATCTTCCCAGTTTGCCTGCAGCGACAAGGCAGAGTCCTGAAAATTCTCCTTGGCCGGACGGATATTAAAGTCTCCCGAGTTGATGCGCTTTCGTTTACGTTCCGGACCCACATCATCGATGAGCCAGTTATCGGCATCCACCTCGTCTTCGTTCAGAAAGGCGTTGCGTTTTTGTTTGCTGGAAGCGCTGTTACAAGGAGGATCATCGCTTAGGCGATTTGGTCTTTTTAGCTGTGCCATAACACTCCTGTATTCCTTGCTGGCACTTGGTTGGGTGGAGCTACCAGATTTCTTAACTCCATATTCACTTCCCGAACGGTTGTGACTGAGAGATCGTCGATTGCTCTCTTGAAGGGCCTCCTCTTCATCCTCTTCCTCGGATACGCTGCCGCTTTCTTCTGTGCTAGCCCTTTTTACATTGGCATTGGTCAGAGGGCGGGCATTCCGATCACTGCAGATGCCCACCTTGGAAAGCGTGCGAAGGAGGCGCTCTCGCAGTTGGGCGTACTGTGCCTGCTCGCCATCCACCAGTCGCGCTGACTGGCGCCACTTGTCCAAGCCAGCGATGCAGGTTTCGTTGTAATCCGTTCGCACAGTGGCATCCGCCCCACGATCTAGCAGGAGTTCGGCCACATCGAGAAACCCATTAGAGCAGGCGTCGAACAGGGGAGTAATGCCATCGCAACTGGTGCCGCCTTTGTCGTTGATCGCAGATGCCGCTCCTTTGTCCAGGAGGAGCTCCACGATCTCACGATAACCATGGTTTGCGGCCTCGTGCAGTGGCAGCCAGCCAGCGTGATCCCGCACATTCACCGTGTGACCCTGCTCGATAAGTCGTCTGGCTAACTCGAGATTTCCGGATATGCACGCCTGATGCAATTGCGTTTCGCCCTTATTGTTCTTCTTGATGACTAGAGTTCGGCTTCCACGTGTTGTTCTTTGGGGACGCGGCTTCTCGCTCTCATCCAGATCACTCGCATCCGAGTCGGTTAGAGTGGTCAGGTCAAAGTCGTCATCCCAGTCGGGAGTATTTTGCTGCACAGCAGCGCCGCCAGCTTCGGCATCCTCATCATCGTCTCCCAGGCTTTCCTCCTGGTCCAAATCAATGCCCTTGGCTGTGGCATCCGCTTCTAGGTTTTCAACTAACACTTGCATATTGTGCTTTGTCATTAGGCGTCTTAATCTTACCATTGCAATCTTCTCTAGTTTTTCAGATGAGCTGCCAGCTTTCTCGGCTTGGCGCAAGGCCTTTTGGTAGATGTCGTGGATAGTCCAAAAGGGATGTGACTGCTGCTCACATATTTCGGCAATGGTGCAAAGTGTGGTGAAGGCCTCCGAGGGAACATCCTGGTTCAACTCATACTCCTTCCACAAATATTCCAAGGCCTTGTCGAACTGCCCGCTATCTCGATAAGTCTGATAGAGACTTACGTAGATGGGCACCAGGCTTTTACCGCTCTCCTGATTCAGTTCTGCACTCTCCAACATCTTTTGGTAATAGGTCAGAGCACTTTCGTAGTTCATCAGATGGCAGCAACCATCGCCCAGTTTCTCGTACAAACCCTTCAACTTGCCGTAGTCCACGGAGCTAGTGAGTACCAACTCATCTAGCGTTTGGCAAATCTTCACCACAATCCTCAATTGCTTCTCGATACTCGCGCGATCGTTCTCATCCGGCGTGTTTTTCTTGTAGGCCTTGGTAAGAATTTGCTTGGCGCTGGCAAAGTCACCCGCCTTGATCAGGATTTCCGCTTTGGTAATCAGTGTCTCGCAGATCTTTTTTACCTTGTTGGGCAGCCGTTTGGCCACCTCCAAAGCCATATTGCAGAAACGAAGAGCCGAAGTTGCATCATTCTTTTTGCAGTTGAAGAGCAAGCTCATCGAAATGTAGCACAAGTGGGTCAGATCCCACAGTTCATGCGTTTTGCTGATCTTGATGGCTTTTTCGATGTATTCGATTGATTCTTGGAAAGCCTCCATGTGCTCCTTCACCACGCCGATGTTCAGGTAGCAGCGAGCTTGCATGTCAAGTTGTTCCAGTTTTGATATCTGACCCGAAAGCCTATGAAATAAAGTGGGATCAAATTAATAATGAATTATCTACATTGGAGCTTAATACGAATATTCATTTCAAGTTGAGCCTATGAATATTCATTTTCAAGTTGAGCATTTATCCTTATTTTTAAAACATCCAATTTAATTACAGACTCTGAAATTATTGAATTATATCATGGAAACCCACTCTTTAATGAGAAGTAGACTGCGAAGGAAGCTCTTCTCCGCCAGCTTCAGTTGCTCCATTGCTCCAGAAGCGGAACTGTCTGCCAGACTTTGTCCATGTAGCAGATGCACTCTTCCTAGCGTAGCATATGCCCGCTGTTCCTCCACTTGGTTCTTTAACCGCTTGGCAATCTCTATAAAAAAGGATTAAAGCATGAGGAATCAGCTCAGCTGAGGAATTCAGGTACTCACTCAGATAATCGTTGATGTGATCCTTGGCCGCATCGTAATCACAGAGCAGGGTGTACATCTCGCCTACCATCCGCTTGGCCTTCGCCGTCTCCAGCTCCTTGCCCATGGAGGCATATATCTGGGCCTCCTGGACATATTCCCTGACCGCATCGTTGTATTTTCCGAGCTGGTTGTAGAAGTCGCCCAACTGGTTGCACGATATAGCCACCTGATCTCGATTGCCATCGATTCGCGCCTTTTCCTTGCGCTTCAGGTAGCGCTTCTCATCCATTTATCAAGACACACAAAAAAAGGACTACGATAATACAAAACAATAAATTTCACAACATTCCAAACAGCTCTTTGCGATCGGCGCGAACAGTACGATTTAGAGATGTGTTATCGCCGGCGATAGTACCGATATTTGGAACCATGAACTGGGTTTCTTTTGTTGGTTTCTGTTGTCATTCGCGTACCACTGTAAGCTAAATAATATCTTCAACGTGTGTGTTATCGCTCTACCATCTTGAAGTAGTGTACAACTCTACGTTCTTGTTTTATTAAAAAGTAGGTAATTTGCACCTAAAGATACTGCAAGGTAAGTGTTTTACTATATTCAAACGATCAAAGGACATGTTATTTACATGCAATTATTTTAAGTTGACTTTTTGAACCAAAATAAGTGCTGGAACGAGGAATTGTAAACAGCGCACATTTTACAGTGGTCGCAGCTATAGACCAAAAATAAAACAAGAAAGGCAGCTACCCAGCGGAAAAGTTGGAAGTAGGTTTTTAGAGTACTTGAAAACCTGCTCCTTTTATCCGGCTTAGGTGTAGAAATAGATAATTTCGGACCGTTAAATGGTGTGGGTTTCTGAATATGTTACAACGAAGTTGTGACTAATTCTTGTCTTTCTTCGGAATGTTGTTATATTATATGATGCACGGTCATCAGTAGAGCTCGGATAGTTATGCACGAAAAAAGGCCAAAATATGCATGCAAATATGCACGAAAAATAGCAAAATATGCTCGTGAATATGCATTTAAAAATATTAAAAATATGAACGAATCTTGCAAAAAATAGTCTAATATGTTCGAAAAGACGGTTCTTTTATTCAAAACTAAAGTTTTGCACAGATCTACATTGAACTCCGACAAATTTGGTCCTGGTTTTGGTTTAAAATTTGATATTAACCATTGGCTTCCCTGATCTGCATTTTTCTTCTCTCTATCTTTGGCAGTTTTGTGTTTCAATGATTAGTCATTGAAAGTACATTGATGAGTCATTAATGTGCCCAGTGTTGATCAATTGATAAAAATAAACAACGTGAAAGTCAAATTTCAACACCACGCAATAACTTATATGTACAGTGGCTCTCAGCTTATTTCGTGCAGTAACCTAAAAAAAGTTCAAGTCCTTATTCCTGCTAAACTAAGAAAGATAACAGAAAAATTTAAATGCAGTATTTTAATATGGAATATTAACTTTTTATTGAACGAAAGCGATTTTCAAAATCATAAAAACAAAAAAATTAATTAAATAAAATCAAAATGAACAGCCTTTTTTCATGTTGCAGCTTATTTCGTGCAGCAGATTCTACTTAACTTATTATTAGTAATTTAACAGATACTGTTTTGTATGTCCATCTTTCTGGTTCAGGACATCTTTGCGATGATTTCCCATGGAGCAAAATAACTTTTTAGTGGTTTGGACTGGAATTTTTTGCATTCTTCCATAAGAACAGTTTTCAGGTCGTTTTTTTTCGAAATCTTCCTCTTCCTTATAGCGATGTCCAATATTTCCCAAAAATTTTCGATGACTTTTAAATCTGGAGACTGTGCTGGCGTTATAACGACTTATTTTCAAACTCTGTATTTGGTCGCCGCCACACAAATTGTCGTCCATCTAAACCAAAAATGTTACATTTTGACATTTGATGACAGCAAAGGTCTCTTGCTGAGAGCGAGAGAGTATGAACTTTGTCGGTTGTGCTCGCACCGAAAGCACAATATGAAAATCGATCGACTTTTATTTGCGAGCTCTGCTTCTATCCTATGGCAGCGACCACTGTGCAGCGCCACTCTAGCAAGGTCAATTTACGCTGAACCCTTCTTAATTAAAAGTTTTTATTATACATCCACAAAATATACATATGTGTATATGCAATGTAGGCGTTTTTCGGTTTGATTAGAATCTCTGGGGACCGCCGCTTATCGTGAACATTTGGCAAACAAAACATTTTTTTTTCAAAAGTCAACGAAACGTAGTGATGTTTGTATACCCTTGCAAAGGTTAGCCGGATCTCAGCCGGACGTTCTCAGCTTATTAGACCCCCACGGCTCCTTGCGCACACCTCCTTCCTTGATCCTTGTGGCCGCTGCAACTCCCGCACGCCACTCCTTTGTCGACCTCCTCCTCCTGGCACGGCTGAGCGCTCCTCCAATCTCAGCACTTTTGTCTCAGCTTATGTAGACTTCCCGTCGTTGGGCTTCTTGACTAAGCGCCTCGATAGACGAACTCCCAGCGTGCAACTCCTTCCGCTCCTCGTTCAAATTCGAAACTTTTCCCGCGCACAATCGATAACTGTCTCGATCGATAATGGTGTTGCCACTCCTTAGGGCTGCAGTCAAAATTAGTGTGACCGGCCAGCGATATATCCGGTATTTTTTTGCACCCGTTGATCGCACTATCGATCGACCGCCATTATCGAGGCGACCCCATTCCCAATTTCAGCTGGTCTCGTTTGTTTGTTTTGGTATGTCCTAAATTTACATTAGCCCTTTTTTTTGTGTTCTACCCTTTTCTTTTCTCTTCCAGCCTGGTCGAGTTGTTGTTGCCCTTCTTATGTTCATGCGCCGGGGCGCCAACCTCCCCCTTCTCCATTCCCACCGCATGCCAGGCCGGCGACTTACTTATTAATCCCCTCGGTCTTAGCTGGTTTTAGTTCACTGATAAGACACCTTTTTGCCGCGAAGCCATCCACCGCTTTGGACAGGTGGTGCTCCTTGGCCCAGACCTTATTGCCAATCCTTGGCGTCCATGGCCTCCTCCGCAGGTTATAATGTCTTGCCTGATCCTGCGCTGCCTTCTCCATGTTACGCCTGCCAACAGCTTCTGGGCGTTTTCTGTTGGTGTTTGCATCGCCTTGCCGGTCCCGATCGTGTGCTCATCGTAGAGAACCTTGGCAGCCTGGGTTCGGCAGCATTCTGCTGGCAATGGCTGTCTCGACAGAGCTTCCGCCATTAAGCTGGCCTTTCCGGTAGGATATCTTAAAATCGTACTGTTGGAGTTCCAACGCCCATATCGTAATCCTTTCTGAAGGGCTCTCTATACTATTGAGCCAATTCAGTGCCATATGATCCGTGATAACCTTGAAATGGTACCCCTCGCCAAGCATTCCTTCTCCGTCGCGGAGTATTTCCTTTCCGCTCCATTTAGGGAGCGACTTGAACAGGAAATTTCTCTCTCGCCTGGTTCTGAATGTTGGGTGAGTATGGCGCCAAGCCCATAGTCGCTGGCGTCTGTGTGCAGGACGAATGTTTTTGTAAAGTCAGCCCACGCCAGGATTGGGCCTGCGACAAGCCTGGCTTTGACCGCTTCGAATACTTGCTGGTCTCGCTACTGGTCTCTTAGGATGTTAAGCAGAAACCTCACTAGCGGGGCTAAGCAGCGCTGCGTGCAGTCAATACTTTTCGCTCCACCCCGGAGTTCGGTTGGGACTTCGTCGGCCTGGCCCTCAGCAGGTCCTCACCTTCGTGTAAACCGACGCCGGGTACCTCTCGCACAACATCCACTGCTCAGACTCCACCAATTTCGTCGATCTTGAGACTCGTAGATGCGCCCCACAACTTACCTTGCACGCTTGGGATCTCAGCTTGGCAGTCTCAGCCATGGTACAATTATACAAGTCAGACTCGTCGGCTGCGTCACTCCCCTATCGACACTACAATGAGTGCGAGGAATGAGTGTTTTCCTACGAAAAGGAGGAGTTTTACAACTCCTTACAACCTTAAAACATTTGAGTCCTGAACGATTTTAGTTTCTCTAAGTTTTAAAACTCGATTAAACTTTACCAAAAGTTGTGTAGTTATTGCACTCAGTAAATATGTAATGAAAAATTCGACTAAACAAAAGGAACTAAAATCGAATGCATAACAGGAAACAAAAATCTTGATACCATAGATTTGAGATGCTTGTTTTCTTGTTCTGTTTTCCTTTTCTGCGTTGCATACAGATTGGTACCTTTATGTAGAACTCTTGAAGCGAATAAATTAAAAACCTTTAAAATACATACCATAGAGGACCGAATCGAAACACGTTATTTGTGCAGTCCTATGGCCCGATTTGTCTTTGTCGCTGTGCTCGGCAATTATGTTAACAAGACTCGGCTAAAAACGAGTTAACAAAAATTAATCAAAGTCCGCTGTTTAAAGCTGCGATCCACGATCGCACTTGGCGACGTTTGCACGTTGTCAGCTTGGCCCGCCAACCTGTCTCTGAAATTGAATTAATTTCCAACTTTTCGCATTCGCATCGGTGTATTTTTATTTTATTATCTAAATCCTATTTATAAGGCTTACGCATTAATGATGTATGAGTATTCTGCCATTATGTTAAACTAGTTCAATTACATCAATCAATAACACATATTTACAAGTCTCAAATGGATGGAAAAAACACTAATTTTTGTTCCAATTTAGGTAAAGATCGAAGGCACTTTTCGGTCTACTTGTGGTATTTCTATTTTGTCCAAAATCGTAGGAAAGGACGGTTTTGGCTCCTGTTTTTATCTTGTTCTCCTGGTATTTTACATAATAAGGACTGACGGATGTTTGATTTTTGTTTTGGGTTATGGCAGACGTGGTGTTTAGATTTGTGGTGGTTTTCTCAAACTTCGCTTTGAACTTCTGGAAGAACGGATGATCGAATGGATCCTTGGTGGTGGCACTCTTTCTCGTTGTTGAGGTTAATAAATATGGCCTTGGTGTGGTGCTACTTTGACGAGTAGTTGGCGCACTTGTCGCAGAGTAACGAGTTGTGGTTTTCGTAATAGGTTTGAGGGTTGTTGGCGAGTAAAGTGTGGCTGTGCTTGATCGAGTGGTCGATGGTGGGCGTGTGGTTGGTTTATTTACAGATATATAGTGGTACGGGGTCTTGGTTGTTGGTCGTGTGGTTGTGGTATAACGCGTAGTAGTTTTTGATTTTGCACTAGGTTGAGATGTTGTGGAGTATAAGGCTGCATACCGACTTGTGGTTTTTGTTATTAAAGGTGGATGTGTGGTTGAAGAGAACCGAGTGCTTATAGTTGGACGAGTAGTTGTAATCGGTCGAGAGGTAGGTTTGCTCACTGTTGTATAAGCAGTGCTCGGCTTATTTGTTGTAACTGGTCTTCTAGTGGTAGTCGGGCGAGTAGTTGAACGTGAAGTTGAAGGAATAGTTGGGCGAGTCGTGGATATCGAACGAGTTGATTGAGTAGTTAAACGACTAGTTGAGGTTGGACGAGTCGTTTGTATTGGTCGAGAAGTTGTCGAAACGACTGGTTTATAGGTTGGCCGAATAGTTGAACGAGTGGTTGGATAAGTGTTCAAATAACTATTTGGACGAGATGTTGTGCGGGTAGTTGATACATGTGCTGGGGTGCGAGAAGTTGATCTAGTAGTCGGACGCGATGTGGGCTTATTGGTTATCACTGATCGAGTAGTTGTTTGATGTGCCGAGACTTTCGTTGTGGCTGTATAGCGATTACCACTTTCTGTTATTGTGGGTTTAGCGGTCGTAGAAGTTTGCCATGACCATAACGGCAAGCCAGTTGTTTTGGCCGTAGTTGAGACTGGTTTTTTTGTGGCCGCAGCCAAAGGTTTCCTTGTGGTTGTTGTTACAGATTGCTTTGTAAGGCCCGTAGTTGTTGCTGCTGCCGCAGAGGTGGCCGTAAATTTAATCACCTCGTTGCGGAAGCTGTCGCTACTGACGTAGGGCCTGTTGACCAGCTGAGGGGGCTTTGATGGACTTTTACTTGTGCTCGAGGGCTTGGGCTTGGGATTGATGGGTGCTTGAGCAGGTACAATTGGTTTGCCAAGCAGACTGAGGAATGGATTCTGGGCATAGGATAAACTGTCATGGTGCTTGACTTCTTCTGAAGTGTGCGCAATAATTACAGGTGGCTTAATTGAACCTGGGGCGCTTAGGAAGGGATTATGATCGTAGTTTGGCTTTTGGGTGGGATAAGTAGCAGTTCCCAAAGTGGGAGTAGGTTTTTTCTCTAGCTGATTATTGAAAAATGGATTGTTGGCATATTGTTTATTGGTCTGAGTCTCCTTATTTGCAATCTTATTTATAATATTGGTGGGCTGCACATGGCTTTGAGGTGTTTTAGCTGCTTGTAAATTAAGCAGGAAGGGATTATCCGCATAGCTCTGACTGGTGGCTGTCTTATGAAGTGGTTTGTCTGTAGCTGACTGGTGCGGCTTCACTTGGGGCTTCTCTCCGTAGGGACTGATCTTATCCGCCTCTGAAATCTCGTTTCCATCAAAGCAGTCACTCAGTTGGGCCAGGTTCTGATTCCTGCAATGTCCATTGTAGACAGTCCAGGCATTGAAACCATCTCCCGAGAGGCGAGTGTGCTCTTCATGGATTGTGCGTATGCACTGGACATCATCGGAGATGTCGGAGTCCAGCAAACGATCGCACTCAATGTGGCAGGCTTTGCCACTGGTCTGGTCATGGGTACACCAATAAATGTCGCTGATCTGGAACAAGCCATGATCTTCACTGCCATCTGAATTGAGTCTTCCCACAGCGGCCGTATTAAAAGAGGATTCATGCTGGGCTATGCAAACCCAGGTGGGAATCTCCCTCATGGGTAACTTATGTTTATGGTAGAGTTCCTTGGCCAGCTCACAGCGGTTGTAGATTTTTCCCTTTGGCTTTGGAGCTGCCTTCTTAGTCAATTCGTTTCCCTTGGCTGGTTTAATAGCTTCCCCAGGCAGATCTTTGCCCTCGAAACAGCTAGCAATGTCAGCCCTGGTTTTCTGCCTGCAGTGTCCATTGTAGACAGTCCAGGCCGTGAACCCATCCCCCGAGATTCTGGTGTGCTCCTCGTGGATGGTCCTCACGCACTTCACATCATCGGAGATGTCCGAGTCCAGCAGGCGATCGCAGTCGATGTGACAGCCCTTGCCGCCTCCATCGCCATGGGTGCACCAATAGAGATCGCTGATCTGGAAGAGCCCGTGATCCGCACTTCCGTCCGCGTTCAGACGACCCACGGCAGCCGTTTTAAATGAGGATTCATGCTCGGCTATGCACACCCAGGTGGCCAATTCCTGCATGGGAAACTTGTGTGAGAAATACAACTCTTGGGCTAACTCGCAGCGATTGTAAACTTTACCCGTGCGTTGATAGTGTGTTTGAGTGTGTGTCTGATAGTGTGGCTGATACTGTGTCTGCTGTTGCTTAAAACTATAGAAGGGGTTAGCAGGGGTTTGGTTCTTGAGGGGCAGTGCAATGGCATTGGGATGCTGTCTCTGCGGGGGATTAACTGGGCGTGGCTGGAGGAAGGGGTTCCCCGCATAAGCCACATTGGTCTGGTAGCTCACAACAGGCTGCGCAGGACGATAATATTGATTCACAGCCGGGGTAATCGGCTTGGGGCTCTGCTGCACTTGCACCTGACCATACTGATAGGCATAGCTGACCTTGGGCTTCACAGGACCTCCGCCAATGGCATTCGGATGTTGGTGAACTGGTGGCTTGGCGAAACAGGCAGCCACCTGCTCGTAGTGCTGATTCAGGCAGTTGCGCTTGTAAACCGTCCAGGCATTGAAGCCATCCCCCGAGATCTGAGTGTGCTCCTGGTGGATCCTCCGGATGCACTGCACATCGTCGGCAATGCTGGCGTCCAGGAACTGATTGCACGTGGCCTGGCATCCCTTGCCCGCCCTCTGCTCGTGGGTGCACCAGAAGAGATCGCTGATCTGGAACAATCCGTGGTCGGCACTGCCATCGGCATTCAGGCGACCCACAGCAGCCGTGTTGAAGGAGGACTCGTGCTGGGCAATGCACACCCACGTGGGAATCTGTGGCATGGGCAGCTTGTGCTGGTAAAACAGTTCCTGGGCCAGCTCACAGCGACTGTAGATCTTTCCCTGCGGCTGGACTTGGGCCACCTGATGGTAGTGGTTCACCGGGTAGCTGTTGACCTGCACTTGCTGGGGTTTTTGGTACGAGGCAGCCACCGAGAGGGCAGTGCTCCCCGGACCTCCACATCCTGCCACATATGCGGCTGAATCCTGGCGACAGTAAGCGTCGTAAGCCTGCCACGCAGTGAATCCATCGCCACTAATCCTCTGATGCTCAGCGTAGATTTTCCTCACGCACAGAACATCGTCGGCGATGTCGTCGTCCCTCAAACTTGAGCAACTCAGACCACAACCTTTGCCCTGTCCGGGAGGAGAACACCAGTAGACATCGCTGATCTGGAAGAGACCATGCGATCCACCGCCCAATCCTGCGCCACCGCCGAAGGCAGCCGTGTTGAAGTCGCTCGAGTGCTGGGCAATGCACACCAAGGTGGCCACTTGGGCGGCAGGAAGGCCGAAGCGATGCTGCAACGAGTGGGCCAACTCACAGCGATCGAACACCTTGGCCGTGGCCAAAAGTGGGAGCAAAAGGCAAACCAGCGGCCACCTCAACATCTCGATTTGTTCTGACACTCGAACTCTTGGCTATCACTCTTTTATAGAACACAGAAACACACTCAAAATATGGATCAATATCCTTGGGTCATTTGAAATTCAAATTTTACAGCGATCTTCGACGCGTGTATATCGGTTTTTTTTTTTCGACACTTTTTTCTTTTCTTATTTTTTTTTTTGTTCCCAGCTGGTTGTGTGCGTTTGCGCGTTTCGTTGACGACTGAAATCGTCGGTCGCATCTTCAGCCCAAAGTCAATTTGAATATGACGACGTCGACTGCCGAGCGAGACAAACTGGTTGTGGCTATTGCATAATTACTGCGGCGGTCACAGCTGAAAAAAAGGTTCTCGGCCACTCAGGAACCCAAAAGATTGGAAGCGCGAAAAGGCAAAAGAATTATCAAATCAACTATAAAAAATTGGTTAGAAAGTTCTGCAGTCGTGGGGCCATTAGCTGCCCATTTGCCTGATGGAATTAATTTGAAATACCCGTATTTATGGGGCGGGCGATCGGAGAGTCGCGAGCGCTTTTCACGCGTTTTTAATCGCCTCGTACGACTCAATCAAGAAATCGACAAGCGCGATTTGCGGCTGTCAATCAATCGGTGATGGGGACCCCACCCCATCGGGACTGTCTCAATCACATTGTAATGCAAACACCTTCGGTCAGCATTGTTTATCCACCGAGTGAAATATTTTTGTTTGCATCTCTCGATTGACCAAGACGCTTTTTGGAGTTTTGTTTTATTATTGTGACGCGGTTGCCTAAGTTTTTGCTGTTTCCATGATAGCCAATTTGATGCAATATAAACTGTGTTTTAATTGCTGCTTTTTGTGCAAATTGCTGGGCCGAAAAACTGTTGCTGATTGATTAATACCCGGGTTCCCTCATTAACTGGTCTTGAACTTGAGTCATTGCCAATAAAGAAGGGAGGCGGATGGATCAAGGCTTTGGCTATGCAAAGTGATTTTTGTGGTTGGCATTGATTTAGAAGTCCGAAAATACTTTAACACAGTGTTTAAACAATTTATTTATTAGTTTCTTTAGAAACCACTCATTTTTGCGATGTTATATTCATGAGAATTCCCTAATTTAAGCCACACGCCATGCTTAAAATTCTTCTTCTAAGAATAAATCAAATTTATGTGAACTTCATGTGGTATACGTTGAGTTGTTACTTATCAAGGGAGAAATTCCCAATTACGATCCCATCAATTCGTTAGAAATATTAAATCATCCGTATCAACCCAAATGTGTAAACAATATTTAGAACTCATAAAATTATTAGCTTTGAGTTTCATAAAACCTCCCCAAATAAAACCATAAAAAGCTCATTATATTCACTTCCCGAGAAACACCATCGCCTCTCATATGTTACAAGTTTTAAATGAAAACAACATTCTGGTTAATTCGTAGTAGCTTTTTCTTGTTTTTTTTTTAGTAAACGCTAAATCACAATACAATAGAATCACATTTAAAAAATAAATTATATACAAATTCGTAGACAAAAACTGCGTGTGTTACATCCACAATTATCATAATAATATAACAAATACACTTTTACATAACACTCAATAACAAATACAGATCTATGATTAATATCTTACTTCACGGGTGGTTCCTCGACACGCCCCTTTTGATAGATATAGTATATCAGGCATATAACCGCCACACCAATGCCACCGCACAAGGTCGCCCAGTGGACAATATTGAGCGTTTTTAGTGTGTTAATCAATTTCTTTTTGAAAAAGGCCACCATTTCACCGTTGAGTTGAATGCCCTGAGAAATAATTAGGTTAAAAAAAGTATTGTTAATATAAATTACTTTCAAACGTGGTGAATATAACTAACCTCTTCAACCCAAATAGAGGGCATCAAAACTGTGGGTAAATTTTCGGTGATGCCTATACGATTGATGCTCTTTAAGAACATATTAAACTGAACCCTTTTACCGCCTCGTAAAGGTGTGCCCGTCAGCTAATGAAATATTCACACTTTGAAGATTTTTCTAGATCCAATAAACATATTTAAATATATCTTACCGACTGCACATCCACAAAAGTCTGATGCTTTTTTGCATCTGGCTTAAGGCCTCGAATCATCTTTCGGTACTCGTTCGAGGCGCCCAACATATGAGGCAATGTTAAAATCACAGGGGCATCTATACAAAGATAACAATAAAAATATATATTACTTTAAAAACACATTATGAAGCAGACTCCTTGATTTGCATAACCAGCTCCTTGAGCTCCTCATTGCATTCCATTTTAATTATTTTGTTTACATTGTTAAAATGATTCCGAAAAACAGGATTTGCGACCTTAATCAGACTCAGCTACTCTTACAATAAATTTAATTAAATTAATTGGGAAAGAGTTAATAAGTTGCGGAAGCTTCTTAAGTCTTCTCATCACGTTTTCGTAGATCAACATTTATTTATTTACTTAACTACTTGTGATGTCTGAACCAATTTGTAAGAATTTCCTCATCCGACAAAATATTTCAAATGCTCATTACTGAAACTGTTAACTCACGTTTCGACAATTAAACAAAAAAAAAAACGTTCGTTGAAAGGAAGGCATCGCCAAAAGAATCTCAAGTTTGAAACGTGCGCGATCGGCAAACACCCAAACAAAAAAGTTTAGAAAAAAATATAATAAAAATCAAAATTAATGCTTCAATTTGTAGAGCGTTCATAGCACTTGAAAACTTCATAATGAAGAGCGGCTGATTATATCCCAAAGTGGAATGAAAGACAACACTTTTGATTTCAGATGCGCAATGCCCGCGGGGAATTTAATACAGAATGCGTAGCAAAACGTTTTTTGTTCCACGAATCTCGAGTGTTAATTAAGAAATTAAACAATCGAAGAAGATCAAAGTCAGCCCACACAGAGTCGAGATCAGATTCGGAAACTGAATCTGAATCTGCGCTTAAATCAAAGTCCTAACGAAAAGCGTTTGCAATTTGTCTGATCGAAGCTGGCGCGTGTTTATAGAGACCATTCGAGATTTTTTATATCTTTTCGGCTTATCATTTAAATTTTATTAGCTGTGTTTCTTGATGCCTTCGGTTTGCACTTCTTAAGCAGATAATTTGCATATAAAAAGCATTAAAATGCAAACTAGATCTGGCACCGAACTCCGGCACCATAATTACCATTTGATTTATAAGTGGCTGCCTTATAATTACTGAGGTAATCGACCACAACCTGATGACAGAGACGAGTGCTTTCAGAGGTGTCTTCTGGGGTAGTTCTCCTCACCAGTTAATCGCCATAAAACAAACACAAAACGTCAATAAAGGCGCTCATTTGCATAACAAAATACGAAGAGCAAAAATTGTCAAAAAATATTCGAAATATTTCCGGTTTCCCTGCGTATTTTATCAAGTTCTACCAAACTTAAAGTTCGTTGCTTGAGTCTTTGGATTATTTTTAGTCGTGACCATATGGTTGGTAGTTCCCCAATGCTCCATTTAATGATAAAGTTTATATAAAACTGATCAAACAATCGTTAACATTTGAGTTAAGTGTTCGCAAAATATAAAATCAAAAACAAACAGTTAAATAACTTAGCAATCAACAGAAATAAAATGCAAATTAAATTAAATCATCAATATTTAGTATAAAAACAAAATAGTGATGATGGCTGAATAAGTCTCTAATTAAATTATTTATACTGAACCCAATTTCTAAGAATCAAATTTAGAGGGGATTTTAAAAAAGATAGATATCTGGGAATCATTGTTTACAGTTTTATTTGTAGATACGAATAATAAAATAAATATAAATTCTACGTTGTTTTCAAAATAAATATGTTTATGATAAATTTGAACTTGAGTATTTTTCCAATTAACTGATAAATATTTTGATATTTGTATTTCTTCCAGTGGCGTATTTTTTTTATTCGCTTTTTAATGTAGAGCGGCGATATGAAATTCTTTGATATGTATAATTTATGCAAATTTTTTGATATGCTAATGCTGTTTGTACTGTGAAATAACATGAGGAACTGAAGATAAGCGGAAGATAACATAACTGAAGTCAAAACAAACATATGTTTAACATTCTTGTCTGGTTGTCTGTAAATTTGACATACTTATCTGTATCTTTTACGGAAGCCAAACATTTAAACTTGTAAACCTAATTTGATCTTTATCCACTGCTTAAAAAATTCTATAGATATGAATATTATTATGATCACTCACCTAAACAGGTGGTCAAATCCAAGGCACCTGCATAGAGGCATCCATTTTTCCGTTTAATCACATTCGCCAATTTGTCAACGCAAAAACATTCGTTGTCATGTTCCGGTCCAATGTCGTTGATAAAGTTCTCGCCGATGGAGTAACGATATCCAGGTATTCCCTGGTACTGAATATCCGTCTGGTAGAATAGTTCCACCGATCTACAGATATCCGCACTGAAGATGTACATGGAATCTCCTCGCTGTCGAAATGGTGGATAGGCGGAGGCATCGGTTCCATTGATCTGGTTGCAAACGGAGGTCTCACCCTCTGTGCTGGCATTTAGCCAAACCTGCAGATTGTGGTTATCATCCAGTTTCTGGATCTCCAAAACCCTCATTGGATCCCCTTTTCCAGTGTGCACTTCATAGACTTCATGTCCAGATCCATTTTTCTGTGGAACAGGCGATAAGATATTATTATTAATTTCTCGGAGGGGTCCTGTTTATTCAATTATACTCACATGTCCAAAGAATGAGAAGGCCAAGCTGCCATCGCTTTGCTCTCTGATGGTCTTCGACCCACTTTCCTTGATCTGGTTACAAATAGCTTTAGCAATCCCCTGCGGATTGATGCAGAAACGCACTCCATCGAACAGATATTCCCTCACTGAGGTGCTAACAAACATCGATCTTGGGTCGTTAAATACCGCCTTAAGATTGGCATTTAAATGCACCAGTAGTAAAGCCAAGCCAGGGTCATTTTCAGAGATTTGCAGAACAGACTGAAAGAAATATCCGTTTTTAGAAATATATATCGTAAATTGACGAATACGCAGCGAGCTATGACCAAAGCTAAAGGGCAAGGCAAAAAGTTTAGTGATTAAAATTATTTGAAAAGCATTAGCATTAACAGGCGGGGCGGTCAGCCATAAATTAGTAGCAAAGCACAAGCTCAAATTTGTTATTATTAATTATGTTTTGCGTTTGATGTGTGTGAAAATAGACGTTTCCAATCACTCGGTTTTCAGCTGCCGTTTCCATTGATTTCTCCTCGCAAGTCGCCGGACCGTATCGACAATTTATCAAAATATTTACATAGACGAGAGAAACCCAAGGTGAATGCCAATCAAAATTTTGCTGTTCTACGTCTGATGTGGATGATCTTGACTTTGGCAGTTTGAAGTTATCAGTTTTGAGTAGCAGATGCGCCAAATTGCAATTATTTTAATTAAACAGTTGCGAAGCTGTCAGGAGATCTGAAAAGCTGGTCAACTTACTTTGACACCATCGACAATGCTGATTATGATGCCATGTACCCAGCTAAAGGGCGCTATAAATTAATGTGTAATTAAAATCTATTCTTTGTTTTTATTTATTTATAGTTTCTGTATTAAAGGAAGCGCCCTATTTTTTATGGTAGTGCTCAGATTAATTTACAAATTGCAATTTATCAATCCAAAGCTCATATGTATCAATTAAAGTTAAAATCTGTTCCAGTAAATTAATATGAGTAGCTATTCCGATCTTGACCTAACCCAGTCCCATAACTGTTAAGTCAACACAATCGGCGCAATAAATCAGCAATAAAAAATATCATTAGCTTAATGGCTTATAAACTGTCCATCCGAAAGATTCCCCTATATCCAATGACGCACGTCTGGGGTAAAATCATAATTAATAAACAATGAACTGAGAACGGTAAATAAAAGGAATAATAATCGATGGTCCAAAAGCAGAACAAAGACAAACAGAGCCGAGCGATGTTTATCGTCCATGGGAGAACCATGAAAAGCCATTACCATTAAGTTAAATCTACCAAGGCATGCTAGTGGGAAAATGTAAGCTTAATTAAGGTATCAAAAACTGAAAAGCCGAATTTGTTGGGCTTCCATTGTCAGATAGACCATCACCAGTTGGGAGGGTAACGCATTCAATTAAATTAGTAGTGGATAAAATTACTTTACGTTTCCCTCGAATACGTTCCATCAATCGTTTCAGGACTCGTACTCCCGGAGTTTGATTCAATCGGGAGTTCAGCCTATTGGCAAAACCCTGAAAGATATCTGTGATTTCTCTTTCGAATACTTGTAAAAATGCCTGTAAATTTATTTATAAAGTTGTCATTTATGGGTTGTAAATTAATGTTCAAGTAACGATTTGTTCTTTTTTTATATTTAAACTTACGTTCATGTGCATATTTAGCGCCACAATGCGGTCATCTTGGGTGTATGGAGCCGAGGCATCGGCATCGAAATCAAAGTGAACATTTTGCACGTATGAAATTTTTGAGCCATCCCTTGAAAAGTGCTTAACTTTCTTCTGACGGAACTGCCTAAAAATGAAATAAATTAAATATTGAATTTATTTGATGTCTTATTTTAACTCACTTGTACACATAGGGTCCTATTTCCTCTACTATCGGTATGGCACCTTGTTGTATCCTATCCGGATTGGTCACGTTAAATATGTACACTTTGAAGTTCAATGGCTGCGGCAGGTTAACAAAACGCTTATATTGTTCCGAACCATCTGCTATTATAACGCTCTGCAAAGACAAAAAATAGTTAAAACTTATTATGGTTTATAAATTATTCATAAGTTTTAATAAGAACCACACTGATCAGTTTTTAAATAAGCTTAAAACTATCAAAGTCATTTTTACTACCTTTGATAAACAATCCTAAAACAGTGTCTTTTAATTTGATAAGTCATACAGGTTTTTTCCTTCTATTTATTTTCCATAAGCTAAATTATATTAATATTTATTAGACCACAATTTAGGGTTGTTTATCACGCGACTAAACTTCGTATTTATGACATTTAATGGCGCCGTCGTCATAAAAATCAAATCAAAAATATCAGCATCGATATCAAACTGAAGCTTAGCTTAACCTGTTTTCGTTTGAAATATTTCTCTCCACATTGCAACTCCTATTGTTTTTTCTTTATATTTTATAATTATCAACAGACACAGAAGATCAATGACCAAGTGAAAAATTTGCTTTGATTTTGAATTTTATCAAAACAATACAATTAATTATGGTGGAATTCTGTTTTTCGACCGAAAAAATATTCCCATACCCAAAAAAACCCTTGCTGTTAACCTTCCAATTTAATTTTTACAACCCAGTAGACAGAAAATTATTTACAATTCACACAAACAAAACCAAAAAAATTGGCAAAACATGAAAAGGCCCACCAAAAAAACATAAATAAAAGTCTAAAACAAGTTCAAAACATGGTCAGCAATATAATTTTACGGTCTGCCCCTCGCACTTGATACAATTGAAGAATTGTCAAAAAAGGTACACAAAAATCTGGCTATATATCTATATGACTAAGGCAGATTCCAAGGTCAATGCACACGCTGTTCGGTTCAGCTCAGCATATCGAAGAGCATACAAAACGTTTGATTAACCTCAAGAGCCAAAGAGAGGCTCAGACGATGGCTGACAATGGCCCAAAATTCATTCAGAAAAAAAATACAAATAATTGTTGCGAAATAGAGCGGTTTTGGCAAAGCGACAGGCAAAAGCGAAACGTGTTTACAATTTTAATTTTGCCTCAGATTCGATTGAGGACAAGAATGTGCTGGGTCAACGAGGCGTGAGCTTTACTTTTAACTCTTCAGAGAAATCATAATACTAAAACGTTGGTTAAATTATGCAATGCAAACTAACCTAAAAAATTGATTATCTCAAATTTATTATTAAATGAAATTTAAAATTCATAATCTACAGAAACCAAAATTAAACTTAGATGGCCCAAAAAGTGGTTCGATTGTTTGGCATTGCTGACGGGCAAAATTGCACAACATTTTGTGTTGGCCATCGAATAGACTTCAATTGCTTTGAATTTCAATTTCGATTCATGACTCGTTTTTTTTTTGGCCATATGTTTTCATTTCGGTGGCGCCTGCATTTGAATTCCAAATAGAAATGGTTAATGTGCAAGGGAGAGACCACCTTCAAGTTGAAGGTCCCCCGACTTCGAGGGTATTTTGGCCATTCTAGATTGGATCTCCAACGCGTACACACGGAAGTTCATTGCTAACGATGGCTCGTAAAGTGGGTTTTGCAGCCCAACAGCGTTATGGGTGGCAAACAAAGTTCCAGGGGCAGAGCCACAAAAAAGGGCAATTAACTTGGCTTGGCTACAACAATTAAAAAAACAACAAGCGGCGACCAAAAAGATAAAACTTTGTGTTAGCATTCTAATTACAATAAAAAACAAAACCTTAGCTCAAAGTCAACCCAAGTACTTCTAGTTGCCTTGGCAATGAGCGCCGAAGATGTCACGCTTGATTCAGCGATGGGAAACGAACTTGGCAAAATCTGAATAAAAAGCAATCTAAGTTCAATGAGTTATAATGTTTTTAACCTTATTATTTGGAAGAAAGCATTTAATTGCAAAATATGGGTCAACCATATCAAACAGTTTGTTTATGATTGTTTTTATGATTGTTGTACAAATCTTCAATAATATTTTAAGTGCTCCCATCAAACCTTGCTGGTCAACAAGCCCAATGTCACGCTTTTAAACTTGGTCATAAATAAAATGCGATGAAGGACTAGAACACGCATCGTAATTTAAGTGTTTGTTTTTGGCTCTAATGGCTTGGAAAACCCAATAATAATAAAGTGCATTTGACTAGCAAATTAATTCGTACACCTCGTGGCATTTCAATTGCATTTGACATTCGGATGGAGCGTGACCCAAGGGATCGGTTCTGTAATACCATTCCAACTAGATGTAATTATTTCATGTCATATTCTGATACATATAAGCGAAACAAGATTGTATTTCACTTGTTGGCTCAACAATTAAACTTGTGGAAAGCGATGGTTTGAGAACAGACAGCCGGTGGGTTATATGACCAGCGATGTAATTATTGATAGGATGGATAATTTCGGTTTGTCGTGCAATTCCCTGTGTCGCAACTTTGTAGATCGGAATCGTCTGATTTCGATTCTTTTGAATAATAAATGTCAACGGTCGTTCAGATGTTGTAGTAAATAAAGAAGAAATATTATTAAGGAAATTATTAAGGAAACCACTTTTTGATTTGCCAAATCAGTTGTATCAATAAATATGCAAGTTTATCAAACCGGTTCTATATTCCTAACGTACTTTTAGTCAACATTCTACTTGTATCATTTAAAAAATCTGATTCATTACTTTGCTCTTTGAACCTTCTTTGACTCATCGCTACTCTTACTAACTATAATTCTTTGTAACTCATTCCAAATCTCTATGCGGCTTTCGATTTGCCACTTCTCAGTCGCAAAAAGTCAACAATGGAATCATTATTTCGCCTTTATTTGTTCAGTGAGAAAAAATATCTTTGTGAACTTTGTATCTTAATATTGACTTAGAAACTTTGGCAAGTTTCTAATGAAAGGCGGGGATTGTCAGCTCAAAATGAATAAATTTGCTGTGCTTCAATGAACCACAGAGTTTTATGGTGTCTACTTTCTTCTTAAGTTTTTGATAACTTAGATTATAAATCGTTGTGCTGTTTTCCAACAGTTTTGCAATTTTTTACCCACTTCAAAATTAAAAACTCGTTTCCCTTATAAAAACTATCAGAGGATTGAGCCCAAGGCCACATCTTCAACAGTTTTCTTACAAAATATTTGAGTTTCGCATGATTCTTGTTAACCTTCTTGATTCGGGGAGCTTACCTGCTCGACCTTTTTGTGCACCATGTTGGGAAAGAGAATCCAACCGCAGTAGCCGCCCAAAGCGGCCACGCAGACGCCCAGGGCGCTAACTATTAGTGACCAGTGTATCATTTTCTCGGAGACGATCGATGGATGGAGTCTACGGAGATGAGCCGAGACCCATTTATCGGTCTACCTCTCTTTTCTCGATCAAAACGCCGGCAACAGGTATGGAATATTTTTGTTGTTTTTTTTTCGTTTTTTTTTTTTTGGATCGTGCGGAGCTTTGGCCTGACCTACGTCAAGTGAGAGCCAGAGTTGTTGGGGTGTCGATGTTGTTGTTGTGCGCCGAGACAAAGCGCACTATTTATAAGATACCCGTTTTGGGGCTTTTTTTTAGGTGTTTGTTATATATAATTTTGAAATAAACAAGTTGCCGAATACGATGCGACGCGGCCGCTTGGCTGCTGGCTCTTACTATATCTTATTATGTCCCTTATAGTAAGAGCAACAACTGTATTCGTACATATGTATGCAGGTTTTTAAGTACGAAAACGGGTTTGGCTGTAGTGTTGCAGTGAAAGCTTTTTTCCGCCATCAGCTGGTATAATTAAAATATTTTTGTTAATTATATTTGCGTTTTTGCTTAATTGGGTCGAGTCACAACTTCACACGCGCCAAAGGAGTAGCTTTTTTCACATTCGGTCTTCTCCATTGAGGCATCGCCGGCCAAATGACAATGGTGGTTAATGGTGGCACATATTTATTTCGTTCTCGGTTAACGTAAGCGAACTTGGCCGGAAAATGGTGGGCGGCTTTCGATTGCGATAAAAATCAGGTGCCCATTCAAATTAATGGCCGCACGCGAACGCGGAAAATGGGGGAAACTTCCGCCCCAAAGCGAAATGATTCAGCAGAACAACACTTTAATTTCCAGCGTACTAGTACAATTAAGTGGAAGCCCTAAGTGCGAATTTTTATCGAGATTTTCTTGGAAGTGCGTTTGTGTTTTAAGACCGGAGATCCAACCGCTCGGAACAACCGTGTACGACTGGCAGAGTTCAGGCGAAGCTGCGATGACAACGCTTTGACTTATGGCTTTCGGCATCCAGTAGTAGGTTGTAGTTTTATTTTTGGTAAAAAAAAGCCCTAAGCCAACCGATCGCAGAGAGCCAAGAGTTAAAGAGCGCATGCGCAACGCTCCTCGAAACTTTTGTGCAGGGCTTTTCATTTAGTTTTCGTGCCGTTGACGAGCAACTCATTTGCAGTTAGTTTTGCTCGACTTTTTTATCTGCTTTTGTAATATTTCTTTACATTTTTATTTCACTTAAGTTATGGATAAGCCACTCATTAGCAAATTAGTGCAAGTCTTTTTGGTTTGCCACTTTTTTGCTATATTTGTTTTGACCTAATCGGAAATTCCAAAGTTTCTGGTTTCTTTGGGGGTTGATAGGAGATGACCCTGCAAAATAACAGAATATATTGTCTTATCTGGCATCACATAGTTCTAATGATGCACTCTGTTTAATTGATGTGATCTGGGAATAGATTGGAGTTATAAAGGTTATTAATCAGCTGGCTTTGAATAAATTGTCGTGGTCTTAAAAGGTCAACATGGTGATTCTTTTATATAATTCCTTTGGGGTTAAACATATACACAAAAGCAATTTTTTGATGAAGAAGAACAAGAAAAAATATTTTTGGCTTATGTTTTTTATTAAATTAAATTTAATTTAAATGTAAATTTTAGTTTTAACCCCCCATCACCCCTTAATATTTTTAAAGCTTATTCGCACTCTTTTCTTCAACTCTTAAGTTGAAGAGCTCTTCTTTTCTCTTTGAAGTTGGCGTGGGTGCAAAACACCTCCTCTGGTGACCACTATTTTTTTGGACAAACGCATTAACAGGTTTTTGGATTGCTGTGCGTGCCGTGAAATTTATATGTAAAAACTTGTAAGACAACAACAAAGGCAAAAAAACAATAGCGATTGGACTCGACTGCGGGTGAAGCTTTTGTTGAACTTGACACGATTGTTGCCCATTCAGTTTTCGGTGTGGTTTTTGTTATTATACCCGTTACTTGTAGAGTAGCAGGGTATATTGTATTTGTTGAAAAGTATGAAACAGGTCATAATTTGTATTTTGGTAAATTTGCCGAAACTGGGTTGCAATGCTTAACCGATCTACAGTTTTAGGTTCGCTTGGTGTCCAAAATTAAATATTCGTTCAAAAACCTAAAAGCTAAAATGACAGGTTTTTGAAACAGAAGTACCAGAAATGCCTAGAAGGTGGCTGGAACAATCCTCAATATATCCGAGTTTCAAACCCTGGCGCTGATCACTAGACAAGTTTCGAACCACGGCTTGGATTGTAGAGCCACTTCCTTGCATTCATGTTCGCCTGGTGATTGATTTCTGACACCAGGCAAATATAATTTATAGTAGGTCACTAAAATTGAAATACACTTCCTAAGCGTTTCGTTTTGCCTTTCCGTCTTTCCTTTCGTCGATAAATAATTTCGAGTTAGTTTTTGGCAATTGACAAAATACAGATACGTGGATACAATAAATTTGTTTGAAATGTGTAGAAATTTGCATGTTTTAATACTCAAGTTTTAATTTGAATGTATGCCATTTTGTTATCAGATTTAGCCAAAGTAACAAGAGTAAAATCACGTGTTATTTTCCTTACATCGAGTCCCTTGCCAATTCCGTTACACTTTTTCTGACTTCGACACTCGACACTCATTTCAATTTCTTTGCAACATTTCTTTTAATTATTTTGTAGTGCGATCCAAATTTAGCCTACTTTTTCGAGAGCTTTCCCACTCCTCTGTAAAGCCTCTTGTGGATTCGTTCTCCATTTGCGTGCAGCATGTGGATATAGTAATTTAAATATTTATTGCATTTTTTTATGCAGGCAACACTTGAGGCACAAACAACCTCCGTCGGCCCAAAACTCTTTGCCTTTGTCTGACCTCAAAATTAAATTCAAATCTCGGGCAAATGGCAAGACTTGGCAGTAGGCAGTTTTACGTTCTTTTTCTCTATTTTTGCGTATTTTGCTTGTTTATTTTCCCATTGGCAAATTGATTGCACTAGTGTTTGGGTAAATGTTTTATGCAGTGGTGGAAGTAGGTCTTTTAGTTTTTAATTACAAATATAAATATATTGAATACACGAAAAGTAGAATGGTTTTATTTACTTCCAAGCCAATTTTAAACTGTTAAATTTGTAACTGCTTAGTTTGTAAGCTTAAGTTGGGGCACAGCTTAATAGACCTTTCCCATCACTAGCTATTCGTGCAAATGTTCAATGGAATGATATGAAAAACTTCACACGACAATATAAGGCAAAAAGGAACAATCAGCGAACACGAACTGGATTTATCCACACCCATCTCCTCCTCCATTTCCGTCTGTGGATTTTCCTTTGCATTGATGGCGTGCCTAGGCAATCGCAATTTATAGATAATTTGATACGAAACGTCAGACGGTCGCTCAGTCGGAAGAGTTGGATTAAAAGTGGCACAAGGACATGTTGGGTGTGTTGGGTGGTTTTCGGAATGCATTTCTAACGAATTTTCATTAGCCACCAAATTGCAAATGAATATTTGAATGCCCCGATGTGTGGGTTACTGGGGCGTATGCGTAATTCGTTCTCACGTTCCAAATACGCCCCGTGAACACTGGAATGCGCCAGAACAAAAGGGGGAAGCTTAACTGCCGCAGCAGAAAGTACGAAAAAAATGCAATTAAATGGATTAAGCAAGGGAAAAGGCTACAGTCAAATGAGGCCAACGTGAAGAAGGTTCTTCTGATTCTCTTTGCTCTTTCTCCGCTCTCTCCTCGCCTTTTGCTCGGCAGTGTTTGTTTGGCCAACAACAAACCAAAGGCAGTCACAACATTCGAGGAGCTTAGCAAAGGGGGTATACAGTGGGAAGGGGTGCAGAGCACACAAGGATTCAGCCACTCGACCGCTTATCGTCAACTGTCATCGTCTGCCAGTCTCTGAACCCCAGTGCACTGCGAGAAAAAAGTGTAAACGAACTTAAGTGCAAGTGCACTCAGTTTTACCACAAGAATTTCTTGCAAGATCTTTTGTGTAACCAGAGGGGTAAAGTAGCTATAAAATCTAAGTTATTTATAAACAAAACCTTCAATTGAATCCCCTTTCATTCGTCTGTTTTTGTAATCTGTTATTAAGAATGTGAAAATCTTATTATAAATGTTAAAATAAAAAACTGTTAAGAATAACAAAGATAATGGATATTATTTATATTCAATGTTTTCTATAAGTAATGTTTTCTGAGACAGTATTTAATTTTTTTTCTTAGTGTAGTATCTCTCCAAGGTGCACGGACATCACTCTGCATTGTTGCAAATGTGAGCGACCGATTGATGAGCATGTGACGTTCCATCCTGGCCCTTGGGTCGTCTGTCTATCTGTCTCTCCGGCTATATGTCCGCCCGACTTTCCGTCTGCTTTCCGGCCTGAAAGTGTGTCAAATAAAGTGCTAAAAGATTTATGCCCTGCACCTCCTTTTCCAGCTGGGTCGCTGCTGTCCTTCCCCTCTCCTCCCCTCTCCTTTCCACTCCTCTCCGCTCGTTCGTTCTCTCGCTGTCTATTGCTCTCAATAAGTGGCTCAAAGGACGAACGACAGCCGCTCACCGCAGGCTTAAGTGTCTCTAACTGCCAGACAGGACACCCAACTGGATATCTGCCCATATGTGTTCCTCATTTCTTGTGTGAGTCCTGTGCTGCAGTTACTGGGTTTCCCGCTTCTGGTCTTCTGTTGATGTCCTTTCGCCCAAGTCACTTTGGGGCTGGAAAATCATGTTTTCCATTTCATCTCTCGATTTCACTTGATTGTGCTCATGAATAAGCAAGGTTTCGTATGAAGTCATCTGAAGTGAGGATAATCCAGTCTAATAGACTGAACTTGATGCCTAGATGTAAGTGAAAAGTGAACAGAGTTGATACAGAACTTTGGCCTACCGATAATCATCGTGTGAATTATCCAATTTTAATGCTGTTAATATAGTGTAGAAAAAGTTGTTGGGCTAAGTAAAAAGTGTTATTTCTTCGCTAGAAATATTTAAATTCATATGACTTAATAGATGTACTACCATAACCTAGCAAAAACGTTCCTTTTACCAGAATGTTCTAGTTTATCGAAATAACGCTTATTGCCAACACTTTGTTCCCTCCCTTTGATGAGGTCTTAACGAGCGAAAATTAAATTGATTTAGCTGGCAATTTCCAAACACGCAGCCTTCGCAGCTCACAGTAGTGCCAAAAAATGAATTATTGCGCACTAAGATTTCGCCACCTTCCTATTGCGCTACACCAACCTCGCAACCCTCCCTTCGCCCCCACTGTGACACACAGATACACAGACCTACAAAAGGGCCGCAGGGCCGTAGTACTTTCCTCCCCCTCCCCGCGCTCGCCGATGTCCTTCGCTCTGCAGTCCAGGGACGCGCTTGAAAAGGCATGAAAATCGTAAAAAAAAAACGTGAAATCCAAAACGCTGCAGAGACGCTGGAGGCCGAAAGGAAATCAGGCGGCTGGCGAGGACCTCCAACTAAATACAATGAGGCGCGAACTGGGAAAAACCCCTTACCAATCTAGCCACCCACCAAGCGAACATCACGCATACGCCGCCTTCGCCTCGGGTACCTAACAGAAATATCACGCATACGCCGCGTTGCAGCAGCGAAATCAAAACATAAACCCAAATCGAGTGACTGCATCGGGTTTTCCTGAGCGCGTGACCAAAACAGAGAGAGCGGGAGAGGGAGAGAGCGCGCCGAGAAAGGCTTTCTCTCACTCACGAAGGAGTTTCCCCGTCATCATCACGATGAACATGAATGCGACGTCGTGTGCCAGTTGGAAATTGCATTTTCCTTCAGTTCTGTTTCAGTTTCGAGTCCGTGCAGTCGTGTTGGCCGGAGTGAAAAGCTCGGGGGAAAACTTGCAAAGAGGAAAAAAAAAAACAAACAAGCCGAGGAAATAGAAATAGAGAAAAGTAAATAAGCAAACAAGTGCAGTTTGGTTTGGGAGAGTGTGAACGGAAAAAGGGAGATTAATCCCTCGGACCGAGCATAGATACCTACATTTTGGTGGTCCCAAAAAGCAAACAACGGACTGTTTGGAGTGTTTGGAGTGCTGAAAAAAAACAGCGAGAAACTCTGAAGTAATCGCAACAATGTCGACGCTACCCTTTCTCTTGAGTGTCGCCGACGAGCTGGACAACATCCACTCGCAGTCCTACATGGACGACTTCGGACTGGGCTTCCATCCGCATCGGCAGTACTACCGCACACCCACTATCCAGCTCTCCCTGCCCGCCAGCACCGACTGGACGGGATCGGGTCGCGATTGGTCCCAGGCGGCGGGCAACAGGCACACTCGCTACCGCAGCTACAAGTTCTACGACGACTCGCAGAACAACCTGGAGGAGGAGGAGCCGCCGGCGGAGGAGCCGCTGCCCAGGGAGCAGGGGGATCTGCCGCAGCAGCTGGCGGTTCAAGCGGACAGCCAAACGATATCGGCGGCCCAGCCGTCGAGTGCCACTGCAACCACAACTGCCACCAACCGCAAGGGTCTGGGCATGGTCAACTCCCACTCCCACGACGTGGGCGTGGGTGGGCTGGGTCTGAATCTCAAGGCCGGCGAGGAGGAGGACGACGAGAACATCGATCGCACGGTGCGTATGTACAACCTGTCAAAGAAGTGCTGCAAGAACTACTATCGCCATGCCCTGGAAACCGGACCCGGCGCCAGTGGCAAGGTGAAGTGCAGCAACCTGCGCTCCGAGAGCCACAAGTCGAGCTCCAGCTCGGAGGAGAGCCTCCAGAAGATACCCTCGCCCATTGAGTTCCTCACCTGCTTCCTGGTGAAGAAGTCGCGCACCCCCAAGGGCAATGTGCCCGTGGGCCAGCCGCTGAAGAAGACATAGAACACGGCCCGGCTGCTGCCAGCAGCGATGTCCGCCAGGACCTCCACCATCAGCTCCACGGCCACCAGTGGAGCGGTGACCAATGCGACCACGGACACGGACACCACGACTTCGAAGCGGCGGAGCAACTGCTTCTGAATGTTGGCCGGAGTCGGAGTGGTTTGTGGCCAGGCCTGGCGTTGGCTCCAGCGATGCGGGGAGCTCCCCAGCTCGGAGCCCGCCTCGCTGCCATCCACGCGTCTGGGCAGGATCGCCTACTAGGCTAGGACTAGGCCACTCATCCGACTCCGATTCGCGGTCAGGGAATAGAATGCGGTTGCTGTTTTTCGACGAAGCGTATGGTATTTGATTTAGCATGGAAAAAACCTCTGGCTTGAATATTTATGAAATGCATCGAAAAGATTTTGCAATTCGCAATTAGGAAAAAGTAGGGCAACTTTTAGGGCTCTTCTTTTTAGGAATTTTATATTTGCAGCATAACGTAAATTTTAAATTAACATTTAGTTGTAAACCAATAACTTTTTTCATATTCACGATGTTTTTCAAAGTTATTTACCTTAAATCACCATGATTTCCCAAGTTTCCTGTTGAACAAACATTTTCTATTTTAAGTACCGCAAAGATTTTTCAACCACAATTTGCAACCAACTACAGGCCAAAAGGTAAATGAAGCTTAACGCATAAAAAAGTGTTACCAAATACGAGATTGTTTACTCGAAATATAGAATATAAATAATTAAAAACTATCCAAGCAACACCGAAAAATTTTTGCAATGAAACACACACAATTTTTAATGACAGATTTATACCAAAATAAGAAGATACCAAGAATTTGTTAAGCAAACACTTTTTATACCATTTTTTGATACCAAGCAAAAGATATAACTTATATACGAATATTATATAAAAACTGGGAAAGTTTGATTATGTCAAGGAAAGGAAATTCGAGTTGAACCAAAGCCTTTCGGCAATAGTTATGAGTCCATTTAATGTTGATTAGTTTTTAACGTACTTGAAATTCTTTCAGGGAAAATTTTGTAGACCTATTGCCATTTGAATTCTTATTTTTATAAAGCCAATTTTAATATTTTTAGACCGTCGATTTGGTATTGGTTGAGCTTGAAACTCCTACAAATTTTATAAAAGCTGTTAGCTGTTTTAAGCCAAATAAATTGCGGGCTAATTTAATAGGTCTTCTTACACACACACAACCAAAAACCAACTACACCAAAAGCAATGATTTATTTTCACACAAACACGGAAAAGTTTTGTTTTCTCCTTTTTTCCCAGCTTACTGAAAAATGTTGGCAAAAAGAAGAACATTTTCGGTGAAGCTAGGGGAACTTTTCCACAATGTCGGCAAGTGTTTGGAAAAGAGAGGGGGCTGCGGTGGGTGGGCCCTATGAAAAGTGAAACATGTTTTCAATTTCCTTTTTTCGGGGGACTGTAAACAAGTCAATAGCAAACTACGGCTAAGGACAAACACACAGAAGACCTTGGTCCCAATTTCAAATTAGTAAAAAAAAAAATAAAAGGAAACGTAAAACGTAAAAGAGATTTTGTAGCAGAATTGCAAACGGAAAAGTTTGGCGGGGCTTTCAGCCAGCTGAAACGCTGGAACACAAATATAACAGAATAAATATATATATTTATAGTTTTGTAGACAGATATTCTCTTGCGTGTTCTAAATGTATTCTAAATGTTGAAAAGAAAATATTTCAAAGGTATTTACATCTAATCAAGAAGAACATTTTATATATAAATATATGTATACTATATGTAGCCACACTGTTTGCACTTTTCAGAGTTTAGAAAGAAAACATAAAGCAAAAATACAGAAATATATCTATATATATCGCAAATCTCATAGCTTTACGGCAACATAAAATATAAATTCAAAGGTCAGCATCATATCTCTCGGATAAATGTATTATCGAAGAGCTCGAAACCGAATTCACATATACGCCACAGAAAAAGTTAATAAAAATTACATAGCTGTAGTTTGGACTAACGATTTTTGCCAGTAGCTCTTTTATCTAGATGGAAAAGCATTTTAACATAGGCCAACTTGGGGCTTCAGCCATCTAATCGACATAACCAAAGAAAGTTAGACGTTCCTCAGAACACGATCATTTGCATTGCAAAAGAAAACCTCTCGTAACTACATACTTTATCAACGAACAAGTCACTCAACACATATCATTCCAATACAATAGATTTCAGCTAAATCGTATTCAACTTGAAATTCAATAAATAAATACGGGAAAATATCTATGAAATGAAAGATGAGTTTTATATTTTCTGGATTGTTAATTACTTTTCTAAAACAAAATATTTGTTTTCCCTTGGAGGTTTTCGACATTGATAATTATAACAAAACGCCGTTTTATTGCCGACACAACTCCTCTCACATTTTGGCCCTGACAGTCGGGTATTCAAGGCCATAATGCGTCCTTCGCACAACTCTTGTCACTTGCATTAATTTTCTGTCTTGCCGCTTTTTGCGCCAACTGACACTCAAAACTGTCCGGAGGCATTTACAAATTTTCAAGTGCAAGTATGTGAGTTTTTTTTATTGTAGTGCTGACCTTTGGTGACTCATAAGGACGAGAATGAGCTGCTATAAGGTGTCCCCAGGCCATGTGCATCTCGTCCGAGGATGTGCCGTCATAAAGCTTGTCTTGGAATATAAAATACACTGCAGTGGGCGAGGTGGATGGGCAGTGAGTGAAAGGAAGTGTGTGCCAACCCAGCATGTCCACTTTCCATTTCGGTGTTTGGCGTTGTGAAGCCATTGGGTTCAATAGCACAAAACAAAAATAGAATAATAGGCCGGGCCAAGTGTTGTTTGTTGTCCTCCTGGCCTCACCTCCTCGATCCCCAATCCTGTAGAGTTTGGCCTGCACTGCTATAAATAAATCCCTCATTCGTATGCAAACAAGTGCAGCGACAGGACGAAAACGGCGAGCCTTCGCCTTCGATGGGCGTGACTGGCGGCATAATGGGCGGGCTAGGAAATGTAGTTGCAGCTCTGGATTTTGTTGAAGGTTGCCTCTGGGTATGATAGCTATCTGGATGGAAACGAGTCATTCGGGCAAATACCACCTCATTTAATATTCCGTGTGCATAAAACTACCGAATAATTGACTACACCACATTTTGTTCACTACTTAACAGTGTACGAAGGAAAGATTATTTGGTTTATTAGTAAAACAGAAGGGTAGAGTAAATCATTATTGTTATACTTTATTTATTTAAAGGGAAACTTGTTTCTCTGATACTTGTTTCCTCTGGTAAATTACCGTTTCAGCTTTTTCCGGATTGATTCACACTTCGTTGGTTTAATCCGATAAATGTTTACTTCCAATTGAAATAAAAACCATTTTTCTGACAGAATTTTATTTAAAATTTACATGAATTAAAATTTTGTCAGATTGCAATGCCAGTTATCTGTAACGACAGATGATGTCAGTTTTCAAATGTTTAGTATTATATACTATAATATAATAACAATATTTTCAAATAGTCACTAATTCAATTAGAGTATATCCGGTTCGTTTTGGGTCACTGTCTTTTTCTTTCGTCGGACTTTCTCTGGGAAAAGTTTCCCAGTTTGTTGGTTCTGTTGTGGCAACTATTATTGCGGCTGCCTTTTGGGGGCTCATTCTTTGGGCCTGGAACCTGCAACCTCCGACCTGCAGTGTTCACTTCGCATGGCCAATTACAGTTTTAAGTCCTGCCGGGCCCTCGCTGTCCTGTCTTTTTCTTCGACTTGAACTTTTCCTTTCGTTTCGTCCGCGCTTTGTATTTCTCCCCCATTATTTCCCTTTCCCCTCGAGAGGCGTCGCATTGCAGTGGCCTGTTGGCCAGGTCGACTGCACCTGCACCAGCTTGTTGCCCTTTTGTGGCTGAATGTTTAGTGTCTCGGGGGCCATTTATTGTTACACTCGACTTCACCGCCCGGCGACTTCATTTGCCACGTGAGTTGTGCACCTTATTGATTTCTTAGACTTAATTTGCTTGCCATTTAGCAGAGCATTGTTTAATAGTACGCATACGCCGCTTTTCCCGTGATTGCTTTTTATCTATTTTTATAGCACACTTTTAGCCAGATTGGTGGAAATTAATTTAATGGTTTGACAAATACGTTGTTGGTAAATTGATTTTACGAGCCAATGGAAACCAAATATTTTCTTTGATTCATATACCTTTTAAGATGAATTACTTCAAATAGTTGATATCATAATGTTATGGTTATTTCAAACTTGTTTGAAATGTTGTTCAATTTTCTTAACATACCTATAGGCTGCTTACAAAAGTGAATTAGTCTTTCTGGATCAAATTTTATATTTTGTGGATTATTATTATAATTACCATATTAAGACATTCAGAATATGCGATGTGTTTAAATGTAAATGTTAAGTAAAAAAAAAAAACGATGAATTGTTGCAAACTACTTTTAAATTTAGTGAGGCACATCCCTCTATTATTGAAATGAGGTGGAGGTTCAAGTGGGTGTGGATAGACCGCTATGCTAATGATGTTAACGATTATAGAAAGTCGTCTATTAGATAATACCCCTCACACAAGCGGTCCTAAAGAAAGTTGTGCACAGCCCACATGCCAGGGAAATTAATTCTGATTCTCAATGGACTTTTCCATAAAATTAAACAAATTAGTTGCTTGCATTGTTTTGCTTTAATTGCAAATGTATTGTTGCTGCGACAGCTGCGGCACTTCGATTGATTTCCAAATGAAACAGTTTTCCAAGTCTTACACTTAACAACACAAATTAGAATTTGCATTTTTTAGTTAAAACGTATAAGGTTTGGTAAATATTTAGGCCTAGCTCGCCTAATTTTTTAAATGAATCGAATTTCGGTTTTTTCGCTTGTCTTGGTGTGCATTATTTATAACAAAATAAATTACAATTAAATTAAATATTGTTTGTTAAAAATTTAATTTAATTATAGCTGGACAGATAAAAAAAAACACACTATCTACACTTTTTCTCCCGGAGAAGCCAAACATAAAAGAGATATTTTTCCTGGTTCTATTTGCCTGACATCTCGGATTGCGATTAAGCTTAGTCAATCTGAAAAGCAGTGTATTTTCAGATTGACTAAGCTTCATCGCAATCCGATTGAACTCGGCCGATTGCAAATGACTTTATGTACAAATACAAGCTTAAATGGCATCTAAATTACTGCCAAGCTTGTTATAATTTTATAAAATACACGCAAAATCTATTCCAGCGACAGCAATAACAACATCACCGGCCAGAACAACAAATTACAATTACAATTACTAAGGCGGTGGGTTTGGCCCACTGAAATCGATGATTGTGTTTTGTTATGGGCATGAGTTTTATAAAGTGGGGATGGTAGGTTAGGCCCATAAATGTTCACTGATGTCGCGCCATTTCATCGCTTATATGCGTTTATGTTTTTGGTGCTTTTATCGACAAATCTGCTGTGCAAATTCGTTCAAAATTTTACAAATTGCCCTTTTGTCATGACAAACTCAATCCCCCTTTTATGTTTCTGTATCTATAGATTGTGTTCCTGTAATCCACGTATCGCTGCTGATTTGTATCTTGTAGCGGATTAAATTGAAAAAGCACAACGTTCAAAGCCAAATTTGGTCAAAAAGTGAAAAGAATTTTTTGTTTGAATTTCCGCTAAAGAAATGTCTCTGTTTTTTTGGCTTTGTTTGGTGCCTGAAGCTTTAAATTTTTTTTTTCAATTTAAAAGCGGAAACGTGCCGTAATTAAGCAAAAACTTTTGATGAAAGATCGAAAAATCAACAAATATAGAAGGTCAGTTTACAATTTTGGGAAACCGGGAGGAAAGTGAAAACAAATGCTTGACTTGTTTATAAGTTTGTTTGGTTTTCTTTTTCAAGATTTATATAAGTTAATTTGTTTTGTTCGAATGAGTAACGTCTTCAGGTATATAAGCAAAATACTTATCACTTTTAAATAAAATCACAAACACTTACATGCTTGTTTTGGTTGGATATAAGCTATTACCCTCGGATGGCTACTGGCAGTAGAACCCCTCTACGGAAGCAAAACTGCAATGGAAGCCACCCAACATAAGATTTCACGGCGCCTCAAGGAAATGACATTCAGATCGAAGCACTTCCATTGACGGCAAAGACACATTTTCGACCCACAGCAGCGCTCAGCCCCCTGTTAGAAAAAACAGCGAAAACAAAGCCAATGCGCCGAGATAAACAATCGAAAACATCGCCCAGCTTACACTGCAACTGCAACTAATGTTGCTGCACTGAAAAAGAAGAGTGTAAAAAAACTAAATTCAGATAATATTTTAAGAACTCACCTTCACTTTTTACTTATAATAATAACCTTTTCTGAAAGTAAATGGTAACTGGAATAAAAAATAATAGTTTTCACATATAGGATTCTTGCCCTAAGGTATTCTTGCCCGATTTTATTTACCGTGTCGTTACAACGTCACAATTGTCATTGGCTCTAGACTAGAATCTAGCCGAGCTGAGCTGAGCTGAACCCCTGGGCGAAGCTTGTGGCTATAAAAGCGACGGCTACTGTCGCTGGAATGTTTAATTTGCTCAGAGCAGAAAGCGGTAGTGGACGTCTCCCAGAAAACGCGATAAGTGAATATAAAACTCGAACTTGCGTTGCTGTTCGTCCTGTTAAGGGAATAAAACAAAAACCTTTTTAAAAATGGCTCTGGTTCCGGCTACCAACAACACAGATTGGGACTACTGGGATTACCGCCGGAGGCTGTGGCGCGATTGGGACTTGAACGACTGGGACTTGCCCTACTGGAAGCGGTCACTGTCTCGCGTTGGATCCGCGCCCGATCTCAGTCGGGTTATTGTCGGAAAGGACGGCTTCGAGGCCAATGTGGATGTTCACCTGTTCAAGCCGTACGAGATTAGTGTTAAGACCTCGGGGGATACGGTCATTGTGGAGGCCAAACACGAGAAGCGACGGGACGGTGATACCTTCGTCGGTCGCCACATCGTCAAGCGGTTCGTCCTGCCCCGAGGATATTATCCCAATGACGTGCGATCGGAACTGTCATCCGATGGCATACTCACCGTCAAGTGCCCGCCGTATTTGACCAACGAGCGGAGTGTGTACGTCCGCCAAGTGGGTCCTGCGTATCTAAGCATCAAGAACTAACCAAGTCTACAGCATCGCCATTCCGTGTTTTGTTCTTAGTTCTTTTCTGTTGGAGCAAAAGTTGACCGACAAAATTATGCACATAATTCTAAGACTAGAATTGGACTCTTTATGTAATTAACAAGCCAAAAGTTGTTTAGTTAAATAAAATAAAAGTTTAATTTATTAATAATGAATGCCGACTGTCTTATTTGGAAGTGGATGTGCGAGCGGATGTGAACCAAGTCACGAAAATGTCAACATAAATTGAATTTAATTAAATTAAATACTTGAGTATTCATGCGATCTGAACAATCGATTGTTTGTTGATATTTTTATCAAGAACTCGCTCTTGTTGATGAATCTTTAAGAAGAATATACACATATGATCGAAGCAAATAGTATTTCCTCTTGTTCTAAGAAATTCGTTATTTCGGTTGGTTCGAGAATTCAATTCAACTCAATTTATTTTCAATGGAACGATGCCAGTTTAATCGAGTGCAGATCTCTCTACTGTGGACACCACGCCCTCTAGCTATTTCCGCAGTTCGCCAACTAAGGTCATTTTTTAATGTAAATGAAAACCCACATTGAAATGTTGAACTGAAAACTGACCATAGACAGAAAAGCGCTTTGAGGCAGTTCGCACGCGTGGGTTTTCTACAGTTTTCTATAGTTTTTTACTTCTATTCTCGCCAGTAATTAGAACACGTAAAGCAGAGCGACTTTAATTTTCAATACGTAATAAAATAATTGAAAAATATATGGAATTAAGGCAGCTTCTCAGCTTATCGTATAGATATACGCTCTAAAAATGTGCTCAAAAAAAATTCAGATCAAAATTTTTAAAATTACAAGAGTTAAAGGCCTTTACATGGAGCACATGTCAAGCAACGGTCTTTAAAAGCCAAAACTTTAAATGCGTTTATCTCGGAACCACATTTTCGGACCTTGCGGAAGTAATTGAAGGCGTTGGTGTTAACCAATCGCCATCAAATTTTTTTAACTAATGAACTAGGATTATGCAAAAATATTGAAAATTGTTTATTTGAGAAAATAATTACTAATAACTTTTGCAATTTTCATTTTGTTTGTTCTGATCCCAGCTCATTTTATGCACAGTACTGTACACTTTAAGAATCTTTTTGGTTTTTTTTGTTTCCGATTACCCGTTTTGGCTGAATCACTTCCGTAAGCGGGACACCTTTTCGCCGACATGCCGCCACTGAGTAACGCCCCCTCCCGCCCCTTTTTTGGTTTTTTCAATTTCGAAATTTTTTTTCGCAAAATAAATATGTTTACAAATAAAGTTAAAAATTTCAGTTTTTTATCTAAAACCGTATTCTAAAAAAAAATTTTTTTAAGTGCCATTTTACGGCCCCACACGGTTCTCACCTGCCTTAATAATTCAGTACCAGTGCACACTGAAGTCATGTTCACTACACAAATTCAAACAACAATTCTGAAATTATTTCTTAGAAGTCTGTTTGTTTACTTAAACATTCAATTTTTTAGGTATTTATAGCAGTACAGTTTGGAAAAGACTAAGAGTAGGTACATAAAGAAAGTGAAGATTGTGCAGCATTCAGCATTTGCGTTGCGAATACTGCTGAGAGTGAGAGTAAAAGTAATTTTAATTTTTTTTTAATTGCTTCTTAATTTTCTGATAAAATTATATTAATTGTCAAGCACACCGACATTTTAAAATACAAGTATTGTGATGAAGTGATTCACTATTCTAAACAAACGCCTAAAATGCATAAATTTCTTTAGATTCAATTTGGAAAGCAACCACAGTTGACTGTAAAATATTATGAAAATACTGTCAGAATAAAATGAATGTACCAAATATAGAAGTGCATAACGACAGGAATAAAATCAAATATTATTAATGAAATGTGAATTTGACTTCAGCATAGGTGCAATTTGTAAGGTATCTTTTTTAAGACCTATTACGACACAACAGTTTTTTTTGGGTGTAGTTAATACTTTCACGTACACTCCCACGATTAGCGGCTTTGAATTAAGTAACAACTGAATTCGTGCTTAATTGTCTGTCAATCCGCGATCCAATTATGTGCAACCTTACAAACTAATTTGTCAATCAACTAGTGCAGGGGCGGACGCAGGGGGTGTTTGGGGGTCCGGACCCCCCCAAAATCACAGACTTTTTCAAATTCCCTTACAGCACACGGCCTTTCAACCATATAAACTAAAAATTTTTTTGACCGGACCCCCCCAAACGAAAAAATTTTTCGACCGGACCCCCTCCAAAATTTTTTCTGCGTCCGCCCCTGAACTAGTGAAAATGAAAATAGTGGAAAATGGAACACAGGTCTCACAGATATCACTCCATATTAACCGGCCACACTAACAAGTCAAAATTATTCTATCATATCATCAACATAAAACATAAGATATTTCAACAAAATTAAAGTTTAAATTAATTTTAAAAAAAATGTTATATTCATGCATTTCTTTGTCAAAATAGCAAAATGTCTGCATTATTCGCCTTAAGCGAAATTCCAGTTACTTATAATGAATCCAACCTTGCTGAACATACGCTCTGACTATTATGAGATTGCGGGAATAAAGAAATTTTGGAACGAAATTTTATAAATTAGAATCATTAATTTTTTTCATTTCTCTTATCCAAAGTCTTGCAACCAATCCTCATATTTTGTCAGTAATGTAAGAAATGCCCAGTACCATCGATAGTGTCAACAAACTATCGATGGTGGCTCAGAAAGGCAACAATTCGATACCTCGCTAGTGGCGTCGATTGTTTCCCAGCACTACCCTGTTCATAAAAATAGCAGTGCAATAGCAACGAAGTAAAAAAATTTTAATTTTAGTGGATAGAGCCGCCACTGTTCACAGGAAGAAAGGAACTTGATAGTTCAGCTTAGAAGCAGGGAAAACCTGTAAAGAAATCCAAGATATGGTAAATTTTTCTGAAAAAATAGTATCCAATGCAATTGAATATGAATGGAAGACCGAAACACGTGGGCCCAAACGAAAAACCATCGATATTGAGGACCGAAGAATAGTGCGCTTCAGCAAAACGAATTAAGTTGTTTTTAAGATTTGTTAAATTTTTTAATTTATTTTGGTAACACTGCTATTATTATGAACACCACATTTTGTCGTTATTATTTTGTTATTATCTATTTTTCGATCTTAAACATTTACGTCATAAGCACTGCTATTTTTATGAACACAGCTGTCACAGCTTACGTCATTGAATAAATTATAAAAAAAAAACAAGAAAGGAAGCTAGCTTCGGCAAGCCGAAGCTTATATACCCTTGCAGTCATCAAATATGTCGAACAAAACGCATAAAGGCTAGACAACATCGAAGCTAAGACGATTTTTCTATTCATTTCCCATTTTTTTGACTATAGAGATATGGGAGCTATACGATATAGTTGTCCGATTTTGATCAAATTTAACTCGTAATTCAAGAGTCGTAAGAACACTCTATATTCCAAAAATCATACTTTTCTGATGAAAAACAACGATGTTATCAATTTATTTCCATTAATTCTATATATAATTTTCGATCTCTCCTATGGCAGCTATATGATAGAGTTATCCGATTTTGATCAAATTTAATCCGAAATTCAATAACAGTTAGAAAACGCCATCTTGAAGAATTTAAGTCGATCTGATGAAAAACAACAGAGTGAGAATTTTTTATTTCATTCTCTTGTATTGGAGCTATCCGATATAGTCGGCCGATCCGGCTCGTTCCGACTTATATACTGCGTGCAACAACTACACAACTTTTGGGAAAGTTTCAGCTCGATAGCTTTAAAACTGAGAGACTAGTTTGCGCGGAAACGGACAGACGGACAGACGGACAGACGGACAGACGGACAGACGGACAGACGGACAGACGTACATACATATTTCGATTCTGCTCGTGATGCTGATCAAGAATATATATACTTTATGGGGTCTGAGGTGTCTCCTTCACTGCGTTGCAAACTTCTGACTGAAATTATAATACCCTTTTGCTCTGCAAGGGTATAACAACAAAGAAAGCTAGCTTCGGCAAGCCGAAGCTTATATACCCTTGCAGTCATTAAATATGTCGATCAAAATGCAAAAGGACTAAACTGACTGACGATTTTTCTATTAATTTTCCATATTTTCGAATATTGTTCGTATGGCAGCTATATGATATAGTTGTCCGATTTTGATGAAATTTAATATGTAATTCAAGAGTAGTTAGAAAAATCTATATCTATATTGTCTGATGAGAAACAACGATGTTATAATTTTATTTCCGTTATTTCTATATAGATTTTTCGATCTTTCTTATGGCCGCTATATGATAACGTTGTCGGGTTTTAATGAAATTTTTTTATTGAGAGGGTCCGAGGTGTCTCCTTCACTGCGTAGCAAACTTCTGGCCAAAATTATAATACCCTTTGCTTTGCAGGGGTATAACAATAAAAACGTTCATCCAATTAAGTAAAGTGAAAAAAAGTTCCCAAAAGTTGAAGGTTTTTATTGTCTTTTTATAAGGCAAGCGAATGTTTTCTCTGTTTAAGCGACTCAGCTTTGAAATCCAAAGAGTAGTTTGGCGAGAAACATCAGTCGGACAGGCTGATTTGACTCGGATAAAATAATAAAAGTGCATAGTACATCTTAAAGGGGGAACACAGCTTATGAGGTCGAAAGTTAGCTGTTTTTCATGTTTTTTTTTTTTTTAACCAGGAAGGAATAATCTCAAATTGTTTAAACTTGGAGGATATTTTATTTATGTTTTCAAGTACACTTTAAATTTTTTCAAACGATTTCCGCCGGAAATAGTGGAGTTACCGCGTGCAGTCCATGGGCGATTGCGATCCTAGCATTAGGCTTGAGTGCCTGGGCGAAACCGAGGTGCGCGAAAAGCCTATTACGGTAAAAAAAAAATTCCGAGGTGCGAGAAAACGCTTTTTGCACATTAAAAGTTAATGTCACCATTAAATTTTGATTAACAATAAATAATTTTTTTGACCAAGTAACACATTTGAGGACATTGATTTGTAATGTGTAAAAAGCAGAGCTCGCAAATAATAGTCGACCGTTTCTCGTTGTCTGCTAATAACAGTCTTCTCCTGACCCTTTACGAAAAGACTCAGAGAACGACCGATTTATGGGTTCGTGAATGGGTTCGGTTGCGCTCAGACCGAAACCCTTTTTTTCTATTCGGTTTTGTTCTGGTTGCTCCAGGACCGTTTTGTCGTTTTCAGTAAAGCAAAAGGTCTTTTGCATATGTATTGGCATACAGTGCACGTATAGGCAAGCAAATCGTTAAACATCGGTTTTGCGGACGAAATATATTAATCGTTTTCGTGAATTGAACGTGTGTGTATAAATGCAAAGACCGTTTGCGTTGAGTTTTTCGGTCAATCGGTCTTTTGGTGACTCACTGTGCGAGCATTTCTCGATCTGCTCCTTACGCACTGCTGCTCATTCAAAGACCGAAATACAAAGAGTCCAACGAAAAGCGCTCAACAGAAAACACAAATGATGACAGCAAGGGTCTCTTGCTCAGAGCGAGATCGAGACAGTATGAACTTTTTCGGTTGTGCTCGCACCGAGAGCACTAGATGAAAAACGGTCAACTGTTATTTGCGAGCTCTGATAAATATATTATGTTGATGAAAACCAAATTTGTTCCATATTAGTGTTTATACTATGATTTTTCGATCTTAAACATTTACGTCAGAAGTTACTGCTATTTTTATGAACACAGCTGTCACAGCTTACAACATTGAAAAAATTAAAAAAAAAAAAACAATAAAAACGTTTATCCAATTAAGTAGAAGAAAGAAAGAAGAAGAAAGAAACTTTCCAAGTGACGACTCATTTCGGGATTATTTTTTTCTACGTTTCGTTGATATGTGGAGGAAAAGTGTTAGGAAAAGTTTTCTTAACCTGGCCAAAAAGGTGTCATAACTCAAATTTGCAACATATCATCCGCAAGTTGAGCATAAAAATACGTTATATAGTTGTTATATTACAAAATACTAAGATATATTTTCATTGACAGGTATAGTTTGGCTATGTCATACCATAATAGATTAATAACGCATGTCGTCAGGGTTGGACCACTTTTGTAGTCAGGATTGGGCCGTCAAAATTTTTTCTTTTTATTCTGATATTTTCGATTTTTGTTGTAATATTTCAATCTTTTGTAGCAAAAATATGCAAAAGAGTCTATTTTGAATGAGACAAATTTTTTACTTTTATAAATGTGGAAATTTATTCAGTGATTAGCGCACTGTTACCAAATTGGCAGCTTAATCTAATCTTTATATACAATATAATACAAAACTATGTCTAAAATGTAATTAGGGCAGGAGAATGAGACAAAGAAATTATTCCTAACTTTTATTCGACAAAAACAACGAGCGAAAAAAACAACTTTTGCACCAAAAACATGCACCAAAATACCAGCGAAACGAGGTAGTCCCCCAAAGGAAGTGCAGAATAAACTCTCTTCTGATGAAGATGAAGACATCGATTTCTGCATTATTTGTTTGGAAACTATGCCACAAATCGCAACAACTCTGTTGCGTGCATTGAATGCAAGAGGGAAGTTCACCTGAAGTGCGGAGAAATGCGAAAAAGTTATTTTATATGTCAAAACTGCAACTCTGAATCATTTTCTTGAACCGATATTTACTGTAAAATCCCGAATAATAAAATAAATGAGCAAAATAATGTTAGATTTACCTGAAATCAATTTTATTCCACCATGTTACGATATTGTCACGATTTTCTGAAGATGGCCCAAACCTGACAACATGGCCCAACCCTGACAACATTTTTTTTTTTTCAAACGCCTATAACTTTTTTTTGTTTTTGTTTTTTAATTCTCTATTTTTGGTGAACACTTTCTCTTTTCCAAATATGTAAAAACTTATTCTAAATTGTCATTCGTTCAGTACTTATGGGCAATGGTCAAAATATGGCCCAACCCTGACAACATTCCCCTACATCTTAAGGGGGGAACCCAGTTTATGAGGACGTTGATTTTTTATGTGTAAAAAAGCGTCCCGACGCACCTCGGATGTTTTTTACCATAATCTTTTCGCGCATCTCGGACATTAACTTTTTATGTGCAAAAAGTGTTTTCGCGCAGCTCGGACATTAATTTTTTTTTGTGCAAAAAGCGTTTTCGCGCAGCTCGGACAATTTTTTTGCAATCAATTGCGCACCTCTGCGCAATCTGTAATCATTAGGATTTTTTTTCATTAAAAACATATCCCTGCAGTTCCAAAATTGCTTTGTCGTCGATGAAGTGTGCGAAGTCGCACCGACGACAGCGGGGGTAGCAACCGTTGCCGCAGCGTCGCGAGTTCATAGTGACATTTTATATGGCACCGCCGTTTTCGGGATACATGTCGCTCTCGATGAACTTTTTGTCCGTTTCATCGAACGAGTCGTCGGTGGCTTATACGAATTTTGTATGGAGAAAATTCGTATAAGCCATCGTTGCTTTCGTAGCTGACGTGGAGGCGAAGTTTTCATCGATGGCTTTGGCGAGGATGTCCTTAGCGAAATCATCTATGTCAAGCCTAAAAATGTCATCCCCAAATTCATATGAAAAACAATATATGTATATATATTTATTTCTTTTTTATTTTATTAATATATCTTATTTTGTAATATAAGAAATAAGTACATAAATAATATGAAATTCAAAAGTTTTTGTTTACCACTTCTGTGGAGTATTTGCAGGACATCGGCTGTTTTGCGTCCATCTATGGTACAAATATTTTTATTATTACATGTTATATATTACTTTTGTTAATTTAAAGCAAACTTACCTTTCAAACGAATTTATGGGACATATGTATGGCTGAATTCTAAAAAGATTTAAATAAGTTTGTAGTAAAAAACATAATGTTACACTTACATGATTTTTAAACATTTCCGCTGCCCGTTGCACAAGTGAATTAATTTCACAACCAATCGTCGACGCACTACCTAAAAGAATGACGCAGGTCAATTTCATTTTTCTCCAAACGAAAGAATAGAAGAAGATAGAGGAATATCCCTTTTCCTTTCCTACACACATGGTTGCTTAATTGGCAAAAGTCCAAAGTGGACATCCAGAACTGCACGGTTCCTATCTTGTTTTCTCTTATTTTCAGAAAAAATCTACCGAGCGGTAGGCGGGGCAGTTTTCCTTTTTTCCCGCTCTCTAAAATTTGTATGAAAAAATCTTTCTTCATTCACTTTTAGATTTCGACACAACGCAACGCTTTTCTAAAAAATAATACTAGATGTAAAAACATCTATGAAATCGTGTAAGAATCAATTTTTTAGAGCATCAGAATGTGGAAAAAGCCAATAATTGTATGCGCGCTGGCATGTGTTTTACTTCATTCAGGTAAGTCGCCACGCGAATCTTTCTCATCAGTTAGGTAATTTCATAGAATTGTTTTAGACAACACAAAAATAATGCCTCTGACGAAATCTGTCTATCTGTGTACATCTTTTTTCACTGCTTGATAGCATATGCTCTTCAATTCTATTAATAAGTCTGCACGCTGATGGAATAGGAAAGCAGAAAATGAGCAAGGAAATGGTATGGAAAAAAGTAAATAAGAAATCATTTTAAAACCTTTTAAATTCAAAAGAATGGAACTGATGCAAAATTATACAACATACTAAAGTTTATTTAAAAAAATTGTTTTAAATTTTACTGTTAATTTTATCCATTTTTGACCTACTATTATAGGCTACTAATGTTTTATTATGTTTTGTTTTTATTTTATTTATTACAACACTCTAATTAGCTTCTATCACAATCTTCGCGTCTGCACTGTTCGCTTGCTTGATCAGAATGAACTCCTTCCTCATTATCGCTCTCTGCGTTCCATTCTCTGCCTATCCACTCATCATTAGAGCTCGAATAGCTCGGATCATGGCACAATTATACAAGGTAGTCCACTCGGCAAAATCATGGTCCCCTAATACGTAAAACAACTATAAAACAACCACACGACAAGCAGGCACGCACTGAAATTAAGAGACCAAAACCCGAACGACTTCGGTAGCCGAATGGGCCACCTTGTATAGTTGTATCATGGCTCGGATATGCATTTGCATGTGTTGCATGAATATTGTGCATATTTCTTTCCTTAGAGCATATTTTGATCGAAAGTGCATGTTTGAGCATATCTTAATATTTCATTCATCAAAACTGATAATAATTTAGCTGTGACATATGAAAATCATTCTGATACGAATAATAACAAAAAACTGAATACATAATTGTTGTAAGCAGTATCAAATAATAAAGTTTTTGTGCACTACGGTAACTAGGGCCTGTTTCGGCAACACTTATGTGTAAAAAACTTAATTCACTTGGAAATGATAAATGGGAACTACAAAAATTGAGTTAAAATGCTATGGTAGCGTGTGTTTGTCAGTGTGATGAGGTAGTAACACGTTTGTGTGGGAAATAGAAAAGGCCTTTTTTGATGGTTTTCCCGGCAATTATTCGATATTCTCTCACCTTTTAATCCTTTCCTGGACCACGACGAACATTTCCATAGCAAAAACAGATAAATCGGCCCAGCCGTTTTCGAGGAGAAGCCAGACTTACGAACGGCGTTTCGTGTTTAAAGTTGTAGCTTCCTCTAAAGAGCTCGCTGATTTGGAAAACTGGGCCGACCACTCCTGTTCTAAAGTCCCCCCTCCGAAAATTAATAATGGGTATGTTATTGTGGAAAAGCGTTGGACTGGCAACAGAAGATATCTTGTGGCCATTTACTCCTGCGAAGAAAATTACGAATTGAAACTTCACGGAAACTATATCAATTTCTGTTATAAAAAGAAGTGGACTGGGGACCAACCCGAATGTATTCTTAAGTCTTCTGAAGATGTTAATAATAAAAATGACAATGAAGTTAATTATATTCAAAATAACAATGAAGATGATTTTGATCGAAATGACAGTGATGATGATTATGATCAAAGTGACGATGAAGATTATTATGATCAAAAGGACTATGAAGATGATTCTTATCAAAAGGGCCCAACAGACGAGGTCAGATATTCCAAAGTATTTACTATCTTAATGGCTCCGTTTAAGACACAAAATAAATATTAAGACCTAATTTCTAGAGCTGTGAGGATGATAATGGAGGTTGCGCCCACATATGTAACGAGATTAGCAACGAATGCGAATGCTATGATGGATACACAATTAATCCCGACGATTCAAGCCAATGTGACGGTATGAAAAGAGATTTTAGGCTTTTGATTACTTTTCTAAGGAAAAGTGTGCTTTTAAAGATATTGACGAATGTGCGAAGTCGAATGGCGGTTGCATGCACACGTGCTTTAATTACGATGGCGATTTCGCGTGCACCTGTAATGATGGTTATATAATAGACGAGTCTGATGGAACAACTTGTTTGGGTATGTATTAAAAATTAAATAATTTAAGTTAAATAGATAAGAATATCTCCCTACTCCCTTTTTTAGACATCGATGAATGCGCCGATAAAAAACTGTCTTGGCAATGTGAAGGTGGCTGCGAGAACCTGAGTGGTTCCTTCCGCTGTTTGCCGTCATTACGGGGCAGAATACCGCCGAGCGATCAAGAGGCCCAAGATGGAAAAGTATTATGTATGCCCGGCTTCAAATTGTCGGTCGATGGTAGTGAATGCAAGGATATTAACGAATGCGAATTGACGGATAAAGACCCCAATTCCGGGCTAGTAACTCATCGTTACTGCCAGCACAAGTGCGAAAACACGATCGGATCCTACATTTGTCACTGTCCTGAGGGCTATCATTTGCTCAGGGATAACCAGAGTTGTGCTTCTAATGACCTGCCAGACCCACCAGCCACAAAAGTGTGTTTGTCTCCTGGTTTTGAACTTTCGGCAGATGGAAGCGAGTGTCAGGACATCAACGAGTGCGAACTGATGAACCCAGAGGATCCAAATAGTCCGGGTGGCTACAAGTGTTCCTGTCCCAAAGGATACCGCCTGGGTTCCGATTTTAAAAGTTGCGAGGATGTAGACGAGTGCCTAGAAAACAATGGAGGTTGCCAGCAAGTCTGCCGCAATCAGCCAGGTAAGGTGAAAAGTGATAGGAAGCACTCTTGATCGGACTTTGAAAACAGTTGGACATACAATATAAAATATTTCAAAATTTTAGGTACCTACACTTGTGCCTGTGAAAGTGGCTACGAGTTGACCAACGACAAAAAGTCCTGCCAGCATACAAATTACACGTTTAAGATTACCTCGGAGATCGTATTCCCTAGAAGGCCTTATTATATTTCTGATGAAAAATCTTCAGGACCAAGCCGGGAAACTAACAACGAAGAAAGGCGAATCGAAAAACCTGCTCCTCTTACATCTCAAAAATCATCATTTTGTCCAAAGTCAAAGAATATGTATCTTAGAAAAGGGGAAACGCAAAGGTCGGTCACCTGGAAAATGCCACGACTAAGTGGGTACGAGATCACTGGATCCCATGTAAGTTGTCACACAATATAAGAACTATAAATCAAGACTTAACCTAAACAACCTTTCCTCAGATTCCTGGCCAAACATTTAATGTTGGAAATCACACAATCGTATATAAGGTCACCAACGCCAAAGGTCACACTGCTTCATGTACTTTCTTCATTAATGTCTCCCGTAAGTTGAGTATTGTTCAAAAGTAGGAAACGTATTTTCCTTAAACATTTAGATAATAAGGGAGCCCATATTCTTAACTATCAACTATGATTTAGAACAGTTAATTGCTTGTGTGATGAAACTTTGAAATCGGATTAAGATAAGAAAGTTATGGACTTAGAATTAGTACATTTTGAAAAACCTTCAGCAAACCCTTTTTTTGGAAATTCGGAAAGGTATTGTATGCAAAATATAAAAAATAACTAATGATGCAGCTTGTTAGATAATTGAAATACAAACTTTTAGAGGTATGGCACTTCAAAATCTGATTAAATTTAAATTCTGTGATGAAAATTCAACAGGACCAAGCCGGGAAACTAACAACGAAGAAAGGCGAATCGAAAAACCTGCTCCTCTTACATCTCAAAAATCATCATTTTGTCCAAAGTCAAAGAATATGTATCTTAGAAAAGGGGAAACGCAAAGGTCGGTCACCTGGAAAATGCCACGACTAAGTGGGTACGAGATCACTGGATCCCATGTAAGTTGTCACACAATATAAGAACTATAAATCAAGACTTAACCTAAACAACCTTTCCTCAGATTCCTGGCCAAACATTTAATGTTGGAAATCACACAATCGTATATAAGGTCACCAACGCCAAAGGTCACACTGCTTCATGTACTTTCTTCATTAATGTCTCCCGTAAGTTGAGTATTGTTAAAAAAAAGGAAACGTATTTTCCTAAAACATTGATATAATAAGGGAGCCCATATTCTTAACTATCAACTATGATTTAGAACAGTTAATTGCTTGTGTGATGAAACTTTGAAATCGGATTAAGATAAGAAAGTTATGGACTTAGAATTAGTACATTTTGAAAAACCTTCAGCAAACCCTTTTTTTGGAAATTCGGAAAGGTATTGTATGCAAAATATAAAAAACTAGAGGGCCTGTGTCCGCTTCGCTGGTCAACACAATTTAACAACATAAAAGTCAATGTTGCAACATTTTTCAAATATAAGGAAGTATAGAAAGATGGTTATTTAACACTTTTCCAGTTTGACTTCTCCACTTGCGCAGCACAATCCAGCCGTTTCTCTTTTAAACTTTAACGCACTGCAATATCGGTATATAGTCGCCATTGGTCCAATATCTAAATTTTCATTATCCCCAGTGGGGTCATATTGGAATGCCAAGCGATTGAATGATGCCAATAATCTCCATGTGCTCATTTGTCTTTCTTCGCATAAGTTTTGTGAATATACTTGTTGCTGGCTTGGATGTCTGCGGCCAATGTTTGCACGTCGTCCTCTAAGCATTTTGGACTATGGACAGAGTGGTGAATTTATCCTTAAATGCACGATCCACATCATTTTCACAGTTCAACTTAAATTGAATAAAAATTCTTTTTTTTTAACAATTTCACAGTGAACACAAAAATTGAGTTAAAATGCTAAGGGAGCGTGTTTGTCAGTTCGATGAGGTAGCAACTCACTTTATATGCGACAATATTGCAATTTTCTTACGGATCCCTAATTTTTTTCAAAATAAATTATAGCCTATTTAACTCCACGATAATATAGCTTTCTATCGGTGAAAGAAATTTTTAGATCGGACCAGTAGTTCAGGAGCCTATTCCCTGCAAACAAACAAACAAACAAACAAACAAACAAACAAACAAATTTTACCTCTTTATAATAATAGTATAGATAACTAATGATGCAGCTTGTTAGATAATTGAAATACAAACTTTTAGAGGTATGGCACTTCAAAATCTGATTTAATTTAAATTCTATGATGAAAATTCAACAGGACCAAGCCGAGAAACTAACAACGAAGAAAGGCGAATCGAAAAACCTGCTCCTCTTACATCTCAAAAATCATCATTTTGTCCAAAGTCAAAGAATATGTATCTTAGAAAAGGGGAAACGCAAAGGTCGGTCACCTGGAAAATGCCACGACTAAGTGGGTACGAGATCACTGGATCCCATGTAAGTTGTCACACAATATAAGAACTATAAATCGAGACTTAACCTAAACAACCTTTCCTCAGATTCCTGGTCAAACATTTAATGTTGGAAATCACACAATCGTATATAAGGTCACCAACGCCAAGGGTCACACTGCTACATGTACTTTCTTCATTAATGTCTCCCGTAAGTTGAGTATTGTTCAAAAGTAGGAAACGTATTTTCCTAAAACATTGAGATAATAAGGGAGCCCATATCCTTAACTATCAACTATGATTTAGAACAGTTCATTGCTTGTGTGATGAATCTTCGAAATCAGATTAAGATTAGGAAAGTAATGGACTTAGAATTAGTACACTTTGGAAAATCTTCAGCAAACCCTTTTTTGGAAATTCGGAAAGGTATTGTATCATAAATATCGAAAAAAATCGGGCAAAATATAAAGAATAACTAATGATGCAGCTTGTTAGATAATTGAAATACAAACTTTTAGAGGTATGGCACTTCAAAATCTGATTAAAATTAAAATCTGTGATGAAAATTCAACAGGACCAAATCGGGAAACTAACAATGTAGCAAGTCGAATCGGAAAACCTGCTCCCCTTAGATCTCAAAATTCAGAATTTTGTCCAAGGTCAATGACTATGCCTCTTGGAAAGGGTCAAACGCAGACGTCGGTGACCTGGGAAAAGCCATTCTTAAGTGGTTACGAGTTCACCGGGTCCCATGTAAGTTATGACTCAATATAAAAATTATGAATCGAGACTTAACCTAAACAACCTTTCCTCAGATTCCTGGTCAAACATTTAGTGTTGGAAATCACACAATCGTATATAAGGGCATCAACGCCAAGGGTCACACTGCTACATGTACTTTCTTCATTAATGTCAAAAGTAAGTTAAATATTGTTCAAATAAATGAAACGTATTTTCCTAAAACATTGAGATAATAAGGGAGCCCATATTCTTAACTGTCAACCATGATTTAGAACAGTTAATTGCTTGTGTGATGAAACTTTGAAATCGGATTAAGATTAGGAAAGCTATGGACTTAGAATTAGTACATTTTGGAAAATCTTCAGCAAACCCTTTTTTGGAAATTCGGAAAGGTATTGTATCATAAATATCGAAAAAAATCGGGCAAAATATAAAAAAAACCTAATGATGCAGCTTGTTAGGTAATTGAAATACAAACTTTTAGAGGTATGGCACTTCAAAATCTGATTAAAATTAAAATCTGTGATCAAAATTCAACAGGACCAAATCAGGAAACTAACAATGTAGCAAGTCGAATCGGAAAACCTGCTCCTCTTACATCTCAAAATTCAGAATTTTGTCCAAGGTCAATGACTATGCCTCTTCTCGAGGGTCAAACGCAGACGTCAGTGACCTGGGAAAAGCCATTCTTAAGTGGTTACGAGTTCACCGGGTCCCATGTAAGTTATGACTCAATATAAAAATTATGAATCGAGACTTAACCTAAACAACCTTTCCTCAGATTCCTGGTCAAACATTTGATGTTGGAAATCACACAATCGTATATAAGGGCATCAACGCCAAGGGTCACACTGCTAGATGTACTTTCTTCATTAATGTCAAAAGTAAGTTAAATATTGTTCAAATAAGTTAAACGTATTTTCCTAAAACATTGAGATAATGAGGGAGCCCATATTCTTAACTGTCAACCATGATTTAGAACAGTTAATTGCTTGTGTGATGAAACTTTGAAATCGGATTAAGATTAGGAAAGCTATGGACTTAGAATTAGTACATTTTGGAAAATCTTCAGCAAACCCTTTTTTGGAAATTCGGAAAGGTATTGTATCATAAATATCGAAAAAAATCGGGCAAAATATAAAAAAAACCTAATGATGCAGCTTGTTAGATAATCGAAATACAAACTTTTAAAGGTATGGCACTTCAAATCTGATTAAATTTAAATTCTGTGATGAAAATTCAACAGGACCAAGCCGGGAAACTAACAATGTAGCAAGTCGAATCGGAAAACCTGCTCCTCTTACATCTCAAAATTCAGAATTTTGTCCAAGGTCAATGACTATGCCTCTTCTCGAGGGTCAAACGCAGACGTCAGTGACCTGGGAAAAGCCATTCTTAAGTGGTTACGAGTTCACCGGGTCCCATGTAAGTTATGACTCAATATAAAAATTATGAATCGAGACTTAACCTAAACAACCTTTCCTCAGATTCCTGGTCAAACATTTGATGTTGGAAATCACACAATCGTATATAAGGGCATCAACGCCAAGGGTCACACTGCTAGATGTACTTTCTTCATTAATGTCAAAAGTAAGTTAAATATTGTTCAAATAAATGAAACGTATTTTCCTAAAACATTGAGATAATAAGGGAGCCCATATTCTTAACTGTCAACCATGATTTAGAACAGTTAAATGCTTGTGTAATGCCACTTCAAAATCTGAATTAAATTAGAAAAATGGGTTTGCTGAAAATGGACCAATTTTCGTCAGTTTTAAGTTCATAACTTTTCTAATTTCAATCAGATTTTGAAGTGGTATACCTCTAAATGTTTGTATTTTGATTCTATAACAAACTGCATCACTAGAAAAGTTTAATGATGTAACCCCTAACCAATTTTCCTAAAAATGGGTTTGCTGAAAATTAGAAAAGTTATGGACTTAGAATTAGTGAATTTTGGTCAATATTCAGCGAATCCATTTATTGGAAATTTAGAAAGGGTTGTATCATTAAAAAAAAAAAAAAAAAAGGCAAAAAAATAAAAAAATAACAAATGGTACAGTTTGTTAGAGACATAAATGACAAACTTTTAGAGCTATACCAAATCTAAATCTGATCGAAATTAGAATGTCATACGAATTTCGAAGTTTAAATTTTGATTTATATATTTGCTTAGACCTTATAAATAATTTTTTTTTATGTGTCTACTTTCTTTTTTTATAGCTGCAACTACACAAAACAGAAGAATCAGGAATAATTGGAAATTCTAATCTAACTGTGCCAGTGGCGCACTTAGAATTTAAAATTTGGGAGGGAAAGGGGGGGGTGCTGGGTAGGGGGTGTATAAGATCATATTGACTTCTAATTATTGTAAAAATATTTAATTATAAACGAATAGATTCAACTCAATTTTACCGCTCTGTAAATGCAGACCTGCAAATGTCGGCCGAGTTAGGTTCGGTTTTTTTTTTGGGGGTTGGGGGCTTGAACCCCAAATAACCCACCCCGTAAATCCGCCACTAAATTGTCCGCTTTTTAAGAAGAGATTTCCTATACTACTTCTTACTTTTTCATATCTTTGGAAATATTTTTTTTAAAATACTTAAACAAAATTTTAATCAGCAAATTGAAGCCTGTGTGCACAATAAAAAAAATATGCATTTCACGAATATAATAAAATTATTTTATAGCATGGATTTCCTAAGAAAAATAAACAAATTTTGTCTAATCATTACCAACGGGTTCCACAAACTTTGTCAGAATCCTTCAAACAATCTTTTAATAATTGCTTTACTTGGTTACAGAAAAATCAGGTGACTTAACTGATTGAACTAACTGATTTGAATCAAAATGATTTGGATCGTAAGTTTAAACAACAGAATTTGCGCGTGCCAGGCCCACTTGGAGCTATTCACTACTGAAATAATTGCCCTGAAATGCCGTTGAACTCGTTTGGTAAGAACCTGTCATAAGAAAAACACCGTTTGATTATTCAGTTTCATTGCAAAAACAAAGAAATCTAAAACTAGCTGAAATAATGCCGTGTTAATCTGGACCCCAGCAGAGCAACGAATTTGAGCTGATAATATTTTGATAGTACAGTGAAACTTCCATAAAACCCAAACTTACAAAAGAAAAATGGTTTTAAAAGAAAAACCATAATATAATTCAATGTGCTTAAGCATTTTAAAACATTTCTAATTTAAAACATTTCTTATTCTAAGCTGTTTTGAACTTCTTACTCAGGAGATAAGCTAAAACTTGTAAAGATTGATCTTAAAAAACTTCACTGTAGGCTTAGCTGGCTAGACGGCGGCTTTTGTAATGAGATGGAATGAGATTTTAGGCCCATCAACGCGGGGCACTGATAACCCCACAGCCGCAGAATTAGTTCTGCGATTGGACCTCGTGTGGATGCTATTCCAAGATCATTCACTCGCCCGATTGCCCGCAATATTATTTTTTATTATTTACTGGTTTCAGCTCGGGGATTGGTTTTCGTTTTTGTTTTGGTTCAGCTATGGGGCCTAGCGAAAAGTCTATTTAAGCGCCAGATTAACTGAGAAATGAATTCAGTTTTAAATCGTGTGCTGAGCGGATCGTTCGTCTTCGGTTTGTTATTTTTGTGAGGACCCCAGAGAATCTAGTGAGAATGTACCAAACGCAGGTCTCCTTTGATAAGGTTTGTTCGCCCAGCAAATCCTCCGTGCTCATCATACAGCAAGTGATCCTCTCAATAGCTATCAAAATAATAACAATAACAAGTTTATTAGTTTTCCAACCTTGAAAGGAGAACAACAAAATATATAAATATAAATGAATTCATTTGATTACGGTGGGAAAGCGGATTTATAATCAAGACAACTTGTCACGGAATTAGGTTACCTCGCAGTTTCATTGCTAGGCGAAAAGTTTTTTTTGGGTTTCGTGGTGTTTTTATTAGCTAAAAACTGGAGAGAAGGTAACTGGAAATTAAACATGAAACAGTAGACAAAAATAAATTTAAATCCCTCTTTCTTTGTGGCAACTAATTCATAATGCAAACTCATTCCTACAAGATCGTAGTGTTTGCGTAAAGCCCTTGTAATTTCTGAAGATCTTGAAAGGTAAACCACTCCAGCAACCTTCTCACAGTTACAGAAAACCAAGTTCTAGGTCGTATCCTTGGCAATATGCGCTGATTGCCATTGCGGTCAGACCTAAACCTTCGACATGTTGCAAGCACAAATAAGCAATCTCAATGATGAACATTTAATGCAGGTGCTACAATTACAGTTCGATGGCACATGTAGGGTTTCGGTTAAATAGTTAAGCGATTTTGGCCTTAGTTAAACTCTGTAATAGGAGATTTTCCGATTGCTCATTCGTAATCCAAACAAACAGTATTGATAGCCAAGACGATTATGGGAGTGCTACGAACTTGAGTGACTGCTGGTTCACCCCGGGTCATGTGGTGTCAATCTCTAAACTTTCCTATGATGCAGGCGGTTTTTTCCTACCGATAATGACGTTTTAGTAAATATTTTGTTCACCTTCCATCTAATTAGCCGACGCGCGTTGAGGACTCGGCTTATATTGTCGAGGGTGTGGACATCCAAGAGGCCAGGAACACCTGCCTGCTGTTCTCGCCCAAGGACTCTTCGTTGTCCAGCGGAGCCTTGGCCAAAATTCTGGCCATTTTCAAGCAGCACGATATCAACCTAGTGCACATTGAGTCGCGCTCCTCGCTTCGTGTCCCCGGCTACGAGTTCTTCGTGGAGTGCGATGGAAAGTCTGGCGCTTTGGGAAAAGCCATCGATGATGTGAAGGAGGAGTGCAGTTATTTCAACATCATTTCGCGTGACTACAAGGATAATGCCACCGCAGTGCCCTGGTTCCCCCGGCGTATTCGCGATCTGGATCGTTTTGCCAATCAGATCCTGAGCTATGGCTCTGAACTGGACGCCGATCATCCTGGATTCACCGATCCCGAGTACCGAAAGCGTCGCAAGTACTTCGCCGATATTGCCTACAACTACAAGCATGGCGAGACCTTGCCGCATGTGGATTATACGAAGGAGGAGATCGAGACCTGGGGCATTATCTTCAGGAATCTCACGAAGCTCTACAAGACCCACGCCTGTCGGGAGTACAATCACGTGTTTCCCTTGCTGGTGGATAACTGCGGCTTCCGCGAGGATAATATTCCCCAGCTGGAGGACGTCTCGAACTTTTTGAGGGGTGGGTAGAGTCAATTGAAACATAATAACTTATTTGGTTATTTTAAAATATTTTGTATGACAGATTGCACTGGTTTTACTCTGCGTCCTGTGGCTGGACTGCTCAGCTCTCGGGATTTCCTGGCTGGCCTGGCCTTCCGCGTTTTCCACTCCACCCAGTATATTAGGCATCCCAGCAAACCCATGTACACCCCGGAGCCAGATGTCTGCCACGAGTTGATGGGTCATGTGCCCCTCTTTGCAGATCCAGCCTTTGCTCAGTTCAGCCAGGAAATCGGATTGGCTTCCTTGGGAGCCCCCGATGACTATATTGAAAAGCTTTCCACTGTAAGTTAAAATCGTATTAACACGCAGTCAACTCACAATGTAAATGTCTAAAATCTTGCAGATCTTCTGGTTCACTGTTGAGTACGGCTTGTGCCGCCAGGAGGGCGAGCTGAAGGCCTATGGAGCTGGTCTTCTCTCCTCCTACGGAGAACTGGAGTACTGTCTTACGGATAAGCCACAGCTGAAGGACTTTGAGCCGGAGGTCACTGGCATCACCAAGTACCCAATTACGCAGTTCCAGCCGCTTTACTACGTGGCCGACAGTTTTGAAACTGCCAAGGAGAAGACCATGTGAGAATTAGTTTATAGAATTCCCTTTTGAAACTTTTTAATAACGACCTTTGTTTTAGTAAATTTGCCAACTCGATTCCGCGTCCGTTTGGAGTTCGCTACAATGCCTATACCCAAAGTGTGGAGGTTCTCGATTCGAAACATCAGATTTCGAATCTGATGAACACCATCAACTCCGAGTTCCAGATTCTGCAGAATGCCATTGTCAAGCTGCGAGTCTAACCCGATTCCTAATATTTTTTATTACTCCCCTTCTATGTATATTATTAAGCTTGAATTGAACAATAAATATCAGAAAAATGACTCGCCTTTGTAACGGTTTTTGCTTGCTTTATTACAACTCGATTTGATTCGATTATTTTTTTGCTTTTGCTTTTGTTTTGTTTAATTTGATTAGTTCGTTCGGTTTGTTTTTTCGGGGCTCTTGTTTTGAAAAACATAAAAACATTTAGTTATGTACAAAATAGTTCTAGACCATCATCTTCGACGCGTATTTACAGGCTTAAGCAAGTTCTCCGGACTTGTCTTATAGGTATGTACAGAGCTTAAGCACTAGTTTAACTATAAATATTAAGGTAGTTGTAGTTGAGTTTAAGATGGTTTCTCCTATTTACACGTTCTAAGTTTAAAGCATTTGGCTCTTTATCAGCTGAAGATCGAAGCATATTCGAACGAGCTTTTCCAACAGCAAAATATTAATACAAGGGAGTGGGAATGTCGACCGAACTAATGGTATTTCAGCTGTCGGAAAAGATCGGGCCTGAAGTTAACTTATGGGAATATGTTCACAGCAAAATAAATGTCAGTTGCAATCTCAACCTGAGTTTTGGATTAAACATACGCGTATCTACGATAAATAACTTGTTTGACCTCGGTGACGAAGCCCAGTCTTGAAAATAATATGGAATTGGATTGGCTTGCCCAGCTCTTTTGCTTGCCAGTCGCTTCTCGTTTTTTAACTAAATACAAATAACTTAGGTTTAGGCTTTAAGGTTCGATTACGTATCAGAGATCCCTGTTTGCGCCTCGATGGCACTTACTGGATAAGGCTAAGCTAAGGAAACGATGGGCTCTTGCTACAAACTAGGTTAATAGTACAACAGCTTAGAGCCTAACTACAGTGGAATATTTTGAGAACGCTAATACACCTAGTTCATATACGACAAATCAGGGGTAGAACAATACTCAGTCTGTTGAGATCTACAACTAGTTCTGGGTAGCCAATAACAGGGGTTTCGATAAAGAGAGCCAGAGGCCAAACTTGAATGGGATCTAGCATAATACACAGGTGAACGGGGTGCTGGGAGGTCCTTAAATCGATTCTATCGCTAAAGAGAGTTATATACATCGCTGATCCGCTATTGACTGCTGCCCGGGTTTGTGTGCGGCGAGTTGAATAGATTCTGTGATTGCTCTTGGGACATCTGGTAGGGCAATATCTCCAGATCGTTCGGCAACTGATTTTGGTTCTGGTTCTGGCTGTTGCTGAGAAAGGGATTCGCACTGAAGAAGTTGTTTGACTGCTGCTGGTGTTGCTGCAGGATTTGCTGCTGCTGCTGCTGCTGATGTTGCTGATGTTGCTGCTGCTGCTGTTGCTGTTGCATTTGATTGCTGCTGGAGCTGTGCATCATCTTGTTGTCCTCGCTCTGGGTCTCGGAGCCATCGTCGCTGATGCCCATGTGAAAGTTGATCGAAGGACTCGATTCGGTGGCCATTTGCATGTAGGACAACAGCGAGTCCTCGTTGTTGTTTTGCGGGGGATTCGAGCTGCCGTTGTTGTTGCTCTGGTTGCCGTTGTTCAAGTTGCTGCCACCATTGTAGCTCTGATTGTTGTTGTTATTGCTGCTGGCGTTGAAGGGATTAATTGTGGACTGCGAACCGAGGGATTGCAGGGGAGACATGTTGAGAAAGGCATCTATATCATCGATGTCCTCGCGCAGTAAAATATCATTCTGCTGCTGCAGTTGCAACTGCTGTTGCTGCTGTTGCTGCTGCTGCTGCTGCTGTTGTTGTTGCTGCTGCTGTTGTTGCTGCTGCTGCTGTTGCTGCTGCTGCTGTTGCTGCTGCTGCTGTTGCTGCTGTTGTTGCTGCTGCTGAGTGTGCTGCTGCAGTTGCGTGTGACTCTGATGCTGCTGCTGCAGGTTGTGTTGGTGCTGCGTGTGCAGGTTCTGCTGCTGCTGCATCATCATCTGCTGATCCTGTTGGTTCAACATCTGCTCCGAGTTCAAGGCGAACCCGTACTGATTGAACTGCGGCTGGACTGCGTTGCTCCCCGAGAAGTTCAGACCCCTTTGGCCGGCGGCAGTCATGTTGCCCACCGCCGCAGCTGCCATGTTTCCCGGAGCGAAGCCCATCGACATCATCGGTTGCAAGTAGGTGTAGCGCGAGAGGAGCAGCTGCTCCGAGACGATCCTCAGCTCGTTCTGCTGCTGCAGGATGAGCTTCTGCAGCTCGTCGTGCTTCCGCTGCAGCTGATCCTGCAGCTGGCTCTGCGTGGGCGTCATCACCACGGTGTCGGGCAGCAGATCCTGCTGCGCCTGCGCCGGAAGCGGCGACAGGACGGGCGCCACCGGAAACGGAGCGATCACCGGCTGCATGGGTATCGCGGTGAGGTACTGCGGCGGCTCCAGGAAGGTGGGCGCCACCAGCTGGGGACTGGCCAGTGGATAGGCGGGCTGTGGGAACTGGCACGCATTCCCCGCCATTATCTGCGTGGGTGCGATCGGCAGGAGGGGCACCATTTTCGGTGCGCCCACCGAGTGCTGCAGCTGCTGTTGCAGTTGCTGGTGCTGCTGCTGCTGACTCTGATGCTGCTGCTGCTGCTGCTGCTGCAGGTGGTGATGCGACTGACTGTGGTGGTGCTCTCGGTGGTGCTCGCGGTGGTGCGATCGCTGTCGTTGGCTTTGCTACGAAGATTACAAGCGGTTAGTTGAAAGACTCATTGCAGAAAATCAGTAAATGATCGAAATAGTGTAAAGCCATCTCTTTTGATTACCAATTAATTGGATTGTTATTTTTGAATTCAGCAATACTTTTTGTAACACTTCATAACTCAATCTTGGCTGCAAATTATCCGCCGATGGTAGCAAGTGTCAGGACATCAAGGAGATAGCAATTCACACTCGCTGATATCCTGACACTTGACCTTCAGGTGGACTCATTTTTTGAGTTGTGTGGTAGTATTTTAAATAGTTAAAATAAACTTATATTTATATGATACTAGTAAACCCAGCGAACTCCGTTCCGCCACCAGATGGCGATAGTTTTAGGTAAAACTTCGTTTGGTGTTTAAAAGATAAAGAAAATTTTTTTTGTTTTATATATGAAAAGGAAAAATTTTATTTCGATACCATTAAAACTTTGGCCATTTCCGAGTGTTTTGCAATATTACACTTTGGTTCCTCAATAATTTGAAGATTTAACGGTAATTTTAATGCTGAATGAGCCGTTTGGCATCCTTCTAACAATATGGCTGCTATTCCCAAAGAAGCAAATGCAACAGCTATGTTGGATCTCGCCCGAACAGTTGCTAAAGCTAATGACATGAGGAATGTCTTGTCAGTACCACCAGGGGCATCTAGGAAATATAAACCACCATTTTCTTCATCGATTGCCTTCATTAAAGTATTATAAACTTTCTTCTGTTGGGAATTCAACAGGGGTACATTCGCTTGAACTAATAAATTTAATTCCTGGTGATCATATTCACGTTCCCGTTCTAATTCTCGATTAAATGCCTCATTCATTTCACGATTTGGCGCTGGCATTCTAACCTGATTAATATATTACCGCACATGAGGTAACACATATATTATCTTCGATCAAGAGTAAAACCCGATAATGTATCTCCTCATTCATCAAATTGTTCACAATCAGGATGGCGACTTCGTCTATTGTTGGAGCATTAAATGTCCTTTCGTGTGTTCCAGATGGTCGTTTATCTGCTTTTATGACAACTTTATAGTCATCATTTGGCTTGCGCTCTAAAGCACTCTTAAACAACCTGACCATCGCATGATGTTCATGAAGCAGACACTGCATGTCTTGAAGAATTGCTCGCTTCATCCCTTCATTGATCGCTAGACGTCGATCAAGTTGTTCTTCCATGTTGCCCATGAAATATATTTGTAAAATTTTTTTTGTGTATCTTCGAAAGGTAGTAATGATCCAATTCGATGGTGAATCTGCCCTTGTATCTAAGATAAAGTAAGTTATTCTTTAACTATATTCTATGTAATAAAAACAAAAAAAAAACCTTAAATGTCGGATTAAATCCTCGTTCTTCGATAATATCTGCCCCAAATGACGTCATTTGGAAAGAACCATTGTATTTTCGGGTATTTGCAAGAAAGTGGCGTGATTCTTGTGTTTCACCACAAAGCAACGAATACAATGGCTCAGGTGGCGGAGTCAACAATGGCAATTTAACTTTACCATTAAAGCAGCATAATCCAGGCGTTTCTCCGGAAAACTTCAGTGCACCGCAATACTCGCAAACAACGTCCATTTGCCCAATGCAAACGCTAGGATGCAAGCTGTAATCAGTGATGCAATCGTATTGAAACGCTGCTCGATTCAAATCAGCACTTGATAAATTTCTTCTGCGTCGCAAATGATCTATTTCTTGACCTCTATTGTAAGCTAGACGATTCTGCATTGTCAACCGAGCCGTATTACGGATTGCCTCTCTTTGCTCTGCTGATTGAGAAGCACGAAGTCGACCTATTCTAACGCGGTTCTGTTCACGTTCAATGTTTTGTTCTTCTTCAGACCTTCCATTTGCAGTATTTTGTAGTCTTCTTGCATTACGGCTTTGTCGGGAAAGATTCGATCGTCTTGGTCGCGGCATTATTAATTAAACTTCCCTTCACTTCAATTCACAAAAAGCACGAAAAACTTCACTTCACTTCAATTCACCAAAATCACAAATAATTTCTACTCACTTTAAAAAAAATTGAGTTAAAATGCTATGGTAGTGTGTGCTTGTCAGTTTGATGAGGTAATAACTCAGTTTATATGCGATTTTTGGTATGTCGAACGGAATAAAAAGTACCCTAACTCCTATTCCGGGCTCTAAGCTACCTTCCTACCAATTTTCAGCCAAATCTGTTCAGCCGTTCTTAAGTTATAAGTGGTGGAACTAACACAACTTGCTTTTATATATATAGATAGATTACAGAGAGATGTACTAAGGTATCCACTCTTTCGATCATTTACCTTATTCAATTTGAAATACCCACCGAACTAACGTGCGTCATCATGGACTGCCGACTGGTGACCGAATCCGCAGAAATAGAGGTAGAATCCGAGTCATTCCCCCGATTGTTGTAGAAATAACACTTCCTCTTGGCCTTCGGTGATATTCCCGTGGAACTGATGTTTCCATAACTCGAGGCAGGTCGCGATGTTTTCAGAGGATTGATTTGGCAGGAACCAGAAGGCTGAGCAGCCGACGCCGACCACATTGGCGATGAGTCCACGGCCGGCGATGTGGCCGTCGTTTCGTTGCCCAAATTGGCCAAACTATTTCCCAAAAGAGTACTATCCAGATTTTGGCTGCTCAGCTCGAAATCCCTTAGCGTTGTGGTGGCAGATGCGGATTTGCTGCTGTTTGCCGTGGAGGCGATGACCTTGCTGCTGCCATTGTTGTTATTGCTACTGAGGTTGCCCGACTTCGACGACTCCTTTCGACTTTCCTTGAGGACTTCCGCATAGCTGACCACCTTGTGGGTGCAGACCACGTAGTCTGGCTTGGAGTTGAACTGGTGGTAGCTGATGTAGTAGTCCGTTTGCAGCCAAATCCATTGCTGTCCCTTGGTCAGAAATCGGTAGTAGCAGGATTTGCCCTCACCTGTTTGTCGAACTATGAATTGGAATAAAAATATTATAATTAAAGTTAAACGAAGATAAAACAGAAGCTATTTTCATTTCCTAATAACCTATAATTTATCAGATCACTACAATTTTTTATCGTTATTGTTAAAAATCTTAACACAAAACAAAAGAGAAATCTAAAAGAAATTTAATCTTATTTCAGGATGCCACTTTATTAATGACTGATTTTTAACTTACGCTCTTCATGACACGCCACAATGCTGTCCAGATCGTCAAAGTGATAGTAATCGTAGCCAGAAGTGCCCAGAACCTCGAAAGGCATATAGCCAATGATCGGCGGAGCTCGGTGATCCAAGAACAGGAACTTCCACTCCATGCTGTGCTTCGAGGTGAACTCGTTACTAGTCGGATCGATGATGCTCATTTCGCGGATCAATTGCGGATTCTGGACTCGACCGGTGCCCACGAAGACCAACTTCTTGTCCACCTCGGCAGTGGGATTCTGCTGGAAGACGCGCGGCAGGACTGCAGGCTGTCCATTGGAGCCATTCGAACCCTCCGAACTGCAACCCGTCGAGGTGTTGGTATCGTTGCCTGAGAATTATAAAATCAGTGGATATGATCTGTAAACGCAGCATGGTTACCTACGAAAGTAACCCACGAATTTGACCAGCTCGTAGGCGTTGGCATCTACTTTCTCCATCCCGCCTCTCCGCAAATGGATGTAGAATGTGATTTGGTTGCTGGAACTTATGTCCGTCTGTCTGGGCTCGATGACCGGAGTGGGATTCATAAAGACGTTAAGCAATGCCTCGTGGTCCATCTCGTAGGCCAGGTCATAGATGGTCATGTTGTACAGATCTTGCTGGAAGACAAAAGAATTTGGTAAGGTCTATACAGTAATACAGTAAAAAAATAAAACTTTTTTGAATTTCACATAACTATATTTATTATTAATTTTTATATACATCATTTATTCTTTCAAGCTCATCAATTAAATGATTTTCATAAACCTTTGTTGCTGCTTAATATCTGGTCTTAATATCTGGCATAGTGTATATGAGTGCTAAATAACACAAAGTAACTAACAATTTTAAATGGCCCGCTGGGCTTGTTTCAAAGAGCCCTGTCCGCGTAAATAATCTCAAGAATATTTTCGTGTATAGCCATTTCCCTGTTGTTAGCTTGGCTCTCCAGACAAGCTTGTTCGATATTCTGTACTTTTCTGAAGTAGAAATCTCGTTCCTTTTCCATTTCCAAAATTTCCCGACCGTAATCGTCCAGTTCCCTGGACAGATCCAAGAATTTCTGTCGCAGCACTTCCTTTTCGCCGTCACATTCGATCTCCTCCAATGCCGAACTTTCAGAGGGTTTGTCAGGACCTCCGCTTTGAAATGTGGCCCTTGGTGAGAATCTCTGACCCTTTGGGCTCAAGGGACTCGATCCCAGGCCCATTTTTACGCCGTTTCGAGCCATAAAGGGATCGTAGGCCCTGCCATCGTAGTTGGCTTCAAAGAACTTGCGGAACCACTGGAGGAACTCTAAGTTGTCCTGGAAGCGACCCTTGATCAGCCTGTCGATGGGAATGACCTTGTCGACAGACAGCTTCTTGAAGCCCGCCTGCAAAATCTTGAAGTTCTGCAGGTGCTCGTGCTCCTGATTCGTGCGAAACTTGACCCGCTTGAGGGGAACGGAGTTCGGGAAGATCATGTCCATGAACTGGCAGTAAGCTGCTCCGGTGCACAGCTCCTCGACCTTGGTCAAGTCGGCATTCAAGGTCCTGTTCACCCAGGCGAGCATTTCGTAGCGCGACGGATTGTCGGTGGTCACATTCGTGGAGTGCACGTTCACTGCCTTTTTAAATTTTTCAGACATCATTTACAGGAAAAATTGTTCGGTTGTACGATAAATCTGATTTGAAGTTACAACCAACAGAGATTTAAGAAAGCGACTACTAGGTTTGAATATTATCTGGTTAAAGCATAATCATTACTCCATAATAACATTTATTTAGTACCGACGGCATTAATTAGTACAGTTCTTAAGTTAATAAATTATGTTTTCACTGGGAAAGTTTACTTCTTAACTCACCGGCAGATAGCCCAGCTGGGAGGTAATACTTTCCGAGGCGTAGAAGATGGAGCCCATGCTGCTGAAGACCATCATGAAACCGTCCAGCGATTCCAGCATCAGGTGGGTGTACTCATCGTTGCTCAGGAATGTGGGCTTCCAGTCTTGTTGAATCTCGAAAACCTTCGAGCGATCGGTGGCCTCTGATATCAAACGCATTAAATTAGAGAGGGTTTGAGCCTACAAGCGGTGTCGGCCTACCATTGTGGTTCTTCAGGAAGGCTATCGTGGACTTCAGGACCGTGGACTTGTCCATCTTTCTGCTGGAGGTGGAAATCAGGGCACTCAGATCGTTAACCAGCGAATTGAACTGATCCCGCCGCTTCTTCTCGCTGAGATTGCGCGACTTTCTGCAAAGGAAGCTACGAGTTAAAAAAATAATCAATGCGTTGCGTTTTCAGTTAGCAGAGATACACTTTCACTACTTGCTATCTATTGCATAATGAACTGGGGTTACCACCCCCAGGTGAGTGGGTGCGACCCACGTGTGCCCGGTCCATTGAGGCATTGTCTGGCGTTGATTAGGCACATATGCCCATATGCTATCGCCATCCCGGATTTTTCTAAGGATTTTCAGGGGTTGTGTGCCCTTTGTCGCTTCCCATTTGCTGCGCTAGAGTTCACTTTTTCCATTCTGCCATTGACATTTGCATGTCACTAACTGCCTGATGAGCGGAGTTTTGGGTCTACTGTTACTGTCAGCTTATTAAGGTTTAAAAAGATTTTAAGCAAATATAAGACAACCAGACGGGGGAATTATATAGAAAATAAAAACTTGTTTTTCGAACTATTTTAAGTTCAACATACTAGAGTTACCTTTAAACCTATCAGAGTTACCTCACGATTTTCAAAACGAAACACAAAATAAAAAGAATTAGTTACAATTGACCCTAATTAAAATTAGTTATTAAAAAAATATTTATTTTTGGAGATTCCTCCTATTGCATTTTGCAATGTTGTCTTCCCATTCTAGGATAAATCTTGTAAACTTGTAAGTACAAGTAACCAGTCCGTTTTGTTAGTGTCCATACTTGATATTTGATAACATTTATGTATACAGTTGATTCCTTTGGTCATTAAACTATGCCGTGAATAGCACAGGTAAAGATAATTATTGGATGAGCTAATCGAATTTGGACTCGAGTTACAACACACTGAAGTTGACCGCAGGAAAATTGGCTCAAGGAATTAAGTTACCAGAATTCGGCTTGCGCTGATTGATTGCGGGGGTGTGAATTATCAAAATGGACTGGGGCTACCTGAAATTTTATGACGACAGCAGCGTCATTCATGGGAAAAATAATAAACAAAGGGGGACATTCCTTCTTCATCTAGTGGAAAATTTATCCGTACGCCATATACACGTCTTTTCTTTAGCTTCTTGTCAACTGTCACTTGCAGATTGTCCACGGATTCGTTCTTTCTATTTATGAATAGCTAAGGATACATGAGTACGGGTGCTTAATGTGTAGTGAGCTCACCTTTTCGTATCATCCTTGTCATCGCTTTCGTCGTCCATTTTCGGGTCTGCCGGATAATCCACTTCAAACCGCACAATTTTTAAATTATTGAAAACAAACAAAGAACCGAAGAAAGTCCGAAACTTTCCACTTCTTTTGAAAACTTGCTCACAACTGCCACAAACTATTTACACGCTCACATAATTTTGTTCATATGTGCTTTTGCTTTTGGCTTAAAGTTCAGGTAATGTTCACGCAGCAATTGATTTCCATATGCTCAACTTGCCACATTTTGAATGGCTGCAAGGGGTTAAGGAATCGGAATTGATTAGCTTCGTTGGCGTTCGTTGACTTAGGTTAAGGTGTTTTTTTTTTTTTAATTTTTTCCCGTCGCGTTCTTTATTCGAAATAATCGCGAACCGTCGCGCTGTGACAGCAACAAGTGCAGTTGTGGTTCTGTTTCTGTTTCGGCTATCCTGGCTTCACCTGGCCAGCATCCTTTTCGAATCGGCTTGTCGGGTTATGTAATCCCGTAAGCTGCGCCTGCGCAGGATCCCCAGTTGGAGGCCCCGTTGCCAATTTGCCAGTTGGCCGTGCCAATCAATGTTGCACATTTGCAACCCCTGAAATGTATGCTACGCTATTTTGTCATGTTACAAAATGCGTTCAACGAATGCCATAACAACCGCTCGGTGGTTGGAGTGGGTGGCTGGTTGCCCCGAAGTGGGTGGTTGGGTAACCGGGAGTTTGAGCGGAGCAGCTGCTAACCAATTGCCGGCCTTTGGCTGCGGATGCTGTCCCCCTTTCCCAGCTATAAATAAGCTGCTGTGCACGCTACGATTGCATAACTCTCTCTCTATTTATTTGACTTTCTATCGATTTCTTTTTATTCTAATTCTTCGCAATCATTTCCTGCACCTGAAGTCATTTTCGTTCGCACCACGCAAAATTATTCCCTGTTAATTGACGGTCCAGCATTTCAGGGGCTTCGGCGAAAAGCAATTTCTTGCCGAACAACAACTTGAAAAGTTTTCAGCAAATGTCAAAGGTTTTGCAAGCCTGTTAAATGCACTTGCCCAAATGGAAAGGGGTAAAAACTTGGGTCACAACAACCCAGTGACGTTGGAGTTTGAACGCATTCAACGCCGGCACATTGGCGAAAAATCAGCAGGCACGTATCCAGGGGGGGTGCCCGGGGGGCCCGGGCACCCCCCGAAATCTTTAAATTCAAAAATTTTTTCTATTTAAGATTTTTCATTAAAAAGTCTTCAGTAGAAGAAACCTGACCTAACAGGAACGTATAGATCAGTAGACTGAAACTAAGCCAAATTTAATTTAATTTATTGAATTTATTCGAATAAGTCCACATTTTTTATTGATTTTTGTCCTTGAGCACCCCCCGAAACAAATTTCTGGATACGGGCCTGAAAATCAGGGTTTAATTAAAATGTGCAAAGCAGCTTAAAATTACACAGCTCCGCATCTGTCGTGACAGCTGTAATTAATCCGTTTACCTTCGTTTGACCAGGGACCCAAAACCAGGCTCATAATTTCCCACATGTATTCGCGGAGGACATCGTTTTAAATACACATCAAAGACGGGAAACTGCCCGCTCCCTTGGCCAAGTGTTGCTGGTTAACCGTAAGTAGCTGTTGGCCAAAACCAGACTTGAAATGCTGCCAGATAATTGCCAATGGCTCGCTTAATGGCTCGTGTTGCAATTAGTGCGGTTGGTTTGGTTTGTCGCAAAATGGAAAAAAGCAAGGGTCAAGATAGAGAGGTTGTCATTATTGAACGGGTTGGCTTTATCCCTGAGGAATGTGTTCCGATTTCCACGTTGCCTTCTCAATTATAAACTTAGGGTTTATTGGGTCAAAGAAACTGAAATCTTAACATTTAACTCGAAAACCATTTTCAATTAAAACCTGCTTCTCAGCTGCACAAATAATGAATAACCATGAGTTCTGCTAAATTGGTCCAAGCTAATGTTTGTAGACTTATAGAAGTTAGACTATCAATCACTTTCGAAAAATAATTCTAATAAATCTTAGTCCGGAGTAATGATCGTTGGACTTTCGAATTCAATTTTTTTACTCAAAAAATTCAATTTACTAGATTTTGATTCATTTGATTTTTGTACTTCTTTAAGTTTTATTTGCTTTGTAATTTAGGGGCTTCATGTCTACCTAATAGGAGATAAATCTCTGATCTTCCTATGCTTTATACAAAGTGCAGTAACACAATTAAAATTAAAATTTTTTAGTGACAACTCTTCAGATTTACTAATCATGATTTGCCATTCACCCCATTAAACTAAACTGTATTAGAGAGCTTTAAAGTCATCATCAGTCAATCTTAACCCGCATTAAACCCATTATCTTTTACAAATAAAAGCTGACAAATTAAACATTTGGCATTGACAACATTGTTGTTAATTCGTGTTGTGTGGTATTTTTATAAACTTTTGCAATGCGGAAGCCAGTTGGCTGGAAAAACTGCATAGTATATGGAATGGAGGAAAAGCACTGAAAGCCGGTTGGCAGGTTTACTCAACCCAGGCGAAGATCGTTGACTGACCTACTCACGAGCGTCTGGAGATATAGTGGCTTTATCTCTACCTGTCTCTGTCGCTCGCCCTCCCCCCCCCGTCTCGCTCACTTGCACTCTCTAACGCTCGCTGTCTCGCTCTGGCACATTGCAATAGGGGTAACTAACGTCATTTGATTGCATTTGTAAAGCTTCGCTCAGTTGCAGAAATTATCGCATCCTACCGATGTGTTGGTGGCTTTCAATGGTATGCGTGCATATGTGTGTCTCTCTCTCTTGATTTCTTTGTCAGTGAACTTGAGCTTTTGCTTGGCAATGCTAATTGCATTGCGATTACAGCATAGTGTCCGTGTGTGAGTGATAATACCCAACACTCATACGACCCGTTGTACAGCTTTTTTTTCCGTAGTTTTTCCCTCGTATTTCTCTTTCCGCAAAACTTGTAATACTTTTTGTCTCACTCTTGCGTTTGTTGTTTTAAACTTGACTTAATTAAATTTTTCACTATTATTTTATTTTTATCTTTGCTGTCCATTGATTTATTTCTGTTGCGCTCGTTCCCCTCGTTAAGTATAGTTTATGTCCAAGCCGATATCTTTATTTATAGGGTTAAAGGCCTCCGCGTTTAACTAGTTTTTCAGTAAAGAGTAGCAATGTTTATGGATTGAAAGGGTTAATCAAGCGGATATTGGACTTGGCTTTTTATAAACGGCTTACAGTCTAATAATAAGTTAAAAGCCCGCCTGCACAAGATCATCAGTTCATCCCCACATCATCGAGACTTGATCATGATTTTGAGTGTTTAATAAAGTCTGGGAACCACTTAGTAAATACTCTTGGACTGAAAAGGCTTCAATGAGTTCACTATTGGGACGCGTTTAGGTTGACTTATAATCTCTTTATAAGAGTGATTGGAAAGTTAAAAAAATGTTTTGGAAATATGGAATATATGTACATAACATAGATATGCATTGATGAATAATGACGTGACTTCTATTAAAGAAGTCTTTAAATATTAGTTTAACAAATGAAGCATTCCTCTGAAAGTTGTTTTGAGCTCGTAGTCTGTAGCCCTCAATCATTAGTCATTAGATACTTCAGTCCTAAATAATTACCGCCAATTTTTAAAACTACCAGAAGCCCTCTGAACGGTTATCTTTCTTTGTTTCCGACTAACTAAAATTTGTGCAAAAACTTCTACCTAGGGCAGTTGTCAATCAGTTGCTTATCTCACCGTATCAACAACAACCTATTTGCTCAAACTGAAAATGAAGTATACGCTCTGCAAGCCCAAGCGAAAACGCCTAGAAAGTGCAGTTGAGTGCAGTAATTATTTAGTAACATTTCGTAATCGCGACCCATTTTACTCGGCTAAAACCAAAATCAAAGCTAAATCACCTTTAATGTTTTCGACCTTTTTTGCATGTGTTTAAAGTTTTTAGTTGTCAATTTAAATAACTTTTACTGAGAGCCAATGCGACTGCCGCATGATCGCACACCACTGCACAAATGCACACGCGCACTTACACTATCAGTGGCACACGCTCACATGCGCACACTGGAACACACAGATACTCTGCGCAGTCAAACGCTGACGATGACGTTTCAAAAATTCAAAAAGACAACAGATCCGAGACCCGAGACTTGTCAGCCAACAATAAAGAATACAACAAAATTAAAACGACACAAATGGAAAAGGGTAGTTCTTAATAAATCGACTGGGGAACTACCTCGCTAAATATTTCCATGGAATTTGTTTTAAAGAAGGTTTTAACAACATGGAAAAGTTGCCAGAGGTTTTAAGAAATTGGTAAAACAGACTCAAGATCCTGGTGATCTGGGATAATGTTTGGTAGTAAACTTTTTAAAAATGTTTTTGACAAGTCACTGAAAAAAGCATAGTTAAAAATTAAAAATAAAAAAATAGTTTAAAGTTGAGAAATGGTTTTCTGATAATTTATGGAATTTAAAATCACAACGTTTTCGGATATTAAGTATATCTATAAGTATTCCCATATTCAACAAAATAACAAGCAAATAAACAATAACCTTAAGGGCTATTTCCCATCGGTTAGGTTTAAATTTACTATAACCCGGTAATAACTAGCACAAACACTCCATATACCCATCTTGACTTTATTGGGTATTAAAACTGACTTTGACAATGGGAAAAATGCAACAACACTAATCCAACAAACTGTGCACATACCGATATTTGTTCGTACGTATATAAATTTTATAATCATATATCAAAAGCCCAACTAAACGGAAAATCATGTTTCTCTGGTAGATAATATGTTTTTAGTTTTTTGTTAAAGCCATCCAACTTTTATTTTCAGCAGGGAGTCTCTCCTCTCGATTTTCCCGTATCTCTGCCTTGTTGTCGCCTTATCTCCTTGGCGCGGCATTTTTCTAATAGATTTTATTTCACTGCGGTTGTTTTTCCCATTGCACTTTTCTTTCATTTTATTTCAATTTACTTTTATGCCGCTCACTTCACATTTTTTTACAGCCGATTTGCACTTTTAAAAACTTTTGAATCTGGCAAACATCTTTAGTAATTATATTACTGTTTTTCAGTTACGGTTGTATTTTTAAGAACAGTAAAAATTGATTTTTATATAAAATCATAGTTTATTTATCTTTTTTAAACTTCAATTTTTGTTTGATTGTGACATCTCTCACATTTATATTTAGCTTTATTCTAATAATTGGCCTTAAAAACAGTCCAATATTTATTCCACCACTTATTTCCTTCCATTTATTTCCCATTCGACGGATTATTCACTTTTGTTTTTTCCCACATTGCTTTGTATTTCCTTAAGAACTTTTTTTATATTTATTTTTTTCTGTTATTATACCGCGTGTGCACAAAACTTTTTTAAAGGTTACATAATAACTTTTCCCGTTCTGCTTTGCTCTTTTTTTGTATTTCTCGCCGGCTTACACTTGGTGATATATTATATATGCAAATTAAGAGAAACAGATACCAAGAACAAAAAATAATTAAAGAATTTTCTGCAGAAAACTTTTTCTTAATTTTGTGGGCACTATCAGCAATAGAAACAATCTTCAACTTCTGATAAAGAGTTTCGGATGGAAAGCCAAACTAAAATCGAAACAAAAACCGAAACAGAACCAAAAAGGCGAACACGTCGAAAGTGTGTAAGTGGCGATCGAGTTACAGTCAGAGACGATATTGACGACAGACGGCTTGACTTTGCATCGGATCGTCTAAATACTTCTAATATAGAAAAAATAGCTGCACGCTCAGAAAACCGGGAGAAAATACGAATAAACCGAAAACCCGATTCGGAAAAAAAAGAGAGAGATCCGCTCGTTGACGCTGCGCGTGCTGGACTCAAACTGAAAAAGTGCACGAGAAATACGATTTCTAAGCTCGCGAGCCCTACAAACGCAAAACCCCGTGGATAAACGAAAAACTGCGAAATGCATCGAAATGTGAGAGGGTCCCGGTCCCCCAGAACGCGTTCTCACCGACACAAAGCCACCAAATCGGGCCAGAGAGTGGGTCTACAAGTCTGTTTTAATGCCGGCCGGGGCGTATACGCGATATGTGCAAGCATTCCGAGTGCTACCTCACCGACTGATTGAGCCAGCCCACTCGGGTATTATTTAATACGTTCTCCCCACTCAGAACCCCACATGCCACTCAATTGCACCGATCGCAACTCTGAGTCGAGTCTTTATCAGTCGCTCCATCAAACTATCTGCACTCGCGTTGTCGCCAGCGGGTTTCTCTCAGTGTTGCTCTCCCGGATCGGATAGTATCACGATTTCTATAGTTTTCTTTCCACCTTTCTGTTTGTTGTCCGATATTCCGCGTGTTTCTGGTATTCTGTCTGGAGATTACAGATATAAGGGTCTCTCTTCCGGCAGCCCAGGGGTTGAGTCAACGGGTTGTGTTTGCCAGCAATATAAGTTCAAGGTCTGGACTAGTATATGAGGGGTTGATATATGTTTAATCAGTGTCTATAGCAAAGGGATAAAATGCGATTTAAACCTAACTCTGAGACAAATTTATTCATATCTGTTGGCGAACACCGAGGTACTTGTGGTAGTTATTCTAAACAAAACAATTATGCATGTAATAATCGGTAGATAAGTGGATCCTTATTTTACCATTCAAAGTACTATCCAAATTTAATTTTTATTATAAACACTTATAATGAAAAGTTATGTGAATATTAAATACTTCTGTATATTCAAAGAAATATTCAACAAAAAGAAATTACTATTAGTGAATTATAAAGAAAAGTTCATAAATAATTTTTTATTTTAATTTTTCTGCTTACAGGACCTACTCGTATAAATCTAAACTTTTTAAATAGACAAAAGACTTTTAGTTGTTCATCCTTGTACCTTGTAGTATTTGTTTACCTTTTCATGCGACCTCAAAAATTTCATGAATATTTCATAAGTATAACGACAGTGCCTTGCGTCCCTCACCTTTTCTTGCGTTTCTCAGCGAATTTCTCCGAGATCACTGAATCCAGCACTACGACCTCCCTTCGTGCAGAGGTAGCATACAAACTAATAATTCTAATTCTTATTCGAAAGTTGCCTAATCGAGAACCGCTTGCACCAGAAATTCGATATTTATTAGATGCTTACGTAACAATTCAGAGCACGATTTGCAATTTACAATGTTTTTCTCGATTTGATTTGAAAGTTTTATAGGTTTATGCAACACGCAGGATATATATGTATTTATTCAGCGATGCAGTGGTGCAGGCGAAGTATTTTTGGATCAACCTGAAAAATAAATCTCTGATTTCGATTTCTTGAAAAATATTTTAAAAATTAAAAAAAAACACCCTCATACCATCCTAAAAATAACATACAAATTTTAATGTTTCACATTTATTTTATATTTCAATTGTTTTCCTCTTTATTTTACATCATTATTAAATTAGAAGTACCAGTAAAAAATGTTGTAGCACAAAAAACACTGAGAAAATATGTTCGCTAATTTTTTTAAGAACTTTAGAAATTTGAATTATATTTTCAAAAAGATGTACACAATAATTTTTCATATAAAGTGGACACAAAAACATGATGTCAAATTTTGTGGTTTACTTTAGTTGCTAAACTTAATTACAAAATGATTTAATTAAGACAAATACATATGTATATTTTGTATAAAATTACATAAATATTTATTTGACAAAAATTGTTATATTGATTTGTTTGTTGATTTTGTGTTGAGCTGAAAATTAAATTCGTGTTCTATAGCTAAAGTAGAAGATGTACATATCATTTTAGGATTATGCGATAAGAGATATTTACAAAGATAAAGATGTGCCGACTGATAAAGCAAATTGTTGTTTTTAAAATTGATTTGCTTTATAGGGAGAGCTCGAATAATAAAAAACGAATACAAAAATGAGCGTGAGGCCTACATGTAGAAGAAATCAAATACAAAGAATATATAGCTAATGTTCTCAAAGTTATATCAATAGGAATGCGGGCTGAAGATACAGATACGAATACAGAAATAAGCATTTTGCATATAGAATTCTTTATATAGGTATATATAGGTGAGCATATCATTTAGTTAGCCTAAGCATAATCAAGAGAGAGTAGGGTGTTATAGAGAGGGGTCAGAGTTTAAGTGTGTTCGTAGTAAAAGGGTATTAATCAACAGAAAGGTAATTTGAAACTTCTTTTCACATTGGTTCTCCCATTCACATCCTTCATAACTAGTTGCTAGTTCAGTTTTCGTTTAATTATTTCTTGTATATATAGTTTTTAGTTTCGTTTAGGTATATCAAAAAAATATTGCAGATTGTCTTAGAGTTCCAGCCGCTTTATACAAAGTAAATGAAAAGAAGTTAAACTTTTTATAAGAGTTCGTTTTCTTGGCTCTTTCCTAACCGATTGGTTTGTTTTTATTTTTTCTAGGTGTATGTTTGTTGGCCTTTGACTTGGTATTTTATTAGTAATTTTAAAATTGTTTTATGTTCAAAAATTTGTGTATTTTGTTTGTAGAAACCATGAGTTTTGTTTGTTAGAGTTTATACTTTATTCTCTTGCTTATTTCCCTTCCTTTGCTCCTTTCACTATGGCAAACGTGTTTTCAAGATTTGTGGAATGTGGTTGTAGTCGATCTAGGGAAAAAAATTTAACAATTATGGTTTTTGGGTTGTGGGCTGTGGGCTTGAGCCAAAAGCAAGTTTTTGATTGTTTCACTGGGGTTCTTGGGTGTTTGTTGTTGTTGCTCCTAAACAAAATTCTCTGGGTTGCTCTCTAGTTGTCCTACACACATTTACAATATACATTACACACACACAAAGTTATCGGTTAGAGCTAAAGATTATGTTGCTGATCTAGTGATAATTTTGGTTCTGCTAAAGTTGCTTCGCTTTCGGTTTTGGCCCCTAGGATTAACATGTAACGTTCGATTACAAACGAAATGGCTTAGACACAGAATTTACAAAAAAAAAGTGTTTCTTGCAGATATCTGACTTTTAATTTCTCTCTTTCAATCTATCGTTCTTCTTTCTCTTTCAATTTTTCAGAGGGTTCATCTAGGCGTTCTAGAGGAGCAGTTCCTCGTCCGTGTGCGGCTCGTTGCCGCTTTCCGCAAAGAGGCAGCACTCATCGGAGCCGGAGGAGGCGGCTTCCTGCTCCTCGCAGTCGAGATCGAGATGGTGGGCCTGCTGCGGCGACTGTGGTGCCTGCTGGTGGTGGTTCAGCGGGTGGTGCGCCGGCTGCTGCGGGTGGCTCAGGTCGTGCAGCCAGTCCAGCGTCTTGTCGATGGCACGCAGCCGCTTCTCCAGCGAGGTAGTGGCCAGTATGTCCACCTATAAAGGTTTTATTTATTAGTAAAAAACTCAAGAAAATATGTTATTAATTTATGTCTAACCTTCAGCTGCTGGGAGAGTGGCAGCAGGGCAATGACCCACCACGCCCACGCCGGTCCATCGCTGATGAGCTCCCAGTTGGGCTCCAAAGGCGGCATTCTGCCATAGCTCTGCAGGATCTCGTGCTTCTGCTCCGTGCTCAGACTCTCGAACCAACCGCTGGCCTTGGCTAGAACCACTCCCTGCATCCCGGCCAGGATCTTCACCTGCTCCTCGGCTATGGGTTCATCGCAGATGTACTCCACCTTGGCCGTCTCATAGCCATCCTTCTCGTTCCGCGCCAGGATCTTGAAGCGCTTGCAGCCAATCGTGCTGAGAATGGAGCAGCCATCGCCCAACTGAACGCAGTCGCGGATGTCGAGGATGGTTCCTATATCATAGTACCTCGACTTGCCGCCATTCGGCTGCACAATGCCAAAGGTCTTGTCCCCGGACTCAACGGCTCGCCGGACCATCAGGCGATAGCGCGGTTCGCAAACGAACAGGGGACACGGAACCGCCGGAAAGGCTGCCGTGCAAATGAACACCGGCACCGAGGGCTCCTGGTCGATCTCCTGGCGGAAGCGCGCCTCGTAGTGGTCTGGAATGAATCGTTTCATTGCGGCTTCTAGGAACTTCGTCACTGGCCGCTTGGCCAGCGCGAAAGGAACTGGCGAGGATGAGCCCGGATGCAGGTGGATCTGATTCTGATTCGGATTCGGATTCTGACTGGCACTGGCATTCACATTGAACTCCACAAGTGGCGACATGCACAATGGACACGGGGAGTTGTAATCCATGCAACGATCCAAGCATACCAGGCAGTACGTGTGTCCGCACGGAGTCACCACCGGTTTCCACAGCGTCCGACTGCAGACGACGCAGTCGAAGTCGCTGGCGTCGATCAGCTGCCCGGCCACCGAGCTCACCGCCAGCGATAGCTCCGATCCGTCCAGCTCTGTAGGAAAAAAAGGGTATATTAGAGTCACATTTTTCCATATTTTTTTAGAAAAACTCTGTATTGTTAATTTCCCCTTTTAAAACTTTTCTTTCCCAGATCACTCACTTCTCAGTCGCTGCAGTTCCTGCTGCGTGCGCTCCACAACCCCGACAAACAGTCGACTGCACCGCTGACTCTCGCCAGCAGCCTGCTCCTGGTCCACGTCCTCCTCCTCGATGATCTTACCGCCGAGTGGCTCCATGGCCACCGACCATTTCCGCTTGCAGTGCTTCCGGTTCGCATGGCGACGGGGCTGCAAATCGAACTGCTTCTGCTCGAAGACATGCCGCTGATGTCGATGGTGATCCATAAAGTCCAGGGGACTGGGGAACAGGAAGTCTCCGTCCAAATGCAGGGATCCCGGCTCCCCGCCGTCCACCTCGACCTCCACCTCCTCCTCCATGTCATCGCCCGCCATTATGTAGTTGTCGTAGTGGCCGAACTCATCCTCCACATCGTCCAGGTGGACGTGATGATGGTGGTGGTGGTGGTGATGGTGGTGGGGGTGGTGGTGCTGCTGTTTCCTGCGCCGGCGCACCTGCTCCCAAAGCAGAGGATAGGGTGCCCGAGAGGTGGCAAAACTGCGGTGCTGCGGCTGGAAAACTGGTGGCGTTGCCGTGCTGATCGAGGATCGATTCTTCGGCATTTGGGCCAGGAGACGTTGGAGAATCTGTATATTGGATAAACAAATTACTGGTGAGTACATTTTGCTATTATTTGATATTATTTGATTGATTTATGTTATACGTTTTATTAAGAAAATAATTGCTTTTTAATGTTGTCTAGACATCTATAAAAACCACTTGTATTGAAACATTTTTACTGCAACAGAAACTTTGGCAATTTAAATTTGTCTATCAAATTTTTATTACAATCATATGTTCACAAAAATCGTTTAGATGCATTGCACTAACGTTTTTCATAAATCAACCAGACGCATTTCGCATAACTTTTCATACCTTGGCGAGATCATGTTGAAATATTTCCGAGTTGCTGAGATTTGTATTTTTATCAAGGCAAATAGCCAAAAAGCCGTTGTACAAAGCCTCCTCCAATCGACCTAGACCGCTTAAGGCCAAAGCCCTCAGATAGTGGGCCTAAAAATAAAATTCCATTTAGTTTTATTTAATTTAAAGAAATAATTTCAAACTTACCTTTGGCGAAGTGCATCGCGTTCTTAACGCATTTTCGATGTCCGCTAGGGAACTTTGATAATGGCTCAGTTTTAGGAGAACTTCAGCACGCAGACAGAGACTCTTGAAATTTGCTGGCGCTGCAAAATATCAAAGGAATACAAAATATATTTGTTAGTTTTAACTACTTAAAACTTGCGGATGTAAATCAAATGTATGACCCAATGAATGTCATCGCTGACTGAAATACATATCAAAACTTGGCAGCATGGAATTTTTTTGGGTGTGCTGCCAAGCGAAATACGTTTGCCAATATTCTAGATAAATACGTGTAACGATATAGAAACGGAAACTATCTGAATATATAATGAATATGTGTCTGTGCAGCGGGGAATTAGGCAAATGTTTAACACGCGCGAAAATTCTTCAATTCGGATTTCCCCCTTTGCAAATTGGTTTTCTTGAATGTTTGACGAAAAGCAAAGCGGATATTTATTTTGACAACCGCTAACAGAGGCGCCACTTAACATAGAAATGATTATGACACATTTTTAAAGCAATCTTTAGTAGTGAATATACTAAGCTTTAATAACTATTATGACAAACGTTTCTTCCATTAAACTCATTGAGTCACCGATCGCGTGAGTGATTAGGGTAATTATTGATAAGGGAGGTTGCAAAATTAGTTATTCAAATTCGTTATTGCTACTAAGTACTTTGGGTTATACTTAAAATGGTTAAAACGTGTGAAATTACTACAGAATGCAGTTAAATAATCTGTTTGCTACTAATAATATTTTTAGTTAAGTTATCTTTAAAAGAAAATATTTCGAAACAGATTGAGAAAATTATACAAGAGGATTAAAGTTAACAATACAAATATAAATGTTTTTCTTAGGAAGACTTTAGAATAAAGTTTGCAAAAATAATTTAATATTTATAATAATATATTGCCTAAAACGCGAACTTCGACCATCGGTAAATGCAATGTGAAAGTGAAATCAAGGTAAACAGCAACAGCAGAACGCGAAACATCTAGAATAGAAAGTCATTGCAGTGCCTAGGTCATGCATTTTCCACCCCACCCTCCCAGAACCCCTCCCCACAGTCCCTTCCATCGCCCCCTTTATCACCACCCCCTCACTACGTCACGTAGGCCACTTGTAGACAATGTTGCTAGCGCACCAGCAACATGCAATATTGCAACATCTCAATACAGTGTAAGAGTATTTATGGGATATTAACAGAGGGGTTCCACTCTTTCTTTTCAATATTCTCTCTTAGCACTTTACTCTTTCCCTGTTAAAGGCAAAGAGTTTTTTTATGTTAAAAAGGCGCGCGCAGCTGCTGTTAAGACAGAAAACGCGATTATGTAGCCTAACATTACGCAACATAAAAAGGCGCAACAACAAAACTACTGTAGTAGCACTACCAACAACGAAAATAGTTATACACAGTTAAAGTAAGGCCCTTTGATGGTTTCTGTTGTAATTGCAATTGTTACACAAATTGGTGCAAAAATGATTACATGCCGAAAACCAACTGGCTTATCGCAATCCCTTCACCGGCCCAATTTATTCGTACCAAGATATTAATTTCCATTTCGCCATATTTGTCGCAAAATTAGATTACGTTCAAATCCAGCCGTTTTATTATGTAAAAGTATATGTAGTTTATTATATTGCCATCTAATCATTTAATTTTTTTTTTTTGTTTGCATAGTGAAGGGATTTTCCCCATAATTCCCTATTATCGCTGTTGCTCTCTTTTGCCAATTGTATTATATTTCGACTTCTGTTAATAACTTGTTAAATTCTCATTTTAAGTACAACATCTGATCAGCACGAAAGCGAAATGTTGTTGATTATATAAAAGTATGTCAATATTTTTTGTTTACTTTGTGAGGCCTACCAAAAATAAAGCACCAGTGATAGGGGTTTGTTTGACAGATAACGCCTTTGGAATTGGATTTGCGGTTAGCCGTTATGTGAATGAAGGTGCCGAAACATAACGGAACTTTACTGCTCCCAGCAGATAACGGGAGAATGTTATTTAACTGTTTATTCTTTAACCGCTCGTTAAACTGTCTTTGTTCGTGAGATAAGACGGGTTTTGCCATTTTTTTACACTTTGGCAGATTGGCGATATCTTCAAGTAAATAACAAAATGGGTGAAGGATAACCCACAAACACATGTAATCGACTGGAAATAAAAATAACAATATTATTTATTTGTTTTGAAAACCTTTATGTGATACTTCCTTATACTTTTTCGCTTTTAAAGTGTTTCCCTCGTTTATTATGCAATAATATCATTCGATCCCTTGCCACCCGCCACGCCACTTTTGCCCGATGTCCAGAGCCATAACTATATGTATTATGCATACTAATTATATTTATTTCTACATTATATCACCCTGAAGGCGGCCACGTTCTCGGCGACCGGCTACTTCCCGTTCGATCTGCGATTATATGTGTGCGTATCCATCAGATACTTCTACTTACAAGCGCAACGAGTGGGCAAAAATAAAAAAAATAAAAAAAAAACACGAATTCAATTAAAATGCAAAGCCACACGCTGACGGGCTGCTGGCAGTTTGTTTTTGTTTTTGCCACTGCTACCAATTTGCACTTATTAGAGAATTTCACGCTCTACGAACGCCCCCGCCTCGCCCCCTTTTCGAGCCCGCCCCCTGAAGATATAGCCACATCCTCCACGCGGGGCCAAGTTTCCGTTACGCTGCAGACAATTTAAGCTCAACTGTTGATAAATTGCATTTGGCTTCAGATATGACTATGCTCATATGTGTACAATTTATATTTTCTTTTGCATACACTTGGAAAAATATCATTGGATTAGGAATATGAAGAAAAACATTTTGAATAATTGAACAGAGGTCAGGTTTAAATACTCTTTGAGAAGAAAACTTTAAATTGGGTAACAAAATACTTGTATTCATGATTTCTTATAATTCTGGCATTAAATTATGTTTCTTTCGCTGTATCTATATCTTGTGGTGCCAGCGAGTGTCGTTTTTGGCGAGTGTGTGCATTCAAAATCAGATTTCGTCACGTACATTAAAAATCGTTTGCTAAATTCCCACCACAGCAGATAAAAGTCGCAATGAGTATTGAGGAGAGAAGCGAATTTTCCTTGGCGGTTGACAGACGGCATTGCCATGGATTGCATAATGAAATCAGAAATCTTAGAATTTTGATTTCCGCATAAAAACAACACGAGGGATATGAAGACAAAGGCATTTATAGACCAAGCTATTCAATCGGTGAATCACTTGATTTATTTATTTTTAAATACCAGCGAACAGAGTGGCGAACAAAGAACGAATGCCCCTCTCTAATTTTTCAATTCAATTGTGCTTAAAAGTCGTTAAACAATTTGCTAAAAATAAATACGTTGCGTATACGCCGCGTGGACCGAGCTTTGATTGTCGGACACGAGCACCACACACACACACACACACAGACACACTCACTGGATTATTATGCAAAAGGAAAATGGAGAAATGGAGAGGGCAGGAGGCAGAGGGCTGAAGGGGTGGCGAAAAACTGACCTAAATACTAAATGAATGCCCATAAAACTGCGCCAAGTGAAACGGGAAACGAGCGGCCATAAACGAGCGGCAAAAAGATGGCAAACTTTATGCGACACCCCCCAGTTCCCCAGTTTCCCAGTTCTCATCGCCGGATCCGAATCCCAAGCCAAACCCGTAGGGAAATTGACCGTTTTTGATGTCTATGATGGGGGATAACTGGAGCGCAGCAAATAAATGCAAAGATATTCAGACCCCCTTGGCTAACACTCTATTCGCTCGCATAAAATATGAATATTATGTAGATGAAGCTAATTGTGCGGAGTTAAGTTTATGACCCTCGTAAAGTTCCTGCTCTCGATGTAACCGCCAAATAAATTCGAGAATTTAGGGAAATGTCAGCAGTTAAATGTAAAAAGAATTTGGGTTTTGGGTTACCCAAAACTGGAAGGGAAATAGTTTAGGTCAAATGTATCCTTCTCTTAAGAAGTTTTGTTGTCAAGTGCCTTTCATTTCAATTTCCTTTGTGAATTAAAATTTTCAGCAATTGACAGACAATCTTATTGCTCTTGGCTAACCAAGTCCAATTAATTTCTTTAGATATCCCCTTTTGATTTCCTTTTTATATTAAATTAGTCGCATTTCTAGAGAGATTTATTGCAAAGAAAATCGTCTACCGTTTCCCTGCTTAATTCTTCTTTATGAATGTCTTCATGAATGAACGCTCACTTGGCCTCTTTTCATGCTGTTGACGGAAACGTGAAATGCTTGAAAATAATATAAACCAAATAATAATTATTCACTTTCAGGAAGTGCAGTCAGTCGCTTTGTTTTACTACTCAGCTATTAGCCTTTGGCTATTCGGCGTTAAATTTGCGACAGTAATTCTCGGTAAAGAATACTATAAAATTCATTTTTATTTTTATGATTAATTTTACGAGGCCATATGACACACAACTGTTGTGTAAATTATTCGAATAGGCTTTTGCGACTATGTGTATTTGGTTCTATTTGTGTTATTTTGTTGTAAGCCATAAGTTCAGTTTTTTCTCAATTTTATTTTCATTGAGGGAGGGTTATATCAGGAGTATGGTTTATTTATGTTTACATTGGGTAATTTTAGTACAAAAGAAAATCGACATTTATATATTCGTTAAATTATGATTACTAAAAAAGCCAGGGCTTGTATTTTGTTGGATAAGTTTTAAACCTCTTTTTGTTACTTAATTTTTTTTAGCCAGTTTTTCGTTCACTTTATGCGAAATGTGGGTGTTATCAACTTAGTCTGTTAAATGTCAAACCCCCCGCACAACATCGGAAAATTGCTGGAATTTTGTTTGCAGTTTGTTTTCCGTTCTTCTTCTATTTTCTGGTGAAACCCAACCGACTGTGAAGATTTTTGTGGCTGCTGCTGCGCGGGTTACATCTGGGAAATATCGCAATGCGTTGACACATAAATTTTTGGCACTGGAAAACAAGACGCAAAAAAATCCAAAAAGAGGGGAAAAAAACGAGTACGCAAACATCAAATGTCGAAGTTCAGCCGGAACCAAGGCCGAAATCCCCCAGTGGCAATGATGATGCTAACAA